AACTGACTTCTGCATGACTGTACCGAGGAGCACGCCAAAGGACATGACTTTGTATCCCTGTCTAGACAGATGGACATGGGGGTGCAGCCTGGAGCTGCAAGAAATGAACATTTCACTAAGAGGACAAGACGTTTCATTAACCAACACAGAACAGCTGTCATCAGTCGTTTTACACTTGTAAAGCTTTTGAGGAGGAGATCAGAGCACCTATGGATCTGTCCAGAGGGCTGTGAAGATAATCCTTTCTTATCACTAATCCCTTAATACCCATTTCCAACAGGTAGTTTATCATCACTGATTACTGTCTCAACTTCTCTCAGTCACTTTCAGCATCTTTACCCCATTCATACTTCTTCCTCCACCAACCACTGCTGACACGGCCAGTCTGTTGGCTCTTTATTTCCTTCCACCCCAGCGTGTCCCTGTGAGCAGATTGTGAGGTATTGATGAAACAACAGAACAGCGATGCTTCAGCACATTATTATTATTATTAAGCATGTAAACAAAGCTTAGGCTTCTTAAAGAAAAAGATGTGTAACAGAGATGAGGCCCACCGCCCCTGCCCCAAAAACTTTGTGTCAGCACCCAAAACAAAACCCACGAGCAGACCTCTCTTCCACTCACAAACAAGCTAAAAAAACTCCTGATTTCATCATTCATAATACAGAAACTGAGTCACACCAAACACTTTTACTATCTACCAAGTCTTTTCTCACTGCATGAAGAATTATCTTCTTCTTTTGTTGTCTCACTGATCCCAGGTTGTAGCCCAGTGCCATGATTTTCTGTGTTTGTCTTGTGCTTTCTGGGTGACTTGGGTAATGGATTTGTTCATCTTTTTGCAGGTTTCATCTACACCATTTATCCATCTCTTTCTTGGTCTTCCTCTCACCTTCCTCCCAGATGTGCTGCTATAAAAAGTCTCAAAAGCAGTTTAGTCAGGCTGCATTCACACTAGATGGCTGAACCATTTCATTGTTTGTCAATATAATCCAGACATGGTCTTATTCCAACTTTCTCTCTAATGCTGGTATTCGTAACCCTGTCCTGTTTTGTGTTCTTAGTGACTCACAGATGGGTGACAGCATATGCATTCTGTACTCTGCTTTCTATCTCTCTGTCGAGTCTGCTATCCTCTGTAAATTTGCTTCCTAGATATTTGAATTCTCGTACTTGTTTGATTGTCAAACCGTTTACATAAATGTTCAGGTTATTATCTTTCCTGCCTCTCCTCATTACCTTAGTTTTCACAGTGTTTATTTTCATATCATATTTTATGCATGTTTAATAGAAGGAGTCAATATGGTATTGTAAAACTGTTCTTGGAGGTGTATTAAACATTGATTGTCTGCAAAAAAAAGAGGTTCACTGATTTCTTCAGTGTCTCTATTTGCCAGCTGTGTAATTCTATCCATGTAAGTAAAGAACAGCAATACTGAGAGAACATATTCCTGTCTGACACATGATGGGAAACCAATCTGTCAGTCCTTCAAGAATTACCTCCATTCATAAACAATTCAAACTGTGAATCCCAGTGTGTGAAACATCAGAGCTATATACAGCATAAGGGACAACCTTCATCTGACAGTGTAACAGCAATTTTCTCTTTACAAAGAAAAAAAATCCTCTACAGATTTTTTGTCACATCTAAGAATTGTTTTAAAAACCTTTTCTAAAACTGTTCATCTTTTGATCAACACTTTTGCTTCTCTGGACTAAGAAATAAACACCCAAAAAAAGGCTGGCATGACGATTGACTGTGCACAAACAAGACTGAAGGCCGTTAAGAAACTTTGTTTTTGTTGTTGTTGTTAACATCAGAGGTGCATCAAGTATATGGTGTTAGGCTCACATTTTTACAGACACAATAATCAACAATTTTAAAAAAAAATCAATACTCAGTGGGTGATATGGTCAACTTTATGCCAGCCGACTTTACTTCCCAGCACATTATCTGGTACTGTTTTCAGGTTGGGTCGAGTTGGAAGCAAAGATCAATTTTCTTTAAAGAAGAAAAAAAAACAGACTCAATACTCTGGGTCGGCAGGCAATTGTCTAGCCACTGTTTGACTACAGCTTCCACAGAAGTCTAGGCAATGTAACATAGCATGAGCTACATAGCATGGGCTACATAGCATGGGCTTCATAGCACGGGCTTCATAGCATGGGCTACATAGCATGGGCTACACAGCATGGGCTACACAGCATGGGCTACACAGCATGGGCTACACAGCATGGGCTACACAGCATGGGCTACACAGCATGGCTACTAGCATATAGCATGAGCAACATAGCATGGGCTACATAGCATGGGCTACATAGCATGGGCTACACAGCATGGGCTACATAGCATGGGCTACATAGCATGGGCTACACAGCATGGGCTACACAGCATGGGCTACACAGCATGGGCTACACAGCATGGGCTACACAGCATGGGCTACATAGCATGGGCTACATAGCATGGGCTACATAGCATGGGCTACATAGCATGGGCAACATAGCATGGGCTACATAGCATGGGCTACATAGCATAGCATGGGCTACATAGCATGGGCTACATAGCATGGGCTACATAGCATGAACTTCAAGAAAACAGCCTTGGATTTTCTACATCTTGCATAAGACATATCACAGCTGTACTAAGACCACAGTAGGAACCAGCATCTTCATCTTTTTTTTTTTTTCATCATTTTGCTAATAACCTGCAACCCAATGTTGTAACTTTGTTTTGCACTTGTCACGTGACTTCAGCAACAGAATTGTTACATTTGGCAGGATCTAGCTATATCGTCTATTTACATCATGCTAGGTCTTCTGCTCACCTTCCAGTTGATGTTCTGCTGTAGCTCTCACATACAGTTTGATCTGGCTACTTCTCACCAGATAGTCAAATCACTTTCTTCTGTTTTTCAATATACTCCAGGCATGGTCTTTTTATAACTTTCTGTCTAAGAAGAAGCATCAATATCATCATCACCACCACCAAGTGCCTCCCCGACTGGCACTGGTAATCATGCCTCTGCAAAATCTGCGACCTCCTACAGCAGGGCTAACAACTGACCGCCCACATTCAGCCATCAGGGCCTCCTGAATGGCCTGCAGATCACTGCTAGTTGTATTGCACTGATGATCTTTCAGCACTGGGGTTCGGATCTCTGGCTCGTGGCGATCCCCATTTTCAAAATTGTGGCCTCTGAGTAAACTTGGTTGATTAGTTCTATCCTTAAAGCACTCCTCAGATCAAGAATCTTTTTTGCGTCGTCTTTCTCTGTCTCTGTTACCACAAATCCGACCACCTTCCCTTCTCATAACATGGCCAAAAAAATGATGGACTGCCTCCCTTTGAAATGTATGTCTTTGGGCTTTCACCTCTTCCAAAACATCTGTTGCTATTTTGTTTCTTCTGTCCAAGTGATTTTTAGCACTTTTATTTAAAAACCACATCTCTGAGGCCTGAAGAAATTATTTGGCTTGTTTATTTATCCCCAGGATTCACGTTTTTAACCTGCTCTATGTAGCGTATGAGAATTCTTGTTCAAATCTTCTATGACAATGATTTATTGAATAAGATGTTCTTAAAAACAAGCTTACAATAATAAAATCCCAAACACCCCCCCCCCCACACACACACACACACACACACACAAACACATGTCAACATTATCTAATTTTTTTTTCTCTATTATCTTCTTATACTACAAGTTCACATGTCCAACAAGCGTTCACATGTCCAACAAGCGTTCACATGTCCAACAAGCGTTCACATGTCCAACAAGCGTTCACATGTCCAACATGTGTTCACATGTCCAACAAGCGTTCACATGTCCAACAAGCATTCACATGTCCAACATGTGTTCACATGTCCAACAAGCGTTCACATGTCCAACAAGTGTTCACATGTCCAACAAGCGTTCACATGTCCAACAAGCGTTCACATGTCCAACAAGCGTTCACATGTCCAACAAGCGTTCACATGTCCAACAAGCGTTCACATGTCCAACAAGCGTTCACATGTCCAACAAGCGTTCACATGTCCAACAAGTGTTCACATGTCCAACAAGCATTCACATGTCCAACAAGCGTTCACATGTCCAACAAGTGTTCACATGTCCAACAAGCGTTCACATGTCCAACAAGCGTACACATGTCCAACAAGCGTTCACATGTCCAACAAGCGTTCACATGTCCAACATGTGTTCACATGTCCAACAAGCGTTCACATGTCCAACAAGTGTTCACATGTCCAACAAGCGTTCACATGTCCAACATGTGTTCACATGTCCAACAAGCGTTCACATGTCCAACAAGTGTTCACATGTCCAACAAGCGTTCACATGTCCAACAAGCGTTCACATGTCCAACAAGCATTCACATGTCCAACAAGCGTTCACATGTCCAACATGTGTTTACATGTCCAACAAGTGTTCACATGTCCAACAAGCGTTCACATGTCCAACAAGCGTTCACATGTCCAACAAGCGTTCACATGTCCAACAAGCGTACACATGTCCAACAAGCGTTCACATGTCCAACAAGCGTACACATGTCCAACAAGCGTTCACATGTCCAACAAGCGTACACATGTCCAACAAGCGTTCACATGTCCAACAAGCGTTCACATGTCCAACATGTGTTTACATGTCCAACAAGTGTTCACATGTCCAACAAGCGTTCACATGTCCAACAAGCGTTCACATGTCCAACAAGCGTTCACATGTTCAACATGCGTTCACATGTCCAACATGTGTTTACATGTCCAACAAGTGTTCACATGTCCAACAAGTACCTCATTTATTCATTTATGCAAACATTCATCCATTCTGTCCTTGTTTCCTCACACAATCCCTGTCATCCATCCTGGCAATGCTGATGTGGCATTGTTTCCTCACACAATCCATGTCATCCATCCTGGCAATGCTGATGTGGCATTGTTTCCTCACACAATCCATGTCATCCATCCTGGCAATGCTGATGTGGCCTTGTTTCCTTCAGGAATGTTACTTGAGAACTTTCTGCACAAACTCCTGAACCAATCGGAGGAAAGCTGGGTCGTGGCTGCTTGCGGAAGACTGGGAGATGGAGTGGCTCAACTGTGGTGTTAATGAAGGGTGCCCTGTAGCTGAAGATGACCCGGCAGTGGTCTGTGTTGCCCCCAAACCTGCTGAGGTGCTTGTTGTGAGGGCTCCTGTGTGAGTAAATCAAAGGACTGTATTAACCTGCATCAAGTATCTTCGTCTTCTGTATTCACCTTTGAAAGGCCAGCTGGCATGTTGTGTTTCGGTTTACAGCCAGGCTGTGATATCTGAGCCTTCTGGCCCAATACATCAGATTTCAGCAAGCCCCTTAGTCGCCTGTTACTTCAAAGTTAAAGTAAAGAATTAGAGCTTTGGGAGAGAAGTACACACATTTCCAGTGAATCAAGAGTTGAAGGAAAGGATCCGGTGTTGGATAGAACACATGTTTAGAACACCTAATAACAATATATATAGATATATATATATCTTTGCACTGTAATACACAGCAGCAGACAGAAAAAAGGCAAACAAAATTTTATTAAAAAAAAGCAGAATGAGGATAGAGAATGATGTTTAAAAGATAGAAAGAACATAGGGTGAACTGCATGCAACAGCAAAGAATAGGACGACTAGGCATAAGTTACTTGATGGCCAACAATCCACTTGTAGATAAAGGGGGATAGGGAGAAAAGACAAAGAAGAAAAAGAAAAATAAGAAAGAGAAGGAGAAAAAAAAAAAAAAGAAGAAGGAATAGGAGGAGAAAAATGGGAGGAGGAGGAGGAGGGGAGGAAAAAAAGGAGGAAGAGGAGGAGGAGAAGAAGAAGAAGGTAATAGCGATTTCTTAACTTGATGTGATTTCTTAATTTAATGTATCAACGTAATGTGATTTTAATTTCATGGATAACATAATGTGATTACTTAATTTAACTTACTTTAGGGGATTAATGTAATGTAATTTCTTTACTGAGGGGATCAATGTAATGTGATTTCTTCTCTGAATGGTGCAGATGGCCACAGGCTATGATTACTGTGCCTGCCTATAATGCCATATGACACACTCATCAAGAAAGATGGTTAAAGAGTAAAGTAAAGATCCCTTTTCACGCCTTAGGCGCATTGGGCACATAGGAAGAACAACATATTTTCACAGACCAATATGCACTAGGTGGGTAATGTGGTCAGTATTACACGGGCCATCTTTACTTCGCCAGGACATACATCCTGTTACCCATTTGAGGCTGGGTCGACCAGCGATAAAAATCCACGCAGCCAGCAGTAGATGGTTGGGTACCAACTAATTCGCTGCTAGCTAGAAGGTGTACCCAGCCAGTGTCATATCTGCTAGTGGAATGCACTCACCTGCCAGTGACTGAGGTGGTGTCAACGACAGAGATCTTTCGACTCCTCCTCTTCTCATCTGCCGCTGAAGTGGTGATAAGCAGGAGTTCTGGAAAATGTCCAAACAGCAACATTTTATTGATGTTTTAATTAACAGTGCAGTCAGTTAGAGTGAGATCAGAGTCACAGTCTATCATCAGAGTTAGAGTGAGATCAGAGTCACAGTCTATCATCAGAGTTAGAGTGAGATCAGAGTCACAGTCTATCATCAGAGTTAGAGTGAGATCAGAGTCACAGTCTATCATCAGAGTTAGAGTGAGATCAGAGTCACAGTCTTTCATCAAGAGGAGTGAGACCTCAGATCAGGTTCTATCATTTTCAGAGTTAGAGTGAGATCAGAGTGTCAGTCTATACATCAAAGTTAGACTAGAGATCAGAGTCACAGCTATCATCAGATTAGAGTGAGATCAGGCTAATCACAGAAGAAAATCAGAGTTAGAGTGAGATCAGAGTGCATAGTCCCTACCGTTAGAAAAAGATCAGAGTCCACAGTCTTTCATCAGCCTGCGATTTAACTCACCAAACGGTAGCTTTCTTTGATTTTTACTTCCTAAAGATTGTTATATACAACAAATCACTCTAGTTGCTGACAACACTGCAGGAGATAATCTACGTCAGGCTAATGAAAGAAGAAAAGTAATATTTTCAGTATCACAACTTGCATATTCCCTTCCTATTATGAAAAAAATGTCTCCAGATATTCAGAGCCTGCGACAGACTCACCAAACCAGTAGCTTTCTGTCCAAGTAACTTCCTTAAAGAATTTAAAGAAAAACCATCACTCTAGTTGCTGCCAGCGGTCCGGAGATTAAGTGTTATACTTTGGAACATGGAGGCATTTCGTGCACCAAAGCACTGATATGGTGATTTTTATGCAGTATGTTAGTTAATTGATAAAGTGCAGATGTACTCTGATCTCAAAGGACAGCTCTATCTTTTTTCGACTTTGTGTTCACGAGCTGTAAACTCCAGCAAAAGGTTCTGGTTGTTCCTCCACTTCTGGACTCTAGTCCTGTTGCAGAAACTGAGTGTTGCGTGCACATCTGTTTAACTGATATGACTTATTATTAGAAAAGTGGTCAGGTAATTGCAGTTCCAGCATCATCTTAGTAATCGTAGTTTCAGCTTCATAGCAAACGAGTCACCCCTTAGTTGCTCTGCTATTGTGCCAACAAAATACACACATTAGGGAAATATTTGAAATGATAAACGATCCTGTATGACTATATTTCAATATAAACACTTGACACTCGAGAGACTGCTGAACAAGACCGGATTATACGACGAATGTATATCTGAAGAGGCACAGAGACTTGTGAGGCATCTAGAAAAAGGCCAGCCGAACAGTGAACAGAGGCTAGAAAGAACCGTATAACAGGCCCTTTACCTACAGACACAGTTCCCTGCTCCAACTGTCCTAGATCCTGCCAAGCACTCATTGGGCATGTAAGTCACCTCCGGACTCACAGGCAGACAACTATGATTTCTTGATGGATGAAAGAGCGGCCCTTATTATCTGTGATAGATGAACAACAGAGGAAAATGTTTCCTAGATCAATTATAGTCAGGGATGAAGTTACCCCTCTCTGCCCAGCAAAACACCTGGGTAGTACTGTAGAGACCATGTGTCGTCCAAGCAGCATAGTGTCTCCTTTTTCCTGCCTTGTTTATTCCAAAGGAATACATTTGAATCAAAGCATGATACATCAGCTGGCAGATCAGAAGTGTAGTGTCTGTCTGTTCACCTATCAGAGATTCTCTCCTTCCTCTTCTTGTTCACAGGCTGCACACTCCAGCGGAAAGTTCTGGTTGTTCGTGCCCCTCTGGACTTCAGACTTGTTCCGGAAGCTGACTGCTGCATACACATCTATTTTACAGATCTGACTTCTCTTTGTGCAGACTGATGGTTCTTTGCCTCTCAGGCAGAGGCATACTGACTTCAAAGGAAGCTCCCAATTAGTCAACTCTTGCAACATGTTTCTTGGAAAGACAGTGGGTCTATTCTCCCCCCCCCCCCCCCCCCCACCCCACGGGGAGTTGGAGATTATGATTCTATTAATACATGCATATATACATACTATACCATATACCCACACACAAAAAGGCACACAAGTACATGCACATGCGTACACACACACACAATTTTACATACTACAGGATCCTTCATCTGACAAGTAGTTATTTATGTTTTTTCATAAGACACAGGCAAATTTACCAATTCAGTGCCAAGTTCTCGTTTCAAAAACTGCCTTTCCCTTTGTACTCGGTCTGGATCTCGAAGGTAACGGCAGGCCTGTGACATGATTATGTTCAGAGACAGCTCTAAGGCCAGATTGGCAACTTGCCTGGAAGAAAAAACACAAAAGTGATGTAAGAGAAATGGTCCCATTTGGGACACAATGTTTTCTCATTCACTTGCCCAACTGTTCAACAATGCTTCAATCAATCTTTTCGTTCTTTCTATTTTAAATACCTCATCATCATCCTGTTCAGTCATAAACACATCACAAGAGTGCAACACTTTTGATACTGCGTATGGAATCCAATCCAACATCTCTGGCCTCTGTAATCAATGTTCATGTTCACTGTGGGGTTTCTCTTGTACACCCTTGCCTCCTGGGTCTATATGTTTCCAAATCTGGTGCCTATTTTGTGATTTTAAACGTAGATCTATTTTATACATATCAACTTCTTATTGAATACACACTCCTACTAACTGGTGTGGATGATCATGCCTCTGCTCAATACCTAAACTTATGAGCCGTTTATTAGAGGTTTTGCTTCTGGTATGGCCACGCTAGTTAAACCATGTTTATTTAAAGGCCAGAAAATCACCTACTGTATCGGGTTTTCATGGCTTAAAACCGCTTACCAGTTCCTACACATGATGGAAACATGTTTCACCGCTGGATGCCGCAGGGAGGTTGATGTGTTTGTTAAATACTGTAATTATTACCTGTTTGATGCTTTTGCCACTCGCATACGTCATTGTTCTAACTGCTCTTAGCAAAATGGACGAACTATGTGTGAATTTGGCCAGCCATGATTTTTTGCACCCGAATATACAAGGATCAGAGAGACCCAGGGCTGTAGATGTCAGACCTCTTGTGCAGTGAAGCACATCAGCTGTTCTCCCTCGAGAACTTGGTTTAGCCCTTTGAGTACTTGTATCTACAGGGTGAAAGGGACGTTCTTAGTTTTGTAAGTCCCTTGATAAAAAAAAAAAACCTTTTACAGTCAAGACCGTTGTGCGTTACTGAAAAGGTATAAAACACAACGGATCTGGAGACAACCTTGATTAAAAAACCTAAGCTTGCGATGACCTACTGGCTGTGGGATATAGTCGTAAACATGGAACATCTGGTTAACAGGTGAGGCATTGGCAGGTGTACAGACTCCATTAGGACATCCTCTGCCGCTTCCCTAGCAAGCAGGCAATACTAGGGTGATCGTTTATTTCCTGCACTGAACAAAAAAATTTCTATGGATTTTGTACTTAATAATAAAAAGAATCATCACTGAGTGTGTGCTCTCTGCTTGATACCATCTTCAGGTGGCAATCGAGAGAGTTAGAAGAGGAGAAGACTAGGAAATGGAGAGATAAAAAGGCACAGAAATAGGAGAGCTCAACCCAGGAGAGTCTGGCAAAAAATGGAGCTTCTGGGATCAAAGCATATTAGAGCGAGTTACTGGAACTGCCGAAGTGCCAAGCAGATCTGACCTGTTCTAGAGAGGCTGACCCAAGAAATAGAACAGGCATAGACAGCAAAGCGAGCTGCAGTTAAACAATTACAGAAAGTGCGTAAGGCACCTCACAGGTTACAATAGGATGTAGAGAAGCTAGAAAGAGAAAAGAAAAAGCAGAAGAGTTCAAACAGTGTGCAGCAGATGCAGACAAATGCTAATAGGGAACATGTTATGAGTGAAACTGGAGGGGATAAATCACTGGGTGAGTTTTGGAAACTTTACAGACAGATGCAAAAGAAGGATCAGGCCAATCACAAAAGGCAGTATATACACTGATAAGTGAATGCCAATGACAACAGACAAAGAGAAAGGGGAAGCCTTTTTAGAGAGATTTATAGCCTAAACTGATCACAATGATAGGTAACTTAGAAATTAGGTTAGAGATAATCTGCCTAATACTATCAATGATAATTATTGTCAGGATATCAGCACCAGAACAGCTTCAGTACCCCAGGACTGAGTTCACATCTACCTAATCTCACTTCTAAAACCAGGCAAAGATCATTCCAGACTCAGTGGTTTCAGGATTATCACTCTACCCCAGTTTCTGCAATTTCACCAGAGCTCTTCAATGTGTATACAAGTAAGATTGCAGAACTTGAAGCACCAGGTTTTGGAAGGATACTGACATTCGCAGCTGATGTTCTTGCATTTAGGCAACAGATAGCCCAAGAGATGCAGAAAGTGTAAACAAAGTGACTGACTGGTGAGCAGAAACGGATGCTGTCATAAACTCAGAAAAGGTAGCTGTTTTATGGTGATCTCTGGAAAATAAAATTGTAAGAGCTGATGTTTCAAGCCTCACAGTTAATGATAGAAACATCAGAAGAGAAAGCAAAGCAAACTAAGATACCTGGGTATCATTTTTGATAGGTGCCTGTCCTATAAGGATCATGTGGAGGCAGTTGCAGTAAAATGCCAAAATGTACTCAATGCTCTCAAGATTATGGCAGCAATGGATATGAAACAAAAGAAAGCTGTTCACAATGTTCCAACACATAACCCCCACAGAATTTGAATGAATGGAGGGGTCTTCGTCATGCAAATATTAAGTATACTGCATGTGACTGACAGAGGTTGGGAAACTGACCAGACAGTCAACAGGGACTGGGCATCTGGATACATATGGTGCTAGGGACTATGAAGATGTTAGGGATACAGACACTGACTGTTCTACTGTAGTACTCACTTAAATATTCAGATCTGTGAAAAACAGAAAGTGATTGTTCATTCTACCTCTCCCCCTCATATGCATGAAAACAAACTTGTGCATGCACTGTACATACACTTACTCCTCTTCCCCCCCCCCTCTCTCTCCCTCCCCCTCTCTCTCTCTCTCCTCTCTCTCTCTCTCTCAACTCTCTCCTCTCTCTCTCTCTCTTCTCTCTCCTCTCTCTCTCTCTCTCTCTCTCTCCTCTCTCTCTTTCAAGATGTGAAAGATGTGTGTGAAGATGACAAGAAACCATCCTTCTAGATAGAAATGACTCACCGTGATACAAGGTTCTTATTCGAATCATCTGGAGAAGCTTTGTGAGGAGAAAATTTCCCATCTGTCTGAAAACAACCATATATAATTAAGATATTGGATAGATAATTGTCTCCCTCTTCTCCTCCCCCCCCCCCCCCCCCCCCAATCTCTCTCATAATGGAATATTATGTGGATGTCTGCCTATCTTTCCATGTGTGTGAGTGTGTGTGTATATATGTGTGTGTTTGTGTGAGCACATGTGCGTTTGTGTGGGTGTGAATATGTGTCTGTATGTTTTTGCATTCCTACTTGCCGTCGCTACTTCACAGGAACTACCTGGTACCCATTTAAACCTGGCAACCGAGATAATTTTTGAAAAAAAAAAAAAGGTCAGGCTCCATCGGGATCAGAACCCACTGCCTTCTGATCTGCAGGTGAGCATCTAGCCGCTACATCACAGTGGCTCCCACACTATCATGAGTACCTGAACTTTTTTTAAAATTCTAGAAAGCAAAAGTCCTGTAGGTGCTTGTATGCACTTGTCATTCATGCTTTTGTATCTTCACATGCTTTTGTATCTTCACTTGCTTTTGTATCTTCACTTGCTTTTGTATCTTCACTTGCTTTTGTATCTTCACTTGCTTTTGTATCTTCCAATGCTTTTAGGAGCTTCACATCACATGATTTGTATCTTCACATCGTTTGTATCTTCACATGCTCTTTTGTATCTTCACTTGCTTTGCATCTTTCACTTTGCTTTGTATCTCACTTGCTTTTTGTATCTTCACATGCTTTTGTATCTTCACTTGCTTTTGTATCTTCACATGCTTTTGTATCTTCACTTGCTTTTGTATCTTCACATGCTTTTGTATCTTCACATGCTTTTGTATCTTCACTTGCTTTTGTATCTTCACATGCTTTTGTATCTTCACATGCTTTTGTATCTTCACATGCTTTTGTATCTTCACATGCTTTTGTATCTTCACATGCTTTTGTATCTTCACTTGCTTTTGTATCTTCACATGCTTTTGTATCTTCACATGCTTTTGTATCTTCACATGCTTTTGTATCTTCACATGCTTTTGTATCTTCACATGCTTTTTGTATCTTCACATTGCTTTTTGTATCTCACATGCTTTTTGTATCTTCACTTGCCTTTTGTATCTTCACTTGCTTTTGTATCTTCACTTGCTTTTGTATCTTCACTTGCTTTTGTATCTTCACTTGCTTTTGTATCTTCACATGCTTTTGTATCTTCACATGCTTTTGTATCTTCACATGCTTTTGTATCTTCACATGCTTTTGTATCTTCACTTGCTTTTGTATCTTCACTTGCTTTTGTATCTTCACTTGCTTTTGTATCTTCACATGCTTTTGTATCTTCACTTGCTTTTGTATCTTCACATGCTTTTGTATCTTCACTTGCTTTTGTATCTTCACATGCTTTTGTATCTTCACATGCTTTTGTATCTTCACTTGCTTTTGTATCTTCACATGCTTTTGTATCTTCACATGCTTTTGTATCTTCACATGCTTTTGTATCTTCACATGCTTTTGTATCTTCACATGCTTTTGTATCTTCACATTGCTTTTTGTATCTTCACATGCTTTTGTATCTTCACATTCTTTTTGTATCTTCACATGCTTTTGTATCTTCACATGCTTTTGTATCTTCACATGCTTTTGTATCTTCACATGCTTTTGTATCTTCACATGCTTTTGTATCTTCACTTGCTTTTGTATCTTCACATGCTTTTGTATCTTCACATGCTTTTGTATCTTCACTTGCTTTCACTTCAGATCTTTTCATGAGTCGCACCGGCACTGGTTGTCTTCCTCTTCTTCGCATTCGCCAGCTTTAAACTCCGGCGGAAAGTTCTGGTTGCTCATCCACTTCTGGACTCCAGTCCTGTTCCAGAAACTGTGTGTTGTGTGCACATCCGTTTCATGACTCTGACTCATCTGCATGCAGACTGTTGGTTCCCCACACCTCAGGTAGATGTACTTACTCTGACTTCCAAGGAAGCTCCAGTCTAGTCGACTCTTACGACATGCTTCTGGGCAGGCAGTGGGTCTATTCTTGTCTTTCCCACAGTGGGGTCTGCAACCCACACGGAGAGCACTGGTTAAAAAGTATTTCTGGCTGTATTTTTACTGGATGACCAAAACCATTTGATCTTCTGTTTCTCAGCTAATTTGCTGTATGGTGTTGTTTCCACAGTCTGTCTGATAATATCATTTCTAACTGTGTCTCGGATGGTTAAGTTCACAGCTTTTCTCAGGCATCTCATTTCACAGGCATGAATTTTGCATTGGCTGGCCTTTGATAATGACCAAGTCTGGCACTGGTAGCACAGTGTTGGTATAATAATGCTGTTAATATCTGTTTCTTGGCGCTCACACTTATGTTTGGATGTCTTAATAACGGTATCAGTTGGTATATAAGTACATATTGGCATCTTTTTTGTATTTCCCGATCCATGTCCCCGTCCTCTCAGAATATACTTCCTAGATATTTAAATTCTTTAACTTGCTTCAGACAAGTACCATTCAACCCAATATGTAGCATGACTAGGAATTCCACTGACATGCATTACTTCAGTTTTAGTGGTACTGATTTTCATGTAATATCTTCTGCATGTTGAACTTAGCCTGTTCAAATGGTCTTTCAATCTACTCCCTTTATGAGGACACAGGTGAGGAGTATTGTCTGGATTTTTTAACCAGGAGACGCCGGTGTGTTGGGAAATGAACAGGCGAACAGACTGGCTAGCTCTGCACAACTTGGTGGAATACTCATGCATGATAAGATAGACGTGGTTAGTGCCTTGTGGGAGAGCGTGTACAATTCAGAGGAGCAGATGGATCACCACAGTCTGGTGAGATTGATGCATCGGGGAGTGACAAGAGGTTCTGGCAGATACTCGAGGCTCAGAGGAAAGGCAAGACGGATGTTTAATCAGAATGCTACTGGCCCCATTAGTATCCGAATTGTTCACTGGCTGCTTAGGATGGGGGCAGAGCACTTATGGAAATGCCCCGAGAGCTATGATGTCGGTTCGTGAATCAGCTCAACTCCACTTATGAAGTGAAGCAGTGAAATCTATAAACATCCAGGCCCAGTTTGTCACAGGAGTCACGTCATTCTGAAACCTTCTACTCCACCCACCCACACACCTTCTGGACTGACAGATATGCATCACAAATACACCACAATGGACCTTCCTATGCTGATGAATTTCTCAAGGTTTCATCCCTTCACGTATTTTTTTTTTTTTACAGAAAAATTAGATAACAGAACCCTGCTCCAGTTTGGTACATCTCAAAAGTGGGGTGGCCATCTTGTAACTGTCATTATGACATCACTATGTTTATCTGCTTTACAGCTTGACATCCTTAACAATAAAACTGACAGGTTACAAGACCATGGCATGGTTATTGTGATTTTTATTACACTTTTAAGATTTTTTATTTGAAGTTCCCTTGCACCATTTATATATTTTATACATACATACACACAAAACCACAAACTTACAATGCAATCCTTTTTTTTTTTTTTTTTTGGCGATTCTCACATTTATAAATTATTATGAGTTCTTGATATATGACTATTAAAAAATGTAGGGTCCATAGCAAAGCTCTGACAATAAATAGCAATTCCACAGGTCTTTGCTGTTTGGGAACCCCTGTCATTCCTCAACCTCTCTCCGATAAATGAAAGGCATTTTCAAAACTGGAAGGATCTCAATGCATCAGAACAGAAAGGCAAGAGGACTGACTTTATTGCACCAGGTTTTATCCCATACAGCTTAGTCTCTCTCCACACAGAGCTGAGCAGAGTTGAGTTGAGTCCAGAATTGACATCACAGCACTCAGGGTATTTCCGTGCATGCTCCATCCTCATCTTCAGCAGCCAGCGCAGAGTTCCAATACTGATGGTACCGGTCGCAATCTGGTTATATGTTGTCTTGCCTTTCCTCTGAGTGTAGTGAGCCGGTCAGACCCTCTGGTTACACCCAGATGCCTCATTCTCTACAGGACATAATAATCTTCTATCTCTACTGATTCCTTTGCTTGTTCCCAAAGGGCCTTGAGCACATCTGCCTTGTTGTGTATCTCCACGCAGAATGGCTAGCAACCTGCTGACTGTGCTGCACGAAGCCCGAACTCCATAAAACTCATTCTTCCAGAAAAATAAACAACTAACCACAATGAGAAGAAGCTTCTCAAACAGCTAATTGTGGATTTACCTTTGACAGAAGCCTGACACAGATGGTGACACAATTGAGCAAAGTCCCAAAGGATATTGCTCCATCGTTGTCATCTAATGAAGGTGTACTAAAGCCAAGAGTTAGGACTGGTTCCCATTCTTTCACATCAGTGCTCTGTCATGGAAATCACATAAGGTCAAATGTTTTAATCTGAACAAGTATGACTAAATAAAAGATAATGCCATAGCTTTTTAAAAAAGTCTTAAGACAAATCTTTGAACCCATCAAAAATGCAAACAGCAGAGAATAAGGAGTGAGAAACAACAACAAAATTCATAATCTATTTGAATCATGACTATTTACTGTCATCATGAGGGCTTCTCAACTGCAATGGTTGGCACAAATCAAGAGAATAACAGATAACAGAGAGATTAAAACTGTGTACACAAGAGTTAAATGGGAGTAGACTATGAGGCAGACCAAGAAGTCAGGCGATAGATAACATAATTAGGTCCACTAACACTTGGAATCACGAAGTGAAAGAGAAGACCAATCGCAGAAATGGATGGAGGTGGGTGATATTTGCAGCATTCTTCTTCTTCTTCTTCTCTTCTTAGCGTTCACTGGATGAAAACTCCGGCAGAATGTTCTAGTTGTTCATTTACTTGTGGACCCTGTCTTGTTCCGGAACCTGAATTTTATGTGCACATTCGTTTTACAAATGTGGCTTATGTGTATGCAGACTGTTGCTTCCTCGTCTCTCATGCAGACACTCTGACTTTTCCCACAAGGGGAACAGAGATGGATGAAGATGGGAGATAATCTGCAGCAGTGAACCTGAAGTGCATGGAATTCTGAAGAAAAAAAGAAGAAACTGCCACTGAATGTGAATTGTTGGGGCTTCACATTCTAACTGAGAACCAGGTGGTCTGGCCCATTACCTTTCCCTAACAGAAAATTCAGGAGATTTGTAAGAGGCTGTGTCGACATCAGTGTCTGAATAGCTAAATCAAACCTGGCATGTTGGAATTCTGAAACTAATTTCAGTGACCTAAAGTCGCAGATGTTTATCGCTGAAATAACAAAGTTCAACAAATGTGTGATTAACCAAGAGATGTATGACTGAAATGTGTGGTGTTCACTCAGAGAAGCAGCTAGCCAAATGATCAGAGCATCTGGCTCCCAGGGAATTGGAAACTACCCTCAGTGAGAAATAGACCCCTAACCTTCAAAATTTGTGGCAGCTGCACTAGCCATGCTGCCTTAAATCTTCAGGCCCACAACCTAGTGATGTATTATACTAAGAGATGCGTGATATTGACTAAGAGTTGTGTGATGCTAATTAACTGATGTGTATGTTGACGTATTGATGTGTGCTTGTTCACTAATTGATGTATGATTTTGACTAAGTGATGTTGACTAAGTGGTATGTGATGTTGACTAACTGATGTGTGATGTCGACTAAGTGATGTGTGGTGGTGACTAAGTGATGTGTGGTGGTAACTAAGTGATGTGTGAAGTTGTCTAAGTGATGTGTGATGTTGACTAACTGATGTGTGATGTTGACTTAGTGATGTGTGAAACTGACTAAGTGATGTGTAATGTTGACTTAGTTATTTGTGATGTTGAATAAGTCATGTGTGATGTTGACTAAGTAATGTGTGATGTTGACTAAATGATGTCTCATACTAACAGATTTTATAAAAGATGTGTGATTATCTGAAGAGATAATTAAATACAAAGGTGGTGACTGCCTGCAAATGAGCCTAGCTGATGGCATCAGTAACAATTTTTCTTTAAAGCACGCCCCAGCTGGTAACTTTACACTGGCCAGACAATAAAGTACCTACATCTGTATAAAGTTCTGGTTCTATGAGCAGCGGCCAGACATCTTCATCAAGCGCCTTGCTGACATGTACATCATCTTCATCAAGCACCTAGCTAACATGTACATCATCTTCATCAAGCACCTTGCTGACATGTACATCATCTTCATCAAGCACCTTGCTGACATGTACATCATCTTCATCAAGCACCTTGCTGACATTACATAAATCTTCATCAAGCGCCTTATCTGACATGTAGTAATCATCTTCATCAAGCGCCTTGCTGACATGTACATCATCTTCATCAAGCGCCTTGCTGACATGTACATCATCTTCATCAAGCACCTTGCTGACATGTACATCATCTTCATCAAGCGCCTTGCTGACATGTACATCATCTTCATCAAGCGCCTTGCTGACATGTACATCATCTTCATCAAGCGCCTTGCTGACATGCCTTTCCACAGCTTTCGATCTCCAGCAGCATTATCAGTGAGTGCGCTGTCAGCCCTCCATGCCATGAAAAAACAGGCTGTCCTCTCTCTTTCTCCAGTCCCCGCAACATGTTGTAGTTTCTATCTTCTTAGAACATGGTCCCAAATAAATGATGACTGTCTCTTTCTAATAACTGTGATAAGCTGTCTTCAAGGTACTGGCCTCTTTAACAACATCTAGACTACCAATTTCCGGATGTCCAAGGAATTTTAAGTACCTTTGCATAAAACCACATCTCAGGCCTCAAGATAGTGGCATGTTTACTAACTGTCCAGGATTTACAGCCACATGTTAAAACTGACAAGCAATATATTTATCTTATTATTATATAGGGCTTCTTACTTGGTCAAGCAAAATTTCTGGCAGGGGCGGAGTAAAATGTTTCATGCAGGCTAGGCCCTTGGTTACAAGCTTTAGGATGCTGGAAAAAAATAAACAAAATAATTAAATTACACTTTATTTTCAAAGCAGCATTAATATGCAAACCCTGTGTGTGACGCAGAAGATTTATCAAACAAGAGAGAGCACAACCTACACACAAGAACAACTGGACGTTTTGGCTGGTTATTATACAAGACCCCCCCCCCTTCCTCCCCTCCCACACCCCCCCACCCCCCTCTTTGTGGGGACTAGTGGCCAGGCTGTTCTGCCCCTTGTTGCTGTAGTGTTTCGTGTTGAGAAAGGCTCTGGCCGAAACATCCAGTTTGTGTGTGTGTGCATGTGTGTGTGTGTGTGTGTGTGCATGGGTGCATTGTTCCCCTTCTCCCCTTCATTTAAGCTTGTGTTAAGAGATTTGATATGCTGACTACGTGATGTGTGATGCTGACTAAAGTGATGTGTGATGCTGACTAAAGTGATGTGTGATGCTGACTAAAGTGATGTGTGATGCTGACTAAAGTGATGTGTGATGCTGACTAAAGTGATGTGTGATGCTGACTAAAGTGATGTGTGATGCTGACTAAAGTGATGTGTGATGTTTAATTGGTGCATGATGTTGACTAAGTGATGTCTAATGTTTACTGAGGGAGGAGTCAAAAGAATGATAGCAGGATCTAGCAAACCAGGAACAAATCTGCAAAGGGATGGTGTCAGCTGGTTAAAGCCTATGGGAGATGAAAGGCAGAAAAAGAACAGTTCTAAACCTGACTTTCCTAGGCCTGAAGGTCTCCAAGTTCACATCCAAATCATGGTAAACACCCCCCCCCCCCCCCCCCGCTGGCTCCCAGGTTGACTCATCTAAAATCGGTATCAGGCAATGTGAGGCAAAGGCAGCTGACACGACACTGACATCACCCAATGAGTACTAACTGGTCTCTACAAATATCAGTATTTTATCATATGCCTGATGTGTCAGTGACAATTTTTTTTTTTAAGTGGGGGTGAGGGGTTACAGGGGTAGGGTTGCAGTGGGTGCGATCGGGGTGTGGGTCCCTTCCTGCCTGACTTTACTTAAGTTCACATCATCATCATCATTCAGCAGGTCCTATACAGACCATCACTCTCTTCACAGTACAACTGAAAGTCTCTCTTTCTCTAGCCACTTCTCCAGCCCTATGTGCTTTCACAGCCAATGCATCTTCAATGTTTTGTATCCACCTTCGTTTGGTCAGCCTGTCTTATTTTCTGGAAACCGCACCCTCCATCACCATTTTCTCCAGGCCAACATGACGCGTAACATGGGCAAGTTCACAAACTAGCAAAACACTTGAAAAGTTGTCAGTGGAAAACACCAAACTGACAAACCTGTTTTGTGCATCCAGCAGTTTTCTGGTGGGCTGTTCCACGTCTTCCAGAGAGCTCTGGTGCTGAATGACTGCAGACGTGAGGATGCAGGCGTCTGCTCTGCTCCAGCTCTCCTGCCCTTTGGGATGCTGAGCAAGAACACCAACAAAAGCACAGTTATGACAACAATAGCCAGTTTATGACAGGCAACAATATCATAATTATAACATACAACAGGCGGATTATGACATGCAACAATATCAAGATTAGGACATGCAACAATATCAAGATTATGACATCCAACAATATTACAATTATGACATACAATAATAGCCAGATTATGATATGCAACAATAGCCAGATTATGATGTGCAACATCACCACAATTGTGACATACAACAATAGCCAGATTCTGACACGCAACATTATCACGATCATGACATGCAACAATATCAAGATTATGATGTGCAACAGTCGCCGGATTATGACATGCAATAGCAATAGGACTGTGACATGCAACAAAAGGAAGATTATGACATACATCAATATCAAGATTATGACATGCAACAATAGCCAGATTATGACATGCAACAGCAACAGGATTGTGACATGCAACAACAGGAAGATTATGACCAAGGCCCATGATTACCACGGCAAAAAAAATAAAAATCACAAATTTTGCGGCATGCTTTGTCAAATTACACACCATGTTTTGTCAAATTCTGCAGCGCAGAATATGCAATACCATAATTATAATTTGTGACCCAAGGCATGTACCTATTTCTCCAAGTGTAAGATGATCCCTACAAGTGACGTACCTTGATTTTGGGACCAGAAAATTTGCGGCTGGGGGAAAGGGGGAAATAACATGAAAACATAAAATCTATCATTGTATAAGAAGCACAGGTTTTAGACCCTACATTTTGGGAAAATAAGTATCTCTTATACTTGGAGAAACATGGCATATCGAATCGTTCACATCCACATATATTAATCCCCATATTGCTTATATGTGTAGTTCTGTCCTTAAAAAACTATCAAATAATATTTCTGAAGTTATTATTTATTATTGAAGAAATAAGCACTCATAGATTGTATTGTAACAGAGAATACCTCAGTGATGACAGAACAGATGCATATTTCGAGAATGAGCATCAAAAGTGACAATAATTTTTCTACCTTTTCTAACACCTGAGAACATTATTTCATTAGCAAAGTCACTCCTTTAGCCACATCAGCCGTCTTTAGCGCACATTTGTTCTTTAAGATAGTACAGATCGCAGATTTAGCCAGTCCTACTGGACATGGCTTATCGAAATCAGAAATACTAACACAATTCTAATGTTTAGTTAATGTTTTTTTCTTCGCTTTTACTCTAATATGTTAGGCTTCTTTTCACCACTGTCACTAGCACTTTTCACTTTCTTGGGAGCCATAATGAGGGTTCATTTAATGCAAAAAGAAGGGGAGGAAATGAAATAAAAAACTTGCACCATGAACAATGTTACGACAAACAATATGTACAGCATGCAAACCTGAGATGCTGTTTGCAAGCTGAAAGCATGGCGACAAAGCCATTACGTGTGCCAAGGCACCATGAGATTGTTCGCAGGTTGAGTCAAAATCTGTTGGGATATTGTGTTCATGGGCCGATCTGTTCCTCACTAGAGGCATTGTGACCCACTGTATAAGGAATATTTAAAAAAGACATTCGCCTTCTGCCAAATTTGTAATTTTCTGTGGCCTTTAGGTTAATACTCTTAATTCCACAGGGTGACGAAAAATCCTGAGGGCTGTGGTAAATCGCTGGCCCTAATTATAACACACAACAAAAGCAGGATTATGACATGCAATAATGGTAATATAATGTGCAATAATGGCAAGATAACATGCAAAATCATTATGATAATGTGCAACATTGACAAGACAGTAGTGATATGCAATAATGGTAACATGTCAATGTGCAACAACTGTTAACATAGTGAAGTGATAATTATACGGCATGAGTGAATGAACGAACAAATGAATGAATGATTGAACAAACTAACTTCATTTTACAAGAGTCACAAAATCAGTACATAGGCTTATAATTTGCCCTTCCAAACACTATAACACATCAAATGTATTTTATCTAAAAAGCGTGTTATGGTCATATAGCAAAAATACTTAATATGAGCATAAAGTAAAAATACAAAGCATGCAGCAGGTACGTGGCGGGTACGTGGCAGGTACGTGGCAGGTACGTGGCAGGTACTGAGGCTTGAGTAATAACCTTTTCAACCAGTCAAAAAAAAAAAAAATATGACTAGAAAAGTAATCAAATGTGATACAAGAGATCTCTGCACTGCTGGTACCAATCCGATAACACTAATGCCTGCAGCATGTTGAATGTTGAATGAAGAACTTACATCATATTACTCAGGACACTTCCTAAGCGCTTCGTCCCCATTAGCAGCAAGTGAAGAGTTCCAATTCAGATGGTGCCAGTAAATGTCTGACTGAACATCCATCTTGCCTTTCTAAAGATTGTTGAGCCTTGGCCAGCAGCCCCTGGTAACCCCCCGTAGCATCATTCGCCTCAGACCATTATGATCCATTTGTGCTTCTGCATTGTTCACTGGCTCCCAAAGGGTCCTTACAACATCTAGCTTGTCACACATCAAGTCACCACCGAGTCGTCAGAACCGGCCAGTCTTAACTGCCTGTTTGTTTACCAACACATCAAAATATCCAAAGGAACACTAGCTACCAGGGACCTCTGAAGCGATGCTTGCCATCTGCACAGGGCAAGCCTGTCTTCACTTTTTCTCAATGCCTGCAGGAATCTGACGGTAACGATTAGTGAGGAGTGGCTGGCTGAGTGGTTGCTTGGTATGCTGTGAGATAATGTGTAGTCTCAGCTTGTCACTGACTCCCTCTATCCATGTTCCTATAGGTCTCCCTCTGCCTCATAGTGTTTCTAATTTTATGTTGAACGCTCTTACTGCTGGGATAATGGGTTTTATTCTCAAGAGATGCTGCATTGAAGGAGCTACCGTAGCCCCTATGTTCTTCATAAGCATAATTTAGGAATGTTTGTGGTTTATAAGTAATTGTTTTCTTTCTCTTGATTCTGTATACCAGTCTTGTTTTGATGTTAGAGTTAACTATAACCAGTCTGGTACTAAATTTAATTTACTTTACTCCCATAAATTTTTAATATCCATGAAACCTCCTCATACACTGTATTTTTTAAAATTATTTTAATGCTTTCATACTTTGAAATTATGTGCAGAAAGGTGAAAAATTAAGAAATAAGAGAAGGAAGGGAAAGAAAGGAGATGAAAGGAGGCATTAACTTTCAATGTATCATTTGCATCCTGACAAGACAAGACTGATGTACATCTCTCACTGTAACCAAACTTACCTCCAGCAAATGTAGCAGATACTGTGGACGTATCAGCAAAGCCACGTATGACTGTATCATCGCCATCAGACAGCCCTGTCAAACAGATTCAAAACAGGGAGCTAATCAACATAACCATCATGTGTCATACCCGTAAACACAGATGGTCAAAGCTTACCATCTCAAATGACTACTGAAATCCCACATTAGATGTTCCGACAATGTTCATGATATTTGGTGAAGCCCATGTTAGATGTTCCGACAATGTTCATGATATTTGGTGAAGCCCATGTTAGATGTTCTGACAATGTTCATGATATTTGGTGAAGCCCACATTAGATGTTCCGACAATGTTCATGATATTTGGTGAAGCCCACGTTAGATGTTCTGACAATGTTCATGATATTTGGTGAAGCCCACATTAGATGTTCCGACAATGTTCATGATATTTGGTGAAGCCCATGTTAGATGTTCTGACAATGTTCATGATATTTGGTGAAGCCCACGTTAGATGTTCTGACAATGTTCATGATATTTGGTGAAGCCCACGTTAGATGTTCTGACAATGTTCATGATATTTGGTGAAGCCCACGTTAGATGTTCTGACAATGTTCATGATATTTGGTGAAGCCCACGTTAGATGTTCTGACAATGTTCATGATATTTGGTGAAGCCCATGTTAGATGTTCTGACAATGTTCATGATATTTGGTGAAGCCCACGTTAGATGTTCTGACAATGTTCATGATATTAGGTGAAGCCCACATTAGATGTTCTGACAATGTTTATGATATTTGGTGAAGCCCACGTTAGATGTTCTGACAATGTTTATGATACATGGTGAAGCCCATGTTAGATGTTCTGACAATGTTCATGATATTTGGTGAAGCCCACGTTAGATATTCTGACAATGTTCATGATATTTGGTGAAGCCCACATTAGATGTTCTGACAATGTTTATGATATTTGGTGAAGCCCACGTTAGATGTTCTGACAATGTTTACGATACATGGTGAAGCCATCAAGGAATTTAACTTTTAATCAAGCTTACCAGATATCACTAATTTATGGAGTTCAAGGAAGGTCATATGCATACATTTTACATCATTAGTAGCTGTCTTTATTACAGGTTTCACATTGCAGAAGTTTTATTCTTGTTTGAATAATGACAGCATATATTAAAAATAGCAGTCCTGCTATATGGTGCAGAAACTTGGACAATGAACAAGCAACTAGAAAATTGAATTGAATCTCCAAAAATGTAGGTATACAGAAGAACAGATCATATTTCATGAAGATAAAAAAGTCCAATACAGAGCTTCTGGAAAGACTACAAATAGTAATCCCTTTGGCTGGGTCCTATGAATATCGCAACTCTTTGGCCTTGATTCCATGATAGATACCGTAAATCTGGAAGAAATGTGGCTTTCCTGCTTACCCCCGGGCGAAAACCCGGACCACAAGGAGTCAGGTTTAACCAACGGAGCTAGCGAGCCGGTAACCGGTTTTAAAGTATACAGTAAACCGTTGTTAACATGAACTCATTTTAAGATGAACACTTGGTTAATATAAACAAAAATTTGGTCCCAGGAGGGATGTATAATTCATAATACATCTATTTGTCACGACTTTTTTTTTTTAACAAGATCTCTTGATGTTTCAGCCCTTGGGATTTGTGTTAACAGGGTTTTTTTTTTATACATACAAAATAATTTCACACCTTTAAAATTTTCTAAGTGGTACTTTAACTTTAGACAGGCATTACTAGCTCCAAAAAATAGCATATATTACATTGTTAAATCTTTCCAAATATTCAAACCTACCATAATATTTGCCATGACACCTGGCAAATGAAACCGCCACTGTCTATGGTAGGCACACAACTGCAGCAAAAAATTACAAGTGGCCTCAGCTTCCACAATGGCCGGCTTGCTTGTAACTACCCGAGCCATCTCCAGAGCCTGTCAGCAGTTAGGAAACAACGTTACCTCAACTGAGAACACAACAACACAAAGACACACCTCTTTTTCCCTCCACCATTCCTTACCTCATCCAACTCATGCCAAATTGTATCATTCTTCTCTTGTGGTGGTTATGATTTGATCATTCTTCTCTTATAATGGCATGTGACTGGTTTTTCTGGATTTCATGCTGCATCTTCCATCATTTGATTGCTCTCTCATTTCCAGGTAAACTAGGGCGTTTTTTTTTTTAATTTTTAACTTTTTCATTTCAATTTCTGCACAATTTCTCTATAAATGTTTAAAAATAACATATTACCTCTATAAATAAATAGAAATAACAGATTACCTATATAAATGTATAGACTAACACCAACACTCCTCTATTATAAATTACCTCTATAAATGTTTAGAAATAACAGATTACTCTTATTAATGTATAGAACAACTAACACCAACACTCATCTATTAGAATTTACCTCTATAAATGTTTAGAAATAACAGATTACCTCTATAAATGTTTATAACAACTAACACCAACACTCCTTTATTAGAATTTACCTCTATAAATGTTTAGAAATAACAGATTACCTTTATAAATGCATATAACAACTAACACCAACACTCCTTTATTAGAATTTACCTCTATAAATGTTTAGAAATAACAGATTACCTCTATAAATGTATATAACAACTAACACCAACACTCCTTTATTAGAATTTACCTCTATAAATGTTTAGAAATAACAGATTACCCTTATTAATGTATAAAACAACTAACACCAACACTCATCTATTAGAATTTACCTCTATAAATGTTTAGAAATAACAGATTACCTCTATAAATGTTTATAACAACTAACACCAACACTCCTTTATTAGAATTTACCTCTATAAATGTTTAGAAATAACAGATTACCTCTATAAATGCATATAACAACTAACACCAACACTCCTTTATTAGAATTTACCTCTATAAATGTTTAGAAATAACAGATTACCTCTATAAATGTATATAACAACTAACACCAACACTCGTTTATTAGAATTTACCTCTTTAAATGTTTAGAAATAACAGATTACCTCTATAAATGTTTAGAAATAACAAATTACCTCTATAAATGTACAAAATCATTAACACAAATATGGATGAACAGACACATGAATAGGCTGATTCACTACTGAAAAAGTGACACATACAGACAGACAGACAGACAGACAGACAGACAGACAGACAGACATGGACAGACAGACACAGACAGACAGACAGACAGACAGACAGACAGACAGACAGACAGACAGACAGACAGACAGACAGACAGACAGACAGACAGACAGACAGACAGACAGACAGACAGACAGACAGACAGACAGACAGACAGACAGACAGACAGACAGACAGACAGACAGACAGACAGCATGGCTGCGATATTTACACTTTTTTGGCTAACACATCCGACTTTTGCGGATATTTGTTGATCAGGTTAACTTTTCCATTTAGTTTCATGGGACACTGCAGTCTCATTGTTGTGTGGTCATCTTTGTTTCCCAGGTCACAGGCGGTGCCCCACATCAGCCCAGTCCAGAAAAGCCATGTAATGGTGGTCAGTTCTCAAGAGAAGGCAGGGGCAGAACATCAGCATTCCCCGCCATCGAAGAAAGCTTCCATAAATGCAGAGCTAATACATGGTGCTCTGGTACTGGGCTCACCCAAGGAATCGTCACGACCTGCTCATGACTGTTTAACCTCACTTCCATATATTGTACATCTCATCCACCAGGGACTAAATTTTTCGCAGTCAATAGTTAGCAGACCTGGGATTTCTATCACCAAAACAAAATGGGTAATCTGCTTCTTTTGCATGTTAGACTTTTACTGCAGTGGACTTCCACGTCCACTATAGTTTTATATGCCATTTCCCACACAGATGCCAAGGGGCATCCAGTGTGGCAGTATACAGAGAGACGGGTCTGTTTCATATTCTTCCCATATCATGGTTTATAAACTCTACATCTCTAGGGACTGTCAGTTCCAAGGATCCCTGACGGTTTTCTTCTTCTCATGCCTTCAGACGTCAATGTGAATATGTTTAAACAAATCAGCAGTCAACCTGAGGTTGTTGACATCTCCACAGAGTTTGTCCTCAAAGTGAGCAGGTGTTAGCCAGAATAATTGTCTCTGTTCTGCATATGTTGGACACTCTTGTAGCAGGTGTTGGCCAGAATAATTTTTTCTGTTCTGCATATGTTGGACACTCTTGTAGCAGGTGTTGGCCAGAATAATTGTCTCTGTTCTGCATATGTTCGACACTCTTGTAGCAGGTGTAGGCCAGAATAATTGTCTCTGTTCTGCATATGTTGGACACTCTTGTAGCAGGTGTAGGCCAGAAAAATTGTCTCTGTTCTGCATATGTTGGACACTCTTGTAGCAGGCGTTGGCCATCATTTTAACCTTTACACAGCTACAGTCATCAGTGTCTCCTAACTTTAGCTTATTGAACAAGTGCTGTTTCAGTCTGCTGTGTCCTGTACGGAGTCTAAAGATCACTACTTGTTCTCTTCGGGTAAGTTGGTAGCATGCATAACCCTTCTTGTGGTCTAGATGTTTTGGTACTAGAGTTACTTCTTCTAAACCTCTTGGCCTCATCATAAGTTAGGTCTGTATCAGACTGCGGCAGTCTTCCACCTTTCTTTGTCAATCTGGCAGCCTCTTCATTCCCAGGTATGTTGCAATGGGATGGAATCCACTGTACTATGATTCTTTTTCATTTCTGACAGTCCATGGAGAGGCAAGAAGAAGAAGAAGAATATGGAGGAGGAGGAGGAGGAGAAGGAGGAAGAGGAGAAGAAGGAGGAGCAGCAGCAGAAGAAGAAGAAGAAGAAGAAGAAGAAGAAGCAGAAGAAGAAGAAGAAGAAGAAGAAGAAGTAGAAGTAGAAGGAGGAGGAGGAGGAGAAGAAAAAGAAAAAGAAGAAGAAGAAGGAGGAGGAGGATGAGGATGAGGAGGAGGAGAAGGAGGATGAGGAGAAGGAGGAGAAAAAGAAGAAGAAGAAGAAGAATGCACAGAACAGACTCAAAACTGAACATAATAAGCCACCTGCTGTAATCTATCTTGATGAACTCCAACAACATTCAAGGCATCGTCCAGGAAGGAGTGTCTGAGTACCCGAAGCATGCAGGCAAACAGATCTAGGCTCAAGCAGTACAAAGTATGTCGGTTAACTGTGACAGGTCGCACGCTGCTAAATGTCTGTATAGAGAATCGGAAAGAGAAGAAAAAGTAGCAATTACATTTTATTTTTAAACATTCACACATGCAGATAAGCATAGGCAATCACAGTTTGCTATCTCATAAAATCACCACAACAGATCAGGTCAGTTTTCTTATCCGGCCAAATGAGATGAGCCATAAGTGGCCAAGCCACCCAGGTATTATCTGTCATCTCCTCACTTTCTTCTTTCCATCAAGCGCTTGCCAGCTATCATTAGTACTTCATTGCTAAAGACTTTTGCTTGAATGTTTGGCTACATTTGTGATTGTCTTTTCCACTCCCCTTATTGAGCTCTGCTTAAGATAGTCTAAACATTTAAATGTATTTTTTTTTTCCAATATGTTTTTTTTTTTTTTTTTTTTAAAGCTGTGATAAAGACTTTGATGGAAATGTGTGACTGTACTTGCCTGCATCCCCTTTGCTTTGCTTCCTAGGCTTCTTGTGTTGTATTTAGTACTTTTTTATGTTTTTTGCATTTTTGTCAAAAACCAAGTCCAAGTCCTTTTGAGAAAAAAATGAAAATTTCGACCACTTTCAGACTGCTGCTAGCTAGCCGAGGCTGCTAACAGTCTCCGTCTATATTTGTGGTCTGGATTATTTGCGTTACTTTCGTGACTAAATTCTAGTATTGCGCCATTTCTGGGTTTGAAGTTCCTTCCGAGTCAGACCACTCGTCCTCCACCCTGTTGTTACTTGTGCATGTCTTTTCTCTACTTTCTTGGTGTTTCCTGTTTGTTTTGTCTCCCTTTGATTTGGCTTGTCAGAAACCGCATTTCTGTTGTTTTTAAATATTGCTCAGCTTGTCTCCTGACTGTCAAACCATTTGGCTTACAGAAAACTTTACAGGTTCTAGATAGCACTTCAAGCCTTTTTTATTCATCGCAGTTGGCATCTTTGTATTGGTATCTTTTGCATCTTGCAAAAGGATATTTTTGCCATGGTGATTCTTGTTCTAATCCATACAGGACAGCTATCACAATGATGAGACTGTTCTTTCTCATCTACATGACTGGTTGCATGCTAAATATATACCTATTTCTTCTACCTACAGTTCACCAGCTGTAAACTCCAGGGGAAAGTTCTGACTGTTTGTCATTGTTCTGGATTTTAGTCTCGTTCTAGAACTTGAGTTCTCGTTGCAAATCCATTTTACAGATCTGGTTTATTTAAATGCAGACTGTTTGTTACTCGTCTCTCAGGCTCTTCAACTTCGAAGGAAACAGTCTTAATCATTCACCTTTTACAACACACTTGTTGGGGAGGGAGGGTGGGGGGTGTCGGCCTTAATCACTGTGAACACGCTTCGTAATGCCGGGTTTGATGGCAGCTGCAGGCGTTTTGGCAGCCAAACATCTTGCATGTGTTTCAACAGTAAACTGAGAGCTGACCCTTCAGGAAACAAATAAACGTAAAATTTGCCTAGAAAAAAAACAGCCAAAAATTGGTAGGGTTGGTTCTGCAACGTCCTGTAAAGGATACACAACCAACGTATATTAAAAAAGGGGGTTGGGGGGGTCTTATTTTCTCCAAAAAGGGGTCCCGGAACCCACATGGGGAAAACATACCCACTTAACTTCAAACTTACCTCCTCTCACTTGCATCCCCTCTAATCCTCTCATTCATTATAAGATCTGCCTTCCTACTTATCCATGCGTCCAACAGGAATAAAAGGGCCCTTTTTACACATCAGATACAATCTTTGCATATGGTGCTAATCACATATCTTTTACAGACGAACAAGCACCTCATAGCTGCCTTTACTTCCCCAGGACATATCCTCATACCTATTTTAGACTGGGCCAAGCTAGGAGGCTAGGTCCATTTGTAAAAATCCAACATGATTCAAATCTATGACCATCAAACCGACAGGCAAAAATACTATCAATGGTGAAACTATGGGGGTGACTGCAGTCAAGTCTCCAACAATAAGAAAGTCAAGGACACGTTACAATCATTTATTTCACAGGGTACTCTTCCTAAGCAGGCCAACAATATGTGTGTTTTTGACAGCCAACTTGGCAAACCGTGTATGTACTTGCTGCCTAAGATCCATAAGCCCAACAACCCTGGACGTCCCATTGTATCTGCATGCTCCTGTCCCATGGTGTATCTTTCTGAATTTTTAGATAGTATTTTCCAACCGCTTGTCACCAGTCTCCCTTCATTTGTCAAGGACACCAACCATGCCCTCAACATTTTCGAATCCATCAGACTACTTCCCGGTAAAACCTATCAACTTTTCCTGATAGACGTATGCTCCCTCTATACGTCTATCCCTCACTCTGATGGTCTTAGAGCACTCCAGTTCTTTTTGGACAGAAGGTCCAACCCGATCATCCCTACTTCAGTTCTTGTACGCCTTGCCGAACTGGTACTGACCCTTAACTCTTTTGAGTTCAATGGTGAGTATTTTGACCAGATCAGTGGGGTCGCGATGGGCACTAAGATGGGTCCCAGTTACGCGTGCCTCTTTATGGGCCACCTGGAATACGAGGTTAGTTTATCATACCCGGGCAGGTTTCCGGAGGTATATAGGAGATACATAGATGATGGCGTTGGTATCACCGAAATGTCCATGGTTGAGCTTGACCAATTTATTACTCACATCAACAATTTCAATCCGGCTATCAAATTCACCTCACTGATCTCCACCACTTCATTTAACTTTCTTGACATCACGATTAGCATTGATTTCCCGTGTCTGAAAATCACAGCCTACTACAAACCCACGGATTCTCACAGTTATCTCCTCTATACGTCTTCTCACCCACTACAGTGTAAAAATTCTATTCCATATTCACAGCTCCTTTGATTGCGCAGGTTGTGCTCTGACGATTCCGACTTCTTTGATAAATCAGTTGAACTTCTTGATTTCTTCCGTGCCCGTTTCTATCCGGAACACATTCTACAAGGGGCTCTAAACAAAGTTTTAGCAATCACCAGGAGAGATGCTTTTCCTACCAAACGTAACTCCACCAATGATGGACCTAAATTGATCTTGACTTTTCACCCTAACAATGTGGTTGCTTCCAAAGTATTCTTTCGTCATTTGGACATCCTCCGCTCTAATCCGGACAACAAGATTATCTTTAGTGAGAAACCTAGATTAGTTTACAGACGAGACCGCAACCTTAAAGACATACTTGTCCGAAGCCGACTCCCACAGATCCACACAGTACTTCATTTTGGGACTACTCAGTGCTCACGCAGCACCTGCAAGACATGCCCTTTCGCTGTCCAGACTTCTTCGGTCAGTTTCCCTAATGGTTCTTTTCAAATTAGGGAACCTTTTACTTGCGAATCCCGCAACGTAATTTATGCAATTATCTGCAAATGATGCAGCAAGGCATACATTTGGGAGACTGGCAGGAAGCTATCTGATCGTTTCCAGGAACACCTCTCCGATATCGACAAGAAGACACTGAAACCAATCCCTTTTCATTTTAATAGCCCTGACCACAGCGGTAAAGATGACATATCTGTCACAGCATTAAAATCTTGCTCTGGCGATCATACTACCCGCCTCGCTTTGGAAAATCGCCTTTTCCACAGCCTTGGCGTTTTAAGTCCAAGTGGTATCAATATCCAACATACCTTCATCTAAATAGTTCTAATCTTATCACATTTTAAATGTTAATTATTTTATTTTATTTCATATTATTACTTTATTCTATTTCTTATCAGTATCATTTATGTATCATTAACACTTGCATTTCTTTTATTCCCAGTATTATGACTATATTTTTTAGCCATGGTTTATTTTATTTTATTTCATTTATTCTGCATCACATTTTTTTTAAACGTAGCTCACGACACACCTTAGAGATCTACATACTCTCCATTCCTCGTTTGTGTATTTCACTTATGTTTGAAAAAGGCTGCCCGGCCGAAACGTTACGTTGTGTTGTTTTGTGCACGTTTTCCTCTTTCCCATTTTGTTGAGCTTTTTAGTCATTTTTCTCTGGAATTCAAGAATGCTATCAGCTGTGCAACTGCAAGAAAAGTAGTTCCTCATTAACTTACCATCATCAACATTATCAACATTATTATTGTATTCAGGAACCGTCTGCAGAAGATCAATCTACATTCAAACAGTCTCAGAAAGTACTGTATGTGTTTTTTCAATGATAAATTATAGACAAAAATCTAACCCCTACCTCTGACAAAAAGCTTTTTGGCTGAAATGAATCTTCGGTTGAATAGCAGGAGGTCAGCGCCAAGCAGAGGTGAGAGCTCAAGTTACTGTTTAACAGCATACTTGCTCCCTGCAAAGGCAATACAGGACAAATCAGACATGTTATCTAGTGCAGTGAATAGCAAACATATATTAACTTCATTTGCTCTACAAAGATGGTACCACAATGAAAAAACATAAAAAGTATATATACTGTTTAACATCATGGGTAGTCATAAGCACAGATTGTGATTAAAATATGTATTTCTTAATTATGGGCTTTAAAAAAAATAGAAGTCCTCTTATGCAAAAAGATGTCTTATACATGGAAAAATACGGTACGTTTTAATAGCTCTCTATACAGAAAATACATGCAGGAAAACTTATTTTTTTTCCTTCATTCACTTTCTCATGGTGAAACTACACAGAAAAACATGTACATAAACTTCACTGACTCTACTGAGATGTCACTATACGTTAAGAACATACAGATAAATTTCCCCCGCTCTATTAGAATAATACCATCTAGAAAATTATGAGTATAAAAATTTCACTCACTTTAAAATTACAACATATAGAAGTATACATGTATAAATTTCACTCTATTAAAAAGACAATATACTGGAAAAAACATGTACATAAACTTCACTCACCGTCTCAGTGTCTGCAATTTTGATCAGCAACAACAGGCAGTAGTAGATGTAAGGGATCCCAGCATGCACCTGCCAACAAATGTGGGTCAAGAATGTGAGTATTTGTTCTGAGTTGACACACAAATAAAGTAGATGGTTATTTTTTATGTGCTGCAAACAAATGTGTTTCAGATAACCTCTTGCAAGGTGGCTGGTATGAACTAGATACTAAGAACAGGGAAAGTCATTAGTTCCTGAAAGGTGACATTTTTTTCTTCAATAAACTCGTAGCATCTTTTATAAAAGCAATTATTGTGAGTTGACAGACAGGGGTTAAACAACTCAGTTTATCAGATACTATCAGATAAAATAGGTGGGTAGGTAGGCAGGCCACAAGTCAGACAGGCAGAATGATGTAGAAAGATGACACACTGATGGGATGACTGACCAGCCAAAAACACAAATCAGGTAAGGAAAGTAGCTGGTAATAGATCAAATTAGTGGACAGATGAGCTACCAGAAACTGATATATGGTTGAATAGACACATGGATAGGATGATTCACTGCTGGTAAAGTGACAGACAGATGGGTGGGCAGGCAGACAGGCAACCACAGGAGGCAAATAAGCAGATGAGTAAACTGACAGAAAGATGGATATATATGAACAGAGAGATGGGTAGATGGACAGGTGGATAAAGTTTAGTCTAGACAAGGTGATAATTACCTGCAATGGGGTAGATCAGCTTACCTTGAAGAAAGCTTCTATTGTAGAGATGATACAGGGCACTACTCCATGCTTCTGCAGCATCCTCAGCGATGCATTGAGGTCTGTGCTGGTCTGTAGCAGCTCTACCATGAGGCAGCAGGAGACAATCTGCAGCTAGAAAAGACACAAGTCATGGCTGTACTTTATGTTACCACAATCTTCATCTTATTTGCAATCGCTGGTTGTAAACTCTGGTGGAAAACTCCAGTCGTTCATCCACCTCTGGAAGAACTTGAGATTCACGTACACATCTATTATTCTACAGATCTGTCTTCTTTGTGTGTTCCCTGTCTCTAAGGCAGACGTATTCTGGCTTTGAAAAAAAACCCAATTGGTCAACTCTTAAGACATGCTGCTTGGGAGGCGGTGAGTTGATTATCTCTCCCTCCCCCTACCCCCACAATGGGACCTCAGAACCCACATAGGGATTATCACAATCAACGCAACTGCACATTGGGCATTCCTATGCTCAGTCCTCTGATGCAGCAGCACCACAAGACACCTCTAGAGCCTGTCCCCTGAGAAGTAATGTCTCCTATCTTAACCTCGAAGACGGCACCAATGTTCTTTACTCCAAGTTCACGCAATCATGATATTCATTACTATCTGCCAGTCTAGCCGGTATAGTGTTGATGATATGTGCACTGTTCAAGCAATTTCCTGCATGCCGTAGTTCAATACTTGCCAGCTCGTCAGCTCATTTATTACATGCTTTGACTTGCCCAGGTGTACATATCCAGGTGAACGAACAAACAAACTGTATTTTCAAAGCGTCACAAACTGGGCACACAATTCTTATATTCAGCCCTTCCAATCACTCATTTTTTAGACCGCAACTGTATTTTTTATGAATGAAGCATTTTGTGTTCATTAAACAGTTTACATAAAATGAAATATCAAGTAAAAATCACAGAGGCATGGATGGTAAACGTGCTCTCTCCCCCCACCCCCCCCCCCCCCCACTATAAGATAGAAATAGGTAGAAAGACAGGCAGACAAAGTTTAGTATGCAAAAAAAAAATACATTCCTCAATTTTCACATATGCTCCAAAGCTTGTCAGTAAAAGTAAAGTAAAGATCCCTTTTCACGCCTTTAGGCGCATCGGGCATATGGGAAGAGCACTCATATTTTTAGAGACCAATCAGCACTAGGTAGGTAATGTGGTCAGCATTACGTCGGCCATCTTTACTTCCCCAGGACATACATCCTGGTACCCACTTTAGGCTGGGTCGACCTGCGACGTCCCATACCACGATAAAAATCCATGCAGCCAGCAGTGGGTTTCGATCGCGGTACGTTGTAGTTATGAGTCGGACTCGCAACACCTAAGCCACGGACGCCGCCAAAGCTTGAATATGGTGAAATAAACGATTCCAAGACATTTATGTAGGAAAAAATTGGAGGGATGGAAGATTGAAGAGTCAGAATGTGGGCAGGAAGACAGGGAAAGGGAGATGGGGGAAAAAGAAGTGAGAAACAAATAAAGAAAGGGGAAGCTCAGAGTAATGTAGATAAAATTGCTGGGGGGGGGGGGGGGTTTAAATCCTAAAGCTAACATAAGAAAGAAAGATGCGGGAGAGTTGTGCACAGAGAGGTGACAAGAAAATGGAAAGACATTTTACTAACTTTTACATGGACCCCAAAGCTAGAATTTGAGGTTCCAGGGTCCAAGGATCCATCTTTCATCTGATCCAACTTCTCCAAGAATGTGGGCATGTACACAGAATTCTGAAGGAACACGGAGCACACGGCAGGAAGCAGATCTGAGATCAGCATTGGCGGATCTATTGGAGGAGATCAAAATCAAACAATATTGTACCACTGCTAACTGGGGAGATCAAGTAACACCACTGTATAACGGGGAGATTAAGTAACGTTAAAACAGTGCTAACTAGGGAGATCAAGTAACACCACTGTATAACAGGGAGATTAAGTAACATTGTACCAGTGCTACCTAGGGAGATCAAGTAACACCACTGTATAACAGGGAGATTAAGTAACGTTAAAACAGTGCTAACTAGGGAGATCAAGTAACACCACTGTATAACAGGGAGATTAAGTAACGTTAAAACAGTGCTAACTAGGGAGATCAAGTAACACCACTGTATAACAGGGAGATTAAGTAACGTTAAAACAGTGCTAACTAGGGAGATCAAGTAACACCACTGTATAACAGGGAGATTAAGTAACGTTAAAACAGTGCTAACTAGGGAGATCAAGTAACACCACTGTAACAATAATAATAGGGAGATTAAGTAACAGTTAAAAACACTGAGAATACCACTGTAAAAGGGAGATTAAAAAGTTAAAAAAACTAGGGAGATCAAGTAACACCACTGTATAACTAATGTTAAAACAGTGCTAACTAGGGAGATCAAGTATAACACCACTGTATAATAGGGAGATCAAGTAACATTACAGGAGATTAAAACACAGTGCTAACTAGGGAGATCAAGTAACACCACTGTATAATAGGGAGATTAAGTAACATTGAAACACTGCTAACTAGGGAGATCAAGTAACACCACTGTATAATAGGGAGATTAAGTAACATTGAAACACTGCTAACTAGGGAGATCAAGTAACACCACTGTAAACATAATAAGGGGAAACTAGGGAGATCAAGTAACTGTATAACAGGGAGATTAAGTAACGTTAAAACAGTGCTAACTAGGGAGATCAAGTCAAGTAACAGGGAGAAACTGTATGCTAATAGGGAGATTAAGGAGATTAAGTAACATTTAAAACACATAGGGAGATCAAGTAAAACCACTGTATAACTAGCGAGATCAAGTAACTAGGGAGATCAAGTAATGAGCCACTGTATAATAGGGAGATTAAGTAACATTGAAACACTGCTAACTAGGAAGATCATGTAACACCACTGTATAATAGGGAGATTATACGTTAAAACATTAACTAGGGAGATCTGTAACACCACATTAAGGAAGTTAAAACAAGTGATGACTAGTGCACTAACAGGGAGATTCAAGTAACGTTAAAACAAATACAACCACTGTATAATAAGGAAATAAAGTAACATTAATAGGGAGATCAAGCTAACCACTGTATAACAAAGAGTAAAATTACGTGTACCAAGGAAGAGCAAGTGAAGATACATTGTATAATAAAGAAATTAGATAAGTAACACTGTACTCTGTTGTTACTAGACCAGGAAATATAATAAGGTAGATTAAGTAACACTGTACTGTGGTTAACTAGGGATATAAGGGTAACCCTCTACCACTGTCAGTTAGGATATTCAGTAACACTGAGCCAGTGTTAACTAGGGTGATTCAAGTAATATTACAAACACTGTACTACTATTAACTTTGAAAATATTTATCACAGTTAACTAGGCAAAAAAGATTACATGACTCAGTGTTAATACTTAGCCCTACAGTGTTAACTGGGGTGTTTGAAAAATGCTGTACGGTCTTAACTATGAAGATTAAACAACAATGTAGTGTTCAATAGGAAAGTGAAGCTTCTTCTTTCTTCCTCTTCTTCGGGAATCAATGTTTGCTATGCCTTTATTCCAAAATGTGTCATAAACAGGATGGTGCGTTTGAGGTCTTCACAGGTGCAGCACAGTTTATCTTGTAGGGACACTCCTGTGGGCCAGATTTTTTCTCTCTGACTGGCAAAGTCTGGTCATTCCTGTAAGACATGCTCTGGAATTTGCTTTGGTCAGCCACAACCACATGCAGCAGAGTTAGCAAGACCTATTCAATGTGGGTGTGCTCTGAGCTTATGGTGTCCCATTCTGAATCTTAAAATGTTGGTCTGAGCATTTCTGCCACAAATGTTTATACTGTCATGCTTTGGTCATAACTGTTATTCATTTCCTCATGTAAAGACTGATCACCTCATGTAAAGACCGATTTCGTCATGTAAAGACCGATCCCCTCATGTAAAGACCGATCGCCTCATGTAAAGACCGATCGCCTCATGTAAAGACTGATCGCCTCATGTAAAGACTGATCGCCTCATGTAAAGACCGATTTCCTCATGTAAAGACTGATCACCTCATGTAAAGACCGATCTCCTCATGTAAAGACCGATCCCCTCATGTAAAGACCGATCGCCTCATGTAAAGACCGATCGCCTCATGTAAAGACTGATCGCCTCATGTAAAGACTGATCGCCTCATGTAAAGACCGATCACCTCATGTAAAGACTGATCACCTCATGTAAAGACTGATCACCTCATGTAAAGACTGATCAACTCATGTAAAGACTGATCACCTCATGTAAAGACTGATCACCTCATGTAAAGACCGATCACCTCATGTAAAGACTGATCACCTCATGTAAAGACCGATCGCCTCATGTAAAGACTGATCACCTCATGTAAAGACTGATCCCCTCATGTAAAGACTGATCCCCTCATGTAAAGACTGATCGCCTCATGTAAAGACCGATCGCCTCATGTAAAGACTGATCCCCTCATGTAAAGACTGATCGCCTCATGTAAAGACCGATCCCCTCATGTAAAGACCGATCGCCTCATGTAAAGACTGATCACCTCATGTAAAGACCGATCCCCTCATGTAAAGACTGATCGCCTCATGTAAAGACTGATCCCCTCATGTAAAGACTGATCACCTCATGTAAAGACTGATCGCCTCATGTAAAGACTGATCACCTCATGTAAAGACTGATCACCTCATGTAAAGACTGATCCCCTCATGTAAAGACTGATCACCTCATGTAAAGACTGATCCCCTCATGTAAAGACTGATCGCCTCATGTAAAGACTGATCCCCTCATGTAAAGACTGATCCCCTCATGTAAAGACTGATCCCCCTCATGATAACCCTCATGTAAAGACTGATCCCCTCATGTAAATGACATACGACTCCCTCATGTAAAGACTGATCGCCTCATGTAAAGACTGATCCCCTCATGTAAAGACTGATCCCCTCATGTAAAGACTGATCGCCTCATGTAATGACTGATCGCCTCATGTAAAGACCGATCGCCTCATGTAAAGACCGATCACCTCATGTAAAGACTGATCCCCTCATGTAAAGACTGATCGTCCCCTCATGTAAAGACTGATCACCTCATGTAAAGACCGATCACCTCATGTAAAGACCGATCACCTCATGTAAAGAAACGATCACCTCATGTAAAGACCGATCGACCTCATGTAAAGACTGATCACCTCATGTAAAGACTGATCGCCTCATGTAAAGACGATCCCTCATGTAAAAAACCGATCGCCTCATGTAAAGACTGATCACCTCATGTAAAGACCGATCCCCTCATGTAAAGACCGATCACCTCATGTAAAGACTGATCCCCTCATGTAAAGACTGATCACCTCATGTAAAGACTGATCCCCTCATGTAAAGACTGATCACCTCATGTAAAGACTGATCACCTCATGTAAAGACTGATTTCCTCATGTAAAGACCGATTTCCTCATGTAAAGACTGATCCCCTCATGTAAAGACTGATCGCCTCATGTAAAGACTGATCACCTCATGTAAAGACTGATCCCCTCATGTAAAGACTGATCACCTCATGTAAAGACTGATCACCTCATGTAAAGACCGATCACCTCATGTAAAGACCGATCGCCTCATGTAAAGACTGATCGCCTCATGTAAAGACCGATCCCCTCATGTAAAGACTGATCACCTCATGTAAAGACTGATCCCCTCATGTAAAGACTGATCCCCTCATGTAAAGACTGATCCCTCATGTAAAGACTGATCCCCTCATGTAAAGACTGATCACCTCATGTAAAGACTGATCACCTCATGTAAAGACCGATCACCTCATGTAAAGACTGATCCCCTCATGTAAAGACTGATCACCTCATGTAAAGACTGATCCCCTCATGTAAAGACTGATCACCTCATGTAAAGACTGATCACCTCATGTAAAGACTGATCACCTCATGTAAAGACTGATCCCCTCATGTAAAGACTGATCACCTCATGTAAAGACTGATCCCCTCATGTAAAGACTGATACCCTCATGTAAATACTGATCACCTCATGTAAAGACAGATCGCCTCATGTAAAGACTGATCGCCTCATGTAAAGACTGATCCCCTCATGTAAAGACTGATCACCTCATGTAAAGACTGATCGCCTCATGTAAAGACTGATCACCTCATGTAAAGACTGATCACCTCATGTAAAGACCGATCACCTCATGTAAAGACCGATCACCTCATGTAAAGACCGATCACCTCATGTAAAGACTGATCACCTCATGTAAAGACCGATCACCTCATGTAAAGACCGATCGCCTCATGTAAAGACTGATCACCTCATGTAAAGACTGATCACCTCATGTAAAGACTGATCCCCTCATGTAAAGACTGATCACCTCATGTAAAGACCGATCCCCTCATGTAAAGACTGATCACCTCATGTAAAGACCGATCACCTCATGTAAAGACTGATCGCCTCATGTAAAGACTGATCACCGATCGATAGTTGATGGGTGATGTGGTCAACATTACTGCAGTCACCTTTACTTTCCAGGACATCTCCTGGTGCCCATTTTAGACTGGGCTGACCAGGGAACTGGAGAGATAATATCCAGACAGACCTGCAAACACTTAATGTCACCAACTGGAAAGAGAAGGCCAACCAGAGAGATGAATGGAGGCGGGTGATATCTGCAGCAGTGAACCTCAAGGGCTCGAAATGCTGAAAAAGAAGACCAGGGAACTCAGTCAATTATAATATCTGTGCCTTAGATCTGAACCAAGATCTTCTGCATGACAGACAAATGTCAGGTGACTCCTCCTTCTTCTTTGCTGTTCTTTTTCTTTGTTTACCGGCTTACAACTGATGGAAAGTCCTGGTTGTTCGTCCATTTAAACTATGTTTTTATGCCACGGCCTGTTTTGTGTGTACATCAGTTTTCACTGGCTTATTTGTGTGCAGTTCCTTGCCGCTCGGGCAGATGCACTCTGACTTCGAAGGAGGCCCCCTCCAATTAGCCCTACAACATGCCTGTTGGGTAGGCAGTGGATCTATTTTTGTTTTCCCTACGGAATCCGCATGGGGAAGAAAAACATCTGGCACTCAAGTGTTGACCTTTCAAAGAACTCTTTCAGTACCAGAGGGCAGTTAAATTAGTTAAAAACCAATGTGTGATGCATTCCTGGGTATCCAAAGAGTTACAGAACAGACTCAACTCACCCTCCAGCCTCGGCCCACACTGCTGCAAGACTATGGTCACTGCTCCCAGGAGCCCGATGTGAACTGACGGCAGGAGAACATCACTTCCGCTCGTCTTGTGCATAGTCTCTGCCAGGTTCTGGACAATCAGTACCAACGGATTGACCCCGTTCTTTAGATTAGCGGTCTCTGATAGCTGACTCTCAAGGAACTCTCTGAAAGAACGTTTCACACAATTTTTTTTTACAAGCGGATGCTGGTTATTTTATATCAAATACAACACTAAACCAAAGAGTGCATTTTTTAAGCCAATACACATTCAGGCCATTAACTAATGAAACTGATTTATTACAGCCAAAATACTGTAGTGTAAATGTGTAAATACCATTAATGAAGCAAACAAACTATCCAAACAGGCAGTAGTAGTACTATCTACAATCTGGCCACAACTGCAAGGCTGCCTGGTCAGCGGATGACAAATAATGACCTGCCATTTTGTTTAGTTAAAGAACATTGTTTTGTTCTGTGTGCAGCAAAGAGTAAACATTAAAGTTTCTTTTAAAGTGAAAAAGTATTACTGAAACAGGTGAAGTGATGAGAAAGGCTTGCTACTACTACTGTTTATGCTGCTACATTTGCTTTCACTAACTACTACTGCTGCTGTTTCTGCTGCTACTACAATTTCAACTAACTACTACTATTACTGTTTCTGCTGCTACTACTATTTCCACGAACTACTACTATTTCTATTTCTGCTGCTACTGCTACTTTCACAAACTAATGTTATTCCTGTTTCTGCTGCTACTACTACTTCCACTAACTACTACTGCTGCTCCTTCTCTTACTATTACTGTTTCTGCTACAACCGCTGCTACTGCTACTTCCATAAACTACTACTATTACTGTTTCTGCTGCTGCTACTACCTTCACCAACTACTACTACTACTGTTTTTTCTGCTGCTACCACTACCACCAACTACTACTATTAGTGTTTCTGCTACTATCACTTCCACTAACTACTATTATTATTGTTTCCGCTACTACTATTTCCACTAACTACTGTTATTACTGTTTCTGCTGCTGCTACTACTTCCACTAACCACCTACTATTACTGTTTCTGCTACTGCTGCTACTACTATTTTCACTAAAAACTATTATTAGTATTTCTGCTGCTAATACTACTTCCACGAACTACTACTGCTGCTAATACTATTTCCACTAACTCCTGCTTTGACTGTTTCTGCTACAACTGCTGCTGCTGCTAATACTACTTCCATGAACTATGATTGCTGATGTTTCTGCTGCTAATACTATTTCCACTAACTACTACTATTACTGTTTCTGCTACTAATGCCGCTGTTGCTGCTGCTACTACTTCCACAAACTACTACTATTAAAATTGTTTCTGCTACTACTGCTGCTGCTTCTGCTGTTAATGCTACCCCCACTAACTACTACTGCTGCTGTTTCTGCTGCTAATACTATTTCCACAAACTACTACTATTATTTTTTCTGCTATTAATGCTGCTGTTGCTGCTGCTAATACTGCTTCCACTTAATACTACCATTACTGTTTCTGCTACTGTTAATACTGCTTCCACTAAATACTACCATTACTGTTGCTGCTGCTAATACTGCTTCCACTAACTACTACCATTATTGTTTCTGCTACTGGTAATGCTGCTTCTGCTGCTACTATTAATTCCAGTATTTTTACTGTTTCTGCTGCTGCTACTACTACTTATACTAACTACTGTTTCTGCTGCTGCTACTACTACTTATACTAACTACTGTTTCTGCTGCTGCTACTACTACTTATACTAACTACTGTTTCTGCTGCTGCTACTACTACTTATACTAACTACTGTTTCTGCTGCTGCTAACTACTACTTATACTAACTACTGTTTTGCTGCTGCTACTACTACTTTATACTAACTACTGTTTCTGCTGCTGCTACTACTACTTATACTAACTACTGTTTCTGCTGCTGCTACTACTACTTATACTAACTACTGTTTCTGCTGCTGCTACTACTACTTATACTAACTACTGTTTCTGCTGCTGCTACTACTACTTATACTAACTACTGTTTCTGCTGCTGCTACTACTACTTATACTAACTACTGTTTCTGCTGCTGCTACTACTACTTATACTAACTGCTGTTTCAGCTGTTTCTGGTGCTATTAATGCCAACTACTGTCTTAGCTGTTTCTAGTGCTATTAATGCCAACTACTGTCTTAGCTGTTTCTGGTGATATTTATGCTTACTACTGTTTCAGCTGTTTCTGGTGATATTTATGCTTACTACTGTTTCAGCTGTTTCTGGTGATATTTATGCTAACTACTGTTTTAGCTGTTTCTGGTGATATTTATGCTAACTACTGTTTTAGCTGTTTCTGGTGATATTTATGCTAACTACTGTTTCAGCTTTTTCTGGTGATTTTTATGCTAACTACTGTTTTAGCTGTTTCTGGTGATATTTATGCTAACTACTGTTTTAGCTGTTTCTGGTGAAATTTATGCTAACTACTGTTTTAGCTGTTTCTGGTGATATTTATGCTAACTACTGTTTCAGCCGTTTCTGGTGATATTTATGCTAACTACTGTTTTGGCTGTTTCTGGTGAAATCTATGCTAACTACTGTTTTAGCTGTTTCTGGTGATATTTATGCTAACTACTGTTTTAGCTGTTTCTGGTGATATTTATGCTAACTACTGTTTTAGCTGTTTCTGGTGATATTTATGCTAACTACTGTTTCAGCTTTTTCTGGTGTTATTATTGCTAACTACTATTTTAGCTGTTTCTGGTGCTATTATTGCTAACTACTGTTTTAGCTGTTTCTGTTGCTATTATTGCTAACTACTGTTTTAGCTGTTTCTGGTGCTATTATTGCTAACTACTGTTTTAGCTGTTTCTGGTGCTATTATTGCTAACTACTGTTTTAGCTGTTTCTGGTGCAATTAATGCTAACTACTGTTTTAGCTGTTTCTGGTGCTATTACAGCTAACACTAACTACTACTACTAAAGTTTCTGCTACTCCTTCTACTAGCTTTACAAACTATATTTTTATGCTAAGTTTCTGTTTTACTGTTTCTACTGATATTTACATGCTAACTACTGCTAAAGTTTCTGATATTACTGCTACTACTACTAGCTTTACAAACTATTTGCTAACTACAGTTTTGAGCCGTTCCTTCTACTATTTATACAAACTACTACTGCTAAAGTTTCTGCTGATATTTATGCTACTACTAGCTTTACAAACTACTACTGCTAAAGTTTCTGCTACTCCTTCTACTAGCTTTACAAACTACTACTGCTAAAGTTTCTGCTACTCCTTCTACTAGCTTTACAAACTACTACTGCTGCTACACTAAATTTAGCTAGTATTTTAGATTCTACTTACTTTCCCCAAGCCTTGATCAGTGTGAAGTACAGAGCACTAGCGATGGAAGCAAGTTTCACATGGATCTGGGTCAGCTCCTGAGCCTCAAACTGAGCCTGGATTCCAACCAGGAGGTCGTCAAGCAGCTGAGCTTTGTTACGGTTTGTCAACTGCACCTCAGACACCTAGAAGAACAAACAATACACAATTAAAGCAGTATCCAATATATCTACTGGCAGATAACAGTGAGACAAACACTGCGTACACAAGAGAGCTGAAAGGAAAGAACAAACCAACTTTATTTTCAAAGGGTTCAGAATTGGGTGTGTCTGACATTTTACCTTCCAGTCCCACTTCTTTCATACATTTCATTCACAATTCTTTCAATGGGTAATAATAAACAATTAAATATTAATTATAAATGTTGGAGCGTGCTCGAATTAGGTCTACATTTCTATACAACAATAAATCATAGTAACTTTTTAAAAAAAAAGTCTACAGAGGCTCACCATGAACCCAAAAAGACAGTGGAGCAATAATATACAGGCAGACTACAAATAATTGCAGTCATCAACTTAAAAGAGGTTAATGAGAGAGATGAATGGAAACAAGCAATGTCTGCAGCAATGAACCTCAAAGGCTTGGAATGCTGAAGAAGAAAAAGAAAGAGGAGGAGGTTAGAGGAAGAATGAGGAGTATGAAGGAGGAGAAGTCGGAAAAAGTAGAAGAAGGAGACAAAGACAGAGGAGGAGGAATAAGAAGGTGAAGGAGGAAGAAGAAGGAGGTGGAGGAAGGAGGAAGAGTAGGAAGGAAAAAAAAAAGGAGAAGCAAGAAGGAGTAGGAAGGAGGAGGGAGAAGAGGGGTAGGAAGGAGAAGGGAGACAAAGGATGAGGAAGAAGAAGCCAATGAAACAGAATGATAACAAATTTGTACACAAATTGACTGGAACTCATTGATGTAAATGTTTTAAATGTGTTATTCCATCTCTATTTCTTTCCTCCAGGTTCTAGCGTAGATGTCCAGATTTTGGCTTTTCAAATCAATGGCCTAGAATCTGGCTTATCAAAGTAAGGGTCCGAATGTGGATTATTACATGAAGGGCCCAGTAGCTGATATTCCAAATTAGGTGTCCAATACTGGTTTATGAAATTACTGATATAGGTTATGGCTCATTAAATTAAAAGTCCAGTATCTGGCTTATCAAATCAGGTATCCAGAAATTATGGGTCATGATTCCAGCTTAACAAATGGGGAAGGGGGGAAGGCAGGATCTTATACATCCAATAAGATGTCCAGGATCTGGCTTATAAAATAAGGTGTCCAGAATATGGCTTAATCAAAATAAGATGTCCAGAATCTGGCTTATCAAGCTACTATTGTCACTAATACTACATAACGAGAAAAAGAAATTACCTTGTAACGACTGGACATAACCACAAAATTCTTCCAGGCCAGTAACAGATTCAGAACAGGATGTTCGGCAACCGTCTGGCCAGGTGTTGAAAGGATACACTTACTGGCATCACTCATTATCTGCATGTTCTCCCGCACCATCTGATTTTCGTGAAAATAATTCACACAAATACGACAAATCAAGTTTTTTTTTTTTTTTTTTTTTTTTAAATACATCTTGACATTATTAAGATTGTAAGTCTGCTTAAATTTGTTTTTTGTTCATTCTTTCAAGAAAACTGACAATTTTCAGCTAGCTTCTATGTAAGCTTCAGCTAAATTTGTGATCACTGTTCTTCACGGTTTTTCTTGGTTTTTTCTTCTGAAGGGCATGTTTTTAAGCCCGAGTTATTCTGTAAGCCACCCATGGAGATGCTTTATTGCTTGAATATACTATTCAATAGGGTGGTGCAGGATTGCTGTGGGTAGGTGGTCCAGGGCTTGAAAACTGTGTGCTGTGGTGCCGGTGCAGTTACGATGAACTGTGCAGGTTAGGATGGTGTTTTTTCCCTAGAGAAATTCATAGAAATTACCACTTATTGTTGACTCATCAGGGGTAGTTTCCGGAAAAAGAGGCAGAGGCAGACCTCCACAAAGGTGCACACATACACTGAAGATGCACAAGCTATGATGAAGACACATAGAATGGGAGAGCTGGCTAGAGCAACGGTCTCCAACCTTGGGGGCGTGAAGAGGTTTCAAGGGGGGCATCAAGCAACTTTGAAACTGAGTTAATCTTTAATTGTAATAGTCCGGTCATGCCATATACTCAAAGGGAGCATCATTTGAAGAAAGAAAAAAAAAGGGCTAGAGAAAGAGAGCCTTTCATGCACGCGGTGACAAGAGCAACATGCTGTTCAGGGTCTGCTGATAGATGATGATGCTGGTTCCCAGGTTCCTTTCTGAGCCTGAGCACTGTGGGCTGCATACCTAGTGCAGTCATGGCAGGCTGTGCAGCTTTGGAAGCTTTTTCTAAAGAAATTCATAGAAAAGACCATGTGTGCCACCGATCAGCAATATTGCAGCTTACCATTCATAAAGAGCTGGCAAAGGAGGTTTAGCACGAAACTGGCTACCTCATTACATCATCATCATCTTGTGTCGTTTATACCTTGCACAGGGCTCCCAGTCTATGTCTCCATTCTGTTCTTTTCTATGCAATCTTTTCAACATCATCAATGGAATCAAATCCAGTACCGTTGGCCTCTCTCATCAACGCTCATCTTAGTGTCTCTCCTCATTTCCTCAATCCATTTGTTTCCCATATCAATGCCTGTCTGGTGGTTCTCTGTCTGCTTTTCTTCAAGATGTTCTCAATATATCACCATTTCAAGACTTTCGCCCTAGTAGGGCTTAAAAAATGGGTTAAGAAGCCATAGAAAATTCCCTCCCACCCCTTCAAACCAAAAACAGCCTAAATAAATGGAATGCATTCCACACTGCTTAAACAAAATAGCTGTTATGTGACTAATTCAGTGACCCCATGACCTCTATCACTAATGCTACAGGGAATGAACAACAGGCTTATGACATTAACATAGCATTTTAAAAAAAAAGACTCTGGTTCCCAAGAACGCCCCCCCCCCCCCTCCTTTTTTTTCCCACAATGATATCTTTAGTAAATATATTCACAGCCTAACCTCCTAAACACTCAGCAGGAGTGAACTGAGCCAACAGTGTTAACTATGTATTTACAAGTCACTCTAGACAAGCCAGTAAAGCGACTTTTATGGGAAATTGAACACAAACAAAGTGTCGCTTCTGCAGCTTCTCAAAGCAAAAGGGTTAGGCCAATCTGCAGAAGTCATAGCACACTACTTGACTCAAAAATAAACACTTAGACTGGTTTTTGGAATAAATAAATTCATTACATGAACAATGTCAACTGCAAAACATGACACAAGGAGATGACAAAGAAGTGTTAGTGTAAAACTGGCCAACTAAGTAGACAGAAAAATGCAAACATAACCTTCTTCTGCTTCTGCCCTTTATACCCCAACGGAGTACAGGTCATCAACCAACACATGCAGGGTTGTCCTTTCACCATTACATGCAGCTCAACCCATGTACACCTCCTCCTTTAAACTTCCTGTCAATATTGTTTTTTTTTTTTGGGGGGGTGTGGGAGGGTGTCTGCCTTAATCTCTATGCCACTGTGGGTTCTAGTGTAAAGACATTCTACTTAAAGTGTTCTCAGGTGTTCTGGATGTACATCCGAACTGATGCCTGCATCTTTTCTTCACTTCTTGATTCACTGGGACTTATTCAGTTACCTCCCAAAGCTTAACAACAGTGACTGCATAACATTTTCATTCCCTCCATTGTGTGTTAGCACCAGTTGATGAATGTTTGTAGTGTATTACATAAATAACTATAAATGTGTTAAATGAGGGCCTTAACTTATACATACATGACAACTAAGAATTGTACAAAGAGAACATCAACTACTTTACATAATTCTGTTATTTATTTTCATTTTGTTCAACTTATTTACACAATATTTGAAAGCTGTAATGTAGTTAATTTGTGTGTTTTGTGTTTTATTTCTCCTCATTGTTAACAGATAAAGGCTTGATCCATCTTTTATTTATTGTAACTGTTTCTGTAAAGCTTTATTTTCTCCATTTGTTTTCTAATTTAATACATTTAGAACTAAATGACATAAATGAATGAATGTTTTTACCTTCGACCAATACATCAGTCTGTCATTTGCAAAGGTTTCTTGCAAAGTCTTTTTTAAAACAGCGTCTAGTTTCATACTAGAAGAAAAACAGAACCTCTGACAACATAGTAATGATAATATTGCATAATAACTTAATAAGAGAATATCATCAGTCACGATATGTTACTAGCAATATGATTACAAAAAAAAACGAAGCAACTCTCACATTTACAAGTTGCAATTACAACAGACAAACAAAAGATGTTGTGGCAATCAAGCTTCATCAGCACAAAAATGACTAGCCGTAGGACTATGTATTAATACATGAAGCTATCACAAAACAATAAATAAGGTAAGCTAAAAATCTTGCAGAGAAAGCAGGATAGTTTTAGCATTTCATTCAGTGCTGTAACATTATTTTACAGCACAGACACAGTATAAAAAATAATTACAAAAGTATTCATATTTTGCCTCATTATATGTTGACGTAACTTGTAGCAATGCATCAGAAGAGATACAGCAAAAGATTCCAGGCCGGGAATTGCGGTGGAATTGGGGTACTGGCTTGATATTTATCTCCAGCCTGATGGTCTTGGGTTAAAATTGAACCCATCAAATAGAACAAAATTTCAAATATGAACTCCCAAATCAGCCTAAAATTGATACCAGGTAAGGTCCTATGAAGTAGAGGTTGCCGGCACGATGTTGCTAACATCATCCACCGAGTGTCGACTGGCCTTAAAAAATGTGAGTCTAGCATCATATGCTCAATTACCACTGAATCTTGGAATGTGAGCAAAACAGAAATAAGAAGAGTCTGGAGGCAGCTGAGATGCGGTTCTTGAGAAGAATGTTGGGAATACCTTGGACTACCAGAATAGCTTACAATGGCTGCCTGAAAATGGTTCCTGAAAGTAGAACATTATATACAACAATGAGTAGAAGACAAACATAGTTCTTTTGTCATGCGATGAGAGTACTGGAAAATATTGTGATGACTGGAAAGATCACTGGTAGAAGAGGCAGACCAAGAGATATTATGGTGGATGGTTTAGGACAGTGTCAGGGAGAAATATCCTCAGTGAAATTGATCCAGAACACCAAAGACTAAGATCTGTGCAGATGCATGCACCTACGCCAGCTGATAAGCACATGAATATGATGAAAAAAGTCCCTTTTTTTTTTTTAAACATTTGTGTCCTTCACATGGTGGAGAATGGTAAACATACTGGGGGTGTGGCCAATGAACTGGCAACAGAGTATCTATCTGGGTACACAGACATCTTTGGGCTGCCCTTTGCTGTTAGAAAGTATAAATGAACAGGGTGCTCATTTGCTCTGGCAATCTAAAAGGTTGCTAACTGCTGAGGACATAGGGAGCTCATTTGCTCTGGCACTAAAAGGTTGCTAACGGCTGAGGACATAGGGAGCTCATTTGCTCTGGCACTAAAAGGTTGCTAACGGCTGAGGACATAGGGAGCTCATTTGCTCTGGCACTAAAAGGTTGCTAACTGCTGAGGACATAGGGAGCTCATTTACTCTGGCACTAAAAGGTTGCTAACTGCTGAGGACATAGGAAGCTCATTTGCTCTGGCACTAAAAAGTTGCTAACGGCTGAGGACATAGGGAGCTCATTTGCTCTGGCACTAAAAGGTTGCTAACGGCTGAGGACATAGGGAGCTCATTTACTCTGGCACTAAAAGGTTGCTAACTGCTGAGGACATAGGGAGCTCATTTGCTCTGGCACTAAAAAGTTGCTAACGGCTGAGGACATAGGGAGCTCATTTGCTCTGGCACTAAAAAGTTGCTAACGGCTGCGGGCAGTCTAAACTCATACGGCTGTAGAAAGCAAGGTGATACTATCATATTACTATCCCAAGAAACTCATTACAGAAGCCAACACAGAAATACTGCACAGGATTCAAGCGACACCTTGGGCAGGAAAGTGCATAAGGTGGAGACCTAGTGAAGGATCAGGTTTCTTTCTGGCAGGATGTGATGGGAGCAATATTGTGTAAAGGATCTGTAACAAGATGATAGTGGTTTGTGTCCGCATTATCAAAATTCCTGGACATTATCCGAGAGTGAAAGGTGATGAACAGCACTGGCCACCTTACCTCATATGTCACAGCCTAGAGCAACAGGACCTGCTATGGGACTACCTTTATCTTACAACACAAGTTTTGTTTCTTTGTCAATTATGTGGAAAACTGTGAGTTATAACTTCTGAGTTTGCTGCATTTATGTTTGCGTTACCTGAGCCCTGGGGAGGGCTTGCATCTATTTGAATGAGATATAATTACCTTGCCACAGCATATATTTCCAAGGCAATGATCCTGAGGGCAAACGAGCACAGCTTGATCTGAAGCTTCAAGGGCTGTACAACACAAATAAAGCAAAACTCATGTTATATGTGTAAATGTTTTAAAGCCAGACGCACAGGATGAAAATCAAAGTTTATAAAAACTTATGTACTGAGCACACTCCTATAAAGCAGCAAAACCTCGACTCTATATGTTTCTCGAGGAAAAAAAGACTGGATACCTTCCACATGTGCTGTATGAGACACATTTTTGGTATAACATGGTGAAACTTTGTCCCGCACAAATTTCTGCTCAGAAAAGCAAGAATGCTAGCAATGTACTATCTACTGAAGCAAAGAGGCATGGATGACGGCCGCATTCCAAAGGATGTCCTGTACGGTGAATTGAAAAGGGTAAAGATCTGCAGAAAGGACAAAGCTATGCTATGAGGACATATGTAATTGTGACCTAAAAGATACTCACACTGACACAAGACACGCCGCAAGCTACAGAGTGGGGATTTCTGAGAGAAAACCAGCCTCAGTATAATAACAGAGTATCAACGTTTTTATGTAGTCAATATGGTAGACTTTTGACTGATGATATCAGGAGGAGAGTCGGCACAATACCAATACTAAAACTTAATAGGCAGACAACAAATCAAATGGTTTGGCCATGTAACAAGATTGGCAGCAGACAGGGCACCACCGAGAGCAATTTTATACAGATACAGCAGTAACAGAGCCAGAGCTTGACCACCCAGAAGACTGACAGAAGAAATATCAGACACTGAAAATTACTATATATGAAGCAAATAGAAGGGCCCGTTCCAGAGATCTCCTCCTGCCCTGATGCTGCGACGCATTCCAGGAGTGGATAACACAAGAAGAATGTATTAGAGACTTTACAGTCATAGTAGACTCTGTTCCCAAAACCAGTGGTACAGCTCCATGACCCCTAGGGACTGACTGTTGCTCATATATGTCTTAGAGTCAGTTGTATAGCAGAAGGTCATATCTGTGCCTGACAAGATCCTGGTCCAAAGTCAATCCGCAACAGTGAAAAAGAAATTATTTCTGTACTCCCATAAACAGTCAAAACTCCAGACAACTTACATAGTCAGTCAGGGTACTGTCCCTACACAATTAGTGAAAATAGACAAGTCTGGAAAACAACAGAATAATGTCATTACCCTATGGTTACCACTTTTAGAGCAGTGTCAGCTATCTTGAGCCTCAGGATATATGGCCATATGGCCAGTGCCATAACCATAAACTGCGAAGACTAGCATTTTTTTACACAACACCCTAATGAGGATTCAAACCTGAGCTTTCCCGTTGAGAGCCCAGCAATCTTTCCGCTCGGCAAGCCATGATTCTGGTATACACAAATACTGATCCTAATCTGCTATGAATTTTGTGCAGTGCTAAAATTCTCCTAATTGTGACGATAGGAAGAGACTGAAGCATATTTAGAGAAACCCGTGTGTAATCGTCTTCTTTTTCAGGTTCACCAGCTGTAAACTCTGGCAGAAAGTTCTGGCTGTTCGTCCACTTCTGGACTTTAGTCATGCTCCAGAATCTGAGCTTTGTGTTCATATTTTTTTACAGATCCTCGTCTCTCAGGCAGACGCACTCCAATTTCATTAAAAGAAAGGAAAAACTCCAAATTAGTAAACTTTTACAACATGCTTGTCAGGGTAGCAGGGGTCTTTTATGTTTTCCCCAAAATGGGGTCCCGGAACCCACACGGAGATCTTGTATTGACAGTGATCCATGACAAATCAAAGCAGATCTGCTAATTATCTCATTGCAAGTGAACTTGATGAAAAGGATAAGAAGTGTCTGGAAAGCTGACCATCACTGAGTTTACTTCCCTGTAACTACCCAGGCCAGAGTTTGTTTCTTTAGATACACATAAAGGAAGGTAGTATATGAAGTCTAAAGGTTTTAGGTATAAATCCACCTGGGGTAGATTTTGATAACTGACATACAAATTTCAGGCCAATCGAAAAACCAATATAAATTCATAGAAGAAAATCTCCTGATAAGTAATGCAGCTGACATGATGATGACATTAGCCTCTTCTTCTTTTCTCTACTCTTCAAATGCCTTGCCGCGTCAGGGCAGGAAGAGATCTCTAGAACGGGCCTTTTTGTTTGCTTCGTATAAATTACTTTTTAGTGTTTCTCATATTTCTGCGGTCCATATTCAGCATGGATCTGTTACCGCTGTATCTGTATAACATTGCTCTCTGTGGTGCCCTGTCTGATGCCAATCTGGTTACACTGATGTACTTTTTTTTTTAAACAGGTCTTAAACTTGAGCACTGACTGGTCCATAAAAACAGACATCTTCTCCTTAAGCATTTATCCAAAGAGGTTAAGTGTATCCATTTACAATATGGATGCGATATTTGCATCTTTCAGCTGACACATCCGATTTCTGCAGATATTTGTTGCCTGGATTAGCCTTCCCAGTTAGTTTTGTTGAACACTGCGGCCTCATTGCTGTGTTGTGATATTTATTTCCAAGTTTATAGTGGTGTCCCCCCCCCCCCCAACCAACATCAGGCTGATCTAGAGCAGACGCGCAATGTTGGTCGGCCCTAAAGAGAAGGCAGGGGTGGAACATAAGCATTCCCTGCCATCCAAGGAGGCTTCCATAAATGCAAATCCAATATATGGTGCTGTGGTACCCAAGGAAGTGTAATGCCTAAACAGAGGTCTTAAGCCATGTCTAATGTGCCAAAGGAATGAAAATGATTCTTCATTCCTAAATTATAGTTAAAAACTCATACAACCTTCATAATGAACATAATAGAGAACTACAAATGAGTTTTGCCAGGAATGACATGCAAAAAATACCTGTATAGATTTCTCATTATCGTCATTAATCTGTGGGAGGTCAACTTTCAACGATGCCAGGACACTAGGCCAGAATGTCTGTCTGAAAGCCAATTTACCTTATTTATTCTAAATTTACAGACATATCAGGTCACATAGCATAACAGACATTGAGACATAAATGCAAAGGATATCTTCATAACATCAATTCATGTCTAAGATTAAATGGGAATCACTAAATAACCGCCTGGGTTCCGATTTTTTTATTAACTTACACAACTCGAAACAAACTTGCTATTTTTACTTCACCACTACACCAGAGTTATCTGCTCTTGGCAGTGCTGTGTCACTCTTATCAAAATGCTAACAACTGGAAAATGTATATGACAGCTTTACAAATTTACAAGTTTAAAAAAAAGGGACTTTCTTGTGACAAGGCTTCGTCAGCAAACAACCAGAAACAAATCATGGTTTATGCTGTCTTGTGTTTTTTTATGTCTGCTAATGAAAGCTAGCAGCTGTAACGTCTGTTATTAATTCTGATGTAATTTTCACTTGTCAATTTTTAAAGATTTAACAGTAAATATTCTACAACAGTCTTCTTTACCTTGAATCATTTAATGTAAATGTATACATTGTTTATCAACAAGACATTCTTCTTCTTCTGCACTCCCCCTTTACATGGTCAGCACACTCTGTTGCAGTTTGCAGCTAGGCTGTGGTATCAGTGCCTTTTGACCCCAATACATCTGATTGCAGCAGTCTTTTTTCCCCTGAAATGGGGCCCCTGAACCCATATAAAAACCAACATGACCCATGTTCTTTGGTTACATTATGAGAAGAGAGGCATTGGAGAACATCGTGACAACTGAAAAGATCAGTGGGAAAAGGGGTAGAGGCAGACCAAGAGAGATGACACTGGATGGGCTGAAACGATGGCATGCAGGGATATCATCAAGAGAGCTGTTCCAGGCAACCAGGAATAGTGATCTGTGGAGACACCTAAGCACCTACGCCAAATGGCATGCCTCATGATAATGATGATAATGACGCACTAACAAATTTAAATCACCCGTGTTTGCTTACGTGTAGTGCGTAAACAGTACAAAATTTCAAACATGAAAACACTTACTTCTCTCTTAGCAAAGCCAAGGGTATTTCCCTCATGCCATACCACAAAGAGTGGATAAAATCCAGGGCTGCACACAAGAGCACCGGCGGGCATTCGTAGGTGCATTGCTTGTCCACCTCAATCAAGTCCAGGAGAATAGAGAGGCAACTGCTGCGACCCAACGTCAGATTATTCTGTAAAACAGCCAAGGACAAAAAACACAATATTATTTCATTTCTACATCCCCAGACCCACCTCCAGGGTCGTTTTTTGTTAAAGTCAAGGCTTAGAATTATGTTTTGTCACAATAATTTCAGTAAGTAACGGACTCTTTTCCCGACAATGGGGGGGGGGGGAGGCCAATCAGAGACCGAAACGAACAAACTTTATTTTCAAAGGGTTACAAATTAGGCACGCAGGCCTGTCTTACATTCGGCCCTTCCAGACTTCCATCTTTCACACAGCAGTTGTATTTCATCAATGAAGCATGTTATATTCATGTAATGATATGCATATTATGGATATGAAGTCAAAAACAAAAGAATGGGTGGTAAAATATGTGCGCACGCTCACGCGCGAACACACACACCCACATACACACACAAGCCCAATCACTCACTAACTCACACACACACACACACACACACACACACGCGCACGCACGCACGCACACACACACACAGACAGACAGACAGACAGACAGACAGACAGACAGACAGACATACGTATGTACGTACGTACATACATACATACAAACTCACATACATACATACATACATACATACATACGTATGTACGTACGTACATACGTACATACAAACTCACATACATACAAACTCACATACATACAAAAATACATACATACACACACATACACACTCTAAAACACACACGCATACAGCCCAGACACATACAGACACACACACATGCAGTCACGGGCACACACAAACACATACACACAAAAGCAGGGAAACAGACACACATATAGACATACGCAACACCCACACATACACAGATATACACACACAGTCACACATACACACACAGACATACACGCAGACGCATAACCCGACACAAGCAGAGACACGCAGACATTATATAATAGACACACCGAGAGATCAGAGAGATAAGTGAAGGCAGTGGTTATGTGCAGTTCTACACCTCAAGGGCTCAGAAGCCTGGAGAAAAATCTCTAGACCTAGGGGAAGTAAATCATGGAGTGAGTCAGTCAATCAGTGAACAATTATGTGGAAGCTGTACATATATGGTTTAATAGAAGAATGATGACAGTATCACTACAAATATTTCTCTTTTAAAGTTTATTTATGTATCCTTTACAGGACTTTGCAGAACCAACCGCAGCACTGTTTTATTTTTCATTTCACTAGGCAATACGTTAGTTAAGTGATTTTGTCTACTCTTGATCATATCTAAGGTATTGCTGATTTATGTATGTGCTGATAAAGGTTCTCTAGCCACCACAACGTTCATCTGTTTGTGTTTGAGATACTGTAAAGCTGTTTGGTTCAACTTTTTATTTGGTTTGGCATTTTTTATGGTATCTTGAGAGTCAATTTATTAGGGCTGTACCGAATATTCGCTTTGTATTCGCTTCGGGGCCGAATAGTGGACCTAATAACGGAATTCGGCCGAATAGTTGCGATCGGGCCGAATACGAATAGTGGTTACCTTGCACCCATTTCTGGACTGGTGGAAAATAAACATATCAAGATTTTCCACCTTGGTTTAAGCGTTATCTTTGTGCACACCTACGAGCGTACCAAATGAACGTCTGTTTAATACAGCTGGAAATACCTTCAGTGAGACAAGAAGCTGCCTTAATGCTGACACCATGAAACGATTTTTTTTTAAGGAAAGCTAATGCCGCTTTCATGGATTAACTAAGCTGTCAGTGACAATTTACAAGTTTATTTACTTGTTATAAAACTAAGAATACTTTCATTACTAGGTATTAGTTACCACAGACTGACTGACTGTAGGATGCTAAACATGAAATGTTTTTAAATGTTTACTATTCTGTACTACATTTTCAGAAGTAAAATTTCAACATACATTTGACACTATGGATTTTTTAGATCTATTTTATACTCTATTCGAAAGCGGAAGAATGGGCCTCAGTTTGAATAGTGGGAAGACAGAAGTAATGGTGGTATCAAAGAAAATAATTATTCCTAAATGTGTAATAAAAGTCAATGGTTTTATTTTGGCAAAAGTACACAAATTTAAGTATCTGGGCACATGGATAACATCAGATGGAAGATGCATTACTGAAACAAGAAACAGGCAAAAACTGCATTTTATAAAAAAAAAAAAAGAACATCTTATGGCTGTAAGTCCTGGACAATCGGTAGGCAGGCCAAACAATTTCTTGAGGCCTCAGAGATGTGGTTTTACAGAACAATGCTTAAAATACCTTGGACAGCAAAAAAAAAGTATCCAAGAGGTTTTGATAGAGGCGGAAGCCAGAAGACTACTACTCACAGACATCAGAAGGAGACAGACATCATTTTTCGGCCAAGTTATAAAATGAGGGAAAATGGAACATGTGGTGACCACTGGAAAGATATGTGGAAGGAGGGATAGAGAAAGACAACGAGAGAAGATTCTTGACAGTCTTGTTGCATGGCATGGAGGTGTGTCAGCACACAAACTAATACATGCTGCAGGAGATCGCAGATTGTGGCGAGGCATGATCGCCCCATGCCAGTCGGCAAAGCACCTGATGATGATGATTCACTATTCGTATGCAGAAACTTGTCTGCCACATACCTTTCCCAGTTCTGTTCCTTTATCGTCAGGCTGCTGCACATTAAGGAAGATCTCAATCAGGCCTGGCTGGCAGTCTACACACACTGACAACATCTCCAATATTGCCACCCTCAGGTCAACAGCCTGTAACAAAAACAGACATAATCATTTACTGGAACTGTAACAAATTTGCTATTACAAGATAAACATTACAAATATACTGAGGTGGTCAGAAATGACTAAGCTACTGTCAGTACTACATGCTCATTGTTAACACCAATACTAACTTGATATCACCCTTGTTCCAGAAGTTTTGGGAGGAGGAATGCCTTGACGGGGACACTAGATTTATCCTAGAATAAGGAAATGAAATCTGAAAATAATGTTCTGTCAAGGCAGACAAGGTGGTAAGTCTGAAAGGTGGACAAACACAACACTGCTCTTCTGGCAGCTTCTGCAGTTGCATTTGTTCCAAATATATCACATAGGTGTTACCATTCCTTTGGAGTTGATAAAGCAGGTCAAGGGAGGAATCAAACTTCATGGGCAACAATCTGTCAGGTTTCTGTTAGCACAGGAACGAAACAACTAGGGGTTGACCTGTTAGTAATGAAGCTGGATCTGTTTTTAACTGATAAACCGATATTCTAGACAATGTCATATTAGGTGAGCTGGACATTTCTTTTTCTTCTAAGAATAGGAAGGAAAGATAAAAAGGTGAATGAAAAGTATATCAGCAAGCTTCACAATATAACAAACACAGAAGAAACATGAATGTTGTGGCTATAGAGCCTTCGTCAGCACCTACATAAATCAAGCAAAACCATATGAATATACAAGATCACTTAACTCACGTATCCAGATGCAGCCACGAGGATGTCTTACTAGTGCAATGAAAAGAACACACTGAATAAATACCCGTAGAATGCCAAGGGCTGTAACTCAAGAATTTCAGATGAAACTTTGTTGACAGTTCAGTCCTTTGGGTGTTGAAGTTCCCAAAGTGTAAATAAAGCGATTTTCAAGAGACTTGCTGGAGTGGCTAGATTTAATGGCTGTCACCTTCATGCCGTGGATACCTTGGTGATCCCGGGAATTAAAGTGCAACGGTACTGGTTTCAGGGCACGGTTTTTGCGCCGCTCTTTCTAAGAAAACTGGTGCTAATTTTGACGAGACTGTAAACCCCACATCAATTAATTTTAGGAAAAATAATCTCACCTCATCTGAAGACTAAATCCAGACCATATACTGGCAGGCAAGTCTACTAGACACTATGCTATCTGGCCTCCAGTTTTGAACAAGACTTTTATTTGTTGAAAAATTGTCAATTGAGACAAGAAGTAGATCTGGTCAGCTTTGAAATACCAGAATCCCGAATTACATAATGAACACTGCTAACTGAAAGTCCTCGTCAGCATATTAAACAAACGTACAGTGATACAAACAAAAACCAGAACATATAAAAATCACTTAGCTTTCTGGTTAAGTTTTTCAAAAGATCTTCAAACACACTTGAACAGCAGCGATTCTGCATTGTGTGCCATTGCAGAAGTATTTGTTGAGCTTATTTGTCCTTACTTAAATCTAACATTCATCTTAAAACATGATAGCATGCTGCTTCATAAACACAGACAAGTGGATAGACAGACAGATGGAAGACAGACAAAAGCAGGGCATGGATGTACATGATCTGCCTTGACTTCAATGACAGTGACAACTGCAAACTTGACTGTGTGAACCATTTACCTCAGAGACTGCCTGCAGTCTTGTCAGGAATAGGTCCCGGATGGGTTCCGCATCGTTGCCCAAGCAGGCTAGTATAGACATCGGCGACACCTGGTGATGACGAACAGTTTATATTCTACAACTAAATCTAAAAAGTGTTTATATTTATATATTTTTATATACATTCCACAATTCAGGTTGGCTTGTTTGTATTTCCGATACTTTTGCCCTGATTATACACTCTTTCATACTGCTCTGTCCATCTCTTGATATTATCCTCCCACTTGTATCAGCCTACTCCTTGCTCATCTTCCTTCAACCTTTCCCTACAATAAGGTTTTTTTAACAGTGCAAAGTCTTTTACTGTAGCCAAACCTTTCATTTCTCTCTCTCTCTTTTTTTTTTAAATTCAATTCAACAACTCTCTTTACATTCCCAGATCTCAATTTCCACAACCTCTGTATTTGTTGGTATTTCTTAGCAAGATACGAAGTGATGCAATATGAAAACAGATAACAGATTTTTTTTTTAAACAAATGAGTTGACTAATTGTCCCAATCTCAGCGTGATATGACTGATGTGCAGCTATCAATCTCTTCAGTGCAACAACAATTTCTTTCAGCAACTCCCCTTTCATTCCCAATCTCTTCAGTGCAACAACAATTTCTTTTAGCAACTTCCCTTTCATTCCCAATCTCTTCAGTGCAACAACAATTTCTTTCAGCAACTCCCCTTTCATTCCCAATCTCTTCAGTGCAACAACAATTTGTTTCAGCAACTCCCCTTTCATTCCCAATCTCTTCAGTGCAACAACAATTTGTTTCAGCAACTCCCCTTTCATTCCCAATCTCCTCAGTGCAACAACAATTTCTCTCAGCAACTCCCCTTTCATTCCCAATCTCTTCAGTGCAACAACAATTTCTTTCAGCAACTCCCCTTTCATTCCCAATCTCTTCAGTGCAACAACAATTTCTTTCAGCAACTCCCCTTTCATTCCCAATCTCTTCAGTGCAACAACAATTTCTTTCAGCAACTCCCCTTTCATTCCCAATCTCTTCAGTGCAACAAAAATTTCTTTCAGCAACTTCCCTTTCATTCCCAATCTCTTCAGTGCAACAACAATTTCTTTCAACAACTTCCCTTTCATTCCCAATCTCTTCAGTGCAACAACAATTTCTTTCAGCAACTCCCCTTTCATTCCCAATCTCTTCAGAAGCATTGTATCTGACCGTTTGTTTTCTGGAAATTTTACCTAGTCTTCTGTATATTTGAGAGCTACAGTAAAGTGGCGGATGGACACTCGCAAGCCGGCCTGAAAGCCAAGAGGTCAAATCAACATCAAATGGGTCCCAGGCAATGTCCTGTGAAGTTCTTCTTTCGTTCGCTTGAAATTATCGATATTTGCAATATTGTCCCTAGTATGAGCTTCAGTGTCTTTTTTAATTCACTCAGCAACCTGTAATGTTTGGCTTGCACGTTTTGTTTCTCTTGGCCAAAAGCTTTGCCCTGAATATGCTGCATTTGGGACAGTCCTGGAGGACGTGATCAGTTGTCTCAGGTGCCAATCTACATGTGTACATGGCTGCTGTGAAGTAAATGTAGGCAACATGATGTGGACCACATCACCTGACAAGGGCTGATTGGCCTGTAAACACGTAGGTCTAGCACTATATTTCATGCAACAATAACAAAAAACTAGTCAACCAATATGAAATAACTAACACTGCTGCCCTAACAAATAGCAGACAAGGCAGGCAGAAGGTAGTCAAGGTGAGAGAGACAGAGAGAGAGGAGAGTCATGACGTACAGTAGACAAGAAGGTAAGACAGACAAACAAAAAAGGTGAGACAGAGATAGAAACAGAGAACTGACAAACAGAGACAGACAGACTGAAGATTTAAAAGTAGCGGAAATAACGGAAGTAACAGGCAGAGACACAGGCAGAAGATAGCTAATGAAAGGGAGACAGACAGACAGGCAGACAACAGAGAAAGCCTTGAGACACAAACAGTGTCTGTAACTAAAACAGCACAGAGACTAAGATATTGTAACTCTTGTATATCAAAATGTTAATATTGTTTTACCGTTGCCAGGCGCTTCAGAAGTACAGTGGCCATTGTTGGCAGTTTGTGGCTGTGGCGGTGGTACACATACTGGGCTATTGTGGCAACAATATGTTGGTGCTGTCGTCCAGGTGGCTGAGAGGATAGAGCCTGCTCAACTGGCGATTGTCCAAGTTCTGGAGGTTTCAGAAGGAGAAGACGGTTGAGAAGGGACAAGGACATTTCAACCAGCTTCAACAGGTCGACGCCAGCACCCTCTGTCAAACTGTAAGCAAATTATGTAACATGTGACTGTTATTACAAGTAAATTGCAAATCACATGACTGATTTCAGTGATAAAGAAAAGTATAGTGGTATCCCGGAACAAAATCTGTTCGTAGACAGTGATCGAATTCCAAATTGTTCAGGTTCCAAGGCAATTTTCTCACTGAAAAAACTAAATTAATCAGTTCCAGCATCAATTTGAGCATATCTAACATCGTAGCAAGTACACAGATACCACTTTCATGTTTAGCGATAAGACCTTTTTTAATGGCAGTTGTTCCAACAACTTTTCTCTAAATTTTTTTTCAACTCTACACTTTCTACCAAACATAACTAATTCACTAGGTATGTATAGAAAAAAAAAAACATGAATAAGCACAAATTCTTAAAATTTACACCCAAAAAATCACACGAGGTGACAGGCCCAGACACTGCACATTCCCCACAGCGTATGAAAGCAAACTGAAGCACAGGTGGTGCTGTGTGGTAGAGAGTGGCTGGCACATGCCTGGTGTTCAGTTTCTAAGGTGGTGTCCAAGTCTGAAGGCAAAATTTACTTGAACAATATCAGTTTCCAAGTTGTTTGAATTCTGAAGCATTCAAATTCTAAGGTACCAGTGTATACTGCAAACTGTATGTTGTTTGTCACTGAGAGAGTTAAAGGACTCACAAATGGCAGATCTAACTAACCTGGACTGTTGTGATAAAGCCATCTGGATGTGATCTACTCCTGTAGCAACAATCTCCAGCAGTGAACGGCCAGCCTCCGTGAACAGAAGGCTGTACACGCAAGCCTCCTGCAGCCCTGGACCCCTGCAAGACAATAACAAGTTTGTCCTTTTAATGGCATAGCAAACCAACTCTAGCATGTAATGGCTGTTTGTAGGGTCCTACGAGGGGGCCACAAAAATGAAAACCTTAAAAAGTGTGATGCCACTGTCTTGTAACCTCTCAATATTGTTGTTAAGGTTGTCAAGAGTGTTAAGCATGTGACTTGACCATGGTGACATCATAATGACAGTTTAAAGACGGCTATCCTACTTTTGACATGCACCAAAGAGGAGCAGTGTTCGATTCTGATCAATGAAGGGATGAAACCTAAAGAAACAGAAGGTTTTCATTTGAAACCCCCTCATATAAGAAATGTTATGTTCAGTAAGACAATAAAAATATTCAAAACACTGTCCTTAGATATGTTAATGGTAAATGTTATCACAAATCAAACTGAGGGAGACATATATCTATATTATTTTCCATGAAACTGTTGACAAATAAGGCATTCATATGTGAACTCCACTGCTGCTGGTCTGGGGGCTTTTCAGGTCATGGTATCTCATGTCAGTTCACATTTTTTTCATCTTCCTTTCAACTGTCTCAATAAAAAATGCACTCATCAACTGAACCGTGTAGCCATGAAAGGAACTGGAACCCACGACCTTAAGAACATGAGGCAAACGGCATGACCACTCCCCCACGGAGACCCCCAATCATAAGTTCCACATTTTCTTACAATAATTTTGACAACAGTTTCAATCTTTCAAGGTCAACTGCATGTTGCTCCTTCTCTTTCACCTCGGACTATGCTTTTACGAGCCTTGAAAAAGTTCTTTCTTGTTTTTAGGTCAACAAAAGCGTGCAGTAAAACTTCCTGCATAAAATTCCACTACTTTAAATTCTTATTCTTCTTCTTCTTCTTCTCTTCCACCTTGTACCTCATCGAGGAGAGATGTAATGTTCGTTGATGAACTCTGTCAAGAGCACTATTAAGACTGATGTTCATTTCTGTAAGGCTGTTCTTAATGCCATCACTCCATATTTTCCGAGGTCTTCCACTCGCTCTATACACGTTGTAATGTTTTAGTGTGGCTCGCTGTGGCGGATAGTACCAGGGCATTCTTGTTAGGTGTCCAAACCACTTCATTTGTTGTTCTTTGATGACCTGTAAGACTGGCTTTATTCCTAGCATTCGTCTGATTTCATGATTTCGTATTCTGTCTTTCCTTCAAACTCCTGCAGCTCTTCTAAGGCATTTCATCTCTGTTGTCACAATTTTACGTTCATTGGAGGATGTAAGTGTCCACATTTGGCATTGATAGCATAGTGTTGACCCAGTACTTGATTAGCTTTGGCACATCTGGAGCTAATTTCTCTGTCCAGTTTTCTGTCTGATGTAAAAATTGCTCCCAAATACTTAAATTACTACTTTAAATACTTTCATAAAATGTTAATTTATTTGATTAAAAAAATTAAAACACAGAAATGACATTTTAATGAACTGCAAAAATCCTACTTCTGTTTTTTTAAACTGTGTTGTTCCTGCATGTATGCCAGATTTAATATCTGATGGAAAAGCTCTAGACATTTCTGCCCTGAAACAAGCAATAATGTCATCCCAAATTATACATTAAGTGGTGAATTATGCTGGCAATGCTGAAAGATAATGGCAGTGATAAAGGCAAAAACTATCCAAAAAAAAAAACGGATTTTTTAAAATCTGTTGGTATTTTTACGAAGAAAAAACAACATTGACAAAACAACCTGAAATATATTGTTCATAATTATCATGCACAGCGGATACATAGTGTTCTGTTACTAGGTTCACCCAAGGGATTATCACATCCTTCTCATGACTGTTTAACCTCACTACCATAAACTGAGCCTCTCCATCACAGGCTATGTCTTTAGAAGCCAGCAGAAAGGCGAGCCTGCAGACCTGCGATTTCCACTGCCTACATAAAATGAGTACTTTGTTGCTTATGCCTGTTAGAAAAGTAACTTGTTTTTACAAGGGCAAACACAGGTTCATGACCATGTCTTTTTGTCTGCACAAATCTGAAAGGAAGTTACTTAGTATGCACTCATTGAAATACAGCAAAACATGTCAGGCACTAAATTGTGCTATCCACTGTTTGTTCTTCTTTGTTCATTGCCTTAATTATTATTAATTCTTTTTGCCTGTGTATTATCATAACAAGACTTTTAAGGTAAGCAAATAACAGTAACACCTCAACATACCATGCATTTTCTAAAAGGCTTATTCTTCTTCTTTTTACCATTCACCGGCTGTGAACTCTGGCAGTGAACTCTGGCAGTGAACTCTGGCAGTGAACTCTGGCTGTGAACTCTGGCAGTGAACTCTGGCAGTGAACTCTGGCAGTGAACTCTGGCTGTGAACTCTGGCAGTGAACTCTGGCAGTGAACTCTGGCAGTGAACTCTGGCAGTGAACTCTGGCTGTGAACTCTGGCTGTGAACTCTGGCAGTAAACTCTGGCTGTTCGTCACTTCTGGATTTGGGCCTTGTTTCAGAACTTGAGTTTTGTGTGCACATCTGTTTCACAGATCTGGCTTATTTGTATGCAGACAGGCGGATGCACTCTGACTTTGACGAAGAAAACATCCTTAACCAGTACCATTTACGACATGCTAGTTTGGGGCATGCTGGGTTTTACGACGTGCTGTTTTTTTTCCCCTTAGAATGGGGTTCTGGCAACCACACAAGGATAGGTTACCGTAAAAAAGTAAAGGACCCTTTCCACATCTTCATATTACTAGGCACATAGGGCTAGGCTAGACCTATATTTTATACACCAATCGGTACTCAGGGGGTGATGTGGTCACAATCACGCCAGCCGCATTTAATTTAATGCTGAGTCAACCTGGAAACCAAGGTCATTTCTGCAGAGCAAAAACTAAAAAGTGGCGTGACACTCCGGTTTTGAAACAGAGCTAGAGTCCAAAAGTGGACGAACAACCAGAACTTTCTGCCAGAGTTTACAGTGAATGCGAAGATAAAAAAAAAAGGGTCACAACTTCAGCTCTTCCAAGCACTCATCTTTCACACAGCAATTGTATTTCAAATGTAAAGCATGTTATATTCATATAACATTACACATATATGAATATCAAGTAAAATATACTAAAGCATGGGTAGTATATACATACATACACACATATTTACCCATACATACAGCCCCCCCCCCCTTTTTACCCCCACATACATATATACCTATATACACACACATACAGACTCCTTCCCCCACAACCTAAGACAGGGTTCAAACCCGAAGTCCCCAGCTGGCACGACACTATATGTCTAGGAGGCCAATGCCTTATCCATTAGGTCACAGAGGTTTGAGGAACTAACAATACGCAACTTACCAATGTTCTTTCGTTGCCCAACGTCCACATACCTCCACTTGTGGAATCGTGGAAACACTTCTTTCATTATGAAGAGCACACTGGCCAGGTGATCTCTCTCACCGCCATCTTTGGAGGACACCTGATAACACCACATGAAATCAACTCTGATGAATTAGACAAAACTTTGCAACACTAATTTCTGATTTTTCCTCTATGCTTTCCCTTAAAATTGTTACTGGAACATTGCGGTTTACAGCCGGGTGGAAATATCTACACCATTTTCGTACAACAAAACATATTGCAGCAAACACTAAAATAGTCCATTTTTTAAAATGGGTTTGGGGCAGCCTGTCAAAAAAATTTTTTTTCGCTCCAAAAATGAAGCCCTGGAGCCCACAAGGAGAATAAGTTAATTTGAAAATTTTAACTGATTAAGGATAAATTTTCATGAGCACCACTATCATGTGTCTAGTCAGACAGTGCAGCTGTTCATGCTCTTCCACATCTGTGTTCTGTTCTGAGCTGTTTTTAATCATCACATTCAACCAGCTTCTCCGAAGGGGAAGCTTCTGGTTATAATTGTGACTAAGTTATGTGTGCCACAAAAAATGGCTTAGCACTGGTCACCATTAAGTAGCCCTGAAATGAACTCTTGCAGTGTTGATTCGATCAAACCCAAATACTGTCCCGATCGGTGACGAAGCCATCTACCGGCCAGCCAATAGGCAAGCCAGTCACCGCTGTATGTTATGAGTTCAACTGCTGATTGTTGCTCACGCAAAAAATACCTCGGCAGTTGGAAATTGGAAACAGTAGCCTAATGGCACTGCCCGGGCAAAATTTGTAGTTGAAAATCTACCCAAAGTATTTCAGAATCCTCTCCGAGGCAACAGAGTTCGTGCACTGCACTGAGATTCTTCAGACTCAAGCTCAAGTTAGAAAAAGAACGGAGCACTTATGGGTTACACCCGTGTGCCATGATGTTGATCCGTTGAAAAAACATAAAACAATAGGGAGAACAAAAAAGAAGTCTCCTGAAGGTGAGCAATACATATGCCAAGTTTGTTAAGTCTGGCATCAATGATAGCCAGTTTTCTCACATCATTAATTTTTACAAAGTCTAGGAAAGTCCTGGATTCATGGTTCTGAGTTGCTTAGTTCTGAATCTATTCTTACCTGCACAAGCTTGGTTACCAGATCCAACACAGCCAGGGTGACATTGTAGATGCCCTGGGCACATTCTGTTCCAGCTAGGACACAGCCATAGAGACCCTGGCTAATGCCCTCGCCACTGGGAATGCAGATAAATATTTCAGTAGGTTTATTCTCATTTTACAAGTATTTATTTATACTCTCGCTCTCTCTTTCTTTCTTTGTCTCTCACTCACTCACTCGCATGGACATATATTTATTTAATTATACTTTTTTTTAAATTTCATTAAAATATTTAAATTCAATTAAATTTTTTTTTTTGTTTTTTTTTTGTTACATTATCAAAAAACTCATCTTCATAAGATTAACACCAGTGAGATGAGATGAATGAGGAAAGTTGCTAACTTTACCATCCATGACTAAGTGAGAAATTGTGCTACCAGATAGATGGTGGGAACAGCTCATGCCAAATTCCTGGAGAAGCAGAAGATCTAATGGTTTGATCATCTCATTAGAACGCAGCCACAACTTGTACCAGCACAGGTTGTTTCCCCACTTCTGACTTTAACTGGAGCGGAATGCTGGAGCGGAATGCTGAAGTGGAATGCTGGAGTGGAATGCTGGAGCGGAATGCTGGAGAATGACCAAAAAGGATGCACACAAGCTGTCTACCTTCCACCACACATGTCTACGTAGAATTATCACAATTTTCTGGCCAGATACAATCTCAAACACTAAACTACTTCAAGTCACAAACCAAGAAACTTTAGACAGTATGATTACCAAGAGAAGATGGACATGGCTTGGCCACATTATGAGAATGAATCCTGATATACTTGCCAAAACAGATCTCACATGGACACCAGAGGGAAAGAGAAAACAGGGGTGCTAAAAAAACACATGGAGACGAAAGATGGAAAGTGACCTGAGTGCGGCATCTTTGGCATGGAAAACTGCACTGAAGATTGCACAGGACAGGAAAGCATGGAAAGTCCTCTCTGAAGCCTCATGTGCCACTAGGCATAACGAGAAGTGATGATGATGACTTTAGTCTTGCCTTCAGGCTTATTTGTATGCAGGCTGTTGGTTGCTAACCTCTCAGGCTGATGCACTCTGACTTTGAAGAAAACACCATAAACAGTAAATTTTTATGACATGTCTGTTGGGGTGGGTTGGGGGGGGGGGGGGGGGGGTCTATTCCCCAACACTGGGGACCTGGAACCCATATGTGATTAAAATTGATCGCGTGGGCAACTGCTGATCTGTTGGCGACAAGTTCTGCTACCATCGATAATGAACTGCATTTCTAATGTTGGACTGTTTGTGTTAGCACTTCGGATGGCTACCAACCGTATGCTTTAATGCGAGTGTATGCTAGATATGGTGGGACAGTCAATCTTTCCACAAGGGACTGTGATAAACATTCTGTGTGTTTTTCATTGGCACAGGAGCGGAGCAAAGATATGGCGACCCGTTTGCTATGAAGCTGAAACCAAGACTACCAGACTACCAGACTACCAAACTACCAGACTACCAAACTACCAGACTACCAAACTACCAGACTACCAGACTACCAGACTACCAGACTACCAGACTACCAGACTAACAGACTACCAGACTACCAAACTACCAGACTACCACAAAGGGAATGTGGGAGATCAACAGCAGTCAACCTTCACTGTGGAGATGGCACCTGAGTGATCGACAGATTGTTGAAGCTCATAACAAATACTGCCCCTAGGGTGTAGAATGGTAGGTCTTCATGTTTTGTTTTCTCTCTCTCAGAACTGTATTCTTCTTAGAGTTCATGGGCTGCAAAATCCAGCAGAAAGTTTTTACTGTTTATCCACATCTGGACTTTAGTCTTGTTCCAGAGCCTGAGTTCTGCACTCATTTCTGTTTTACACATCTGGTGGCTTATCTGCATGTAGAGTTTGGGTTCCTTGCCTCTCAGGCTGCTGAAAGTGCAACATCCAGTGACTCAATGAACCACTATTTGGATGCTAACCCAAAAGAGATAAATCCAAGATGTCTTGTTCAACTTATATAACAGTTATATTGAGGCACTCTACATTACAAATGTAGAAAAACAATAGATTTCAAAAGATTTACCTTTGGATCTTGCTTAGGTCATCAATGTTTCCAGTCAGGAATGGCAATAAGCCTGTTTGCTTCAAATGATGTGAGACCTTTAAAAGGAAATCAGACACTTGTCACAAGATAATAACTGCCAATTACTGTCTTAATTAATTGTGGTCTAGGCGCGGGGAGGGTGGGGCGGGGGGGGGGGGGGGGGGGGGGGGGGGGGGGTCTTTGAGCCTGAGAATTTACGGCCACATGGCTAGTGCTGTCACCACGGCTGTGCAGGTGAGGATTTTATGTAACAAGATAATATCAATGACTTCTTTTCATATGAATCAACTGATCCAGTGTGGGCTCTACAATAAAGTTCGGCTGGAAACCGGCTCCAACAGTCTCTGGTGGTATAATTTCACAGACTACTGCTACCCTGAAATTTGCTGAGTTAGGAACTGAAACCACAGCACATTCCCATAAGTGCTCTGCCCTAATCTGCAGCAGACAGTGAAGAGTTTCAATACGGACGGTACTAGTATGTTTGATTATATGTCCCCATTGCCTTTTCTCTGAGATTTTCTATTGCAGTTGTCAATGTCAGATATCAGTAGAACTCAACAATTTCTGCCAATGTTAGACCAGTGTACTATATGTTAATGTTAGTCTCACTGGAACTCTCACTTTATGTCAATGTTAGTATAAGTGGAAATCTGCACTTTATGTCAATGTTAGTATAAGTGGAACACTCACTTTATGTCAATGTTAGTATAAGTGGAAATCTGCACTTTATGTCAATGTTAGTATAAGTGGAACACTCACTTTATGTCAATGTTAGTATAAGTGGAACTCTCACTTTATGTCAATGTTAGTATAAGTGGAACTCTCACTTTATGTCAATGTTAGTATAAGTGGAACTCTCACTTTATGTCAATGTTAGTATAAGTGGAACTCTGCACTTTATGTCAATGTTAGTATAAGTGGAACACTCACTTTATGTCAATGTTAGTATAAGTGGAACTCTCACTTTATGTCAATGTTAGTATAAGTGGAACTCTCACTTTATGTCAATGTTAGTATAAGTGGAACTTGGCACTTTATGTCAATATTAGTATCAGTTAAACTCTCACTTTATGTCAATGTTAGTATAAGTGGAACTCTCACTTTATGTCAATGTTAGTATAAGTGGAACTTGGCACTTTATGTCAATATTAGTATCAGTTAAACTCTCACTTTATGTCAATGTTAGTATAAGTGGAACTAGACACTTTATGTCAATGTTAGTATAAGTGGAACTCTCACTTTATGTCAATGCTAGTATCAGTTAAACTCTCCCTTTATGTCAATGTTAGTATAAGTGGAACTCTCACTTTATGTCAATGTTAGTATAAGTGGAACTCTCACTTTATGTCAATGTTAGTATAAGTGGAACTCTCACTTTATGTCAATGTTAGTATCAGTGGAACTATCACTTTATGTCAATGTTAGTATAAGTGGAACTCTCACTTTATGTCAATGTTAGTATAAGTGGAACTCTCACTTTATGTCAATGTTAGTATAAGTGGAACTCTCACTTTATGTCAATGTTAGTATAAGTGGAACTCTGCACTTTATGTCAATGTTAGTATAAGTGGAACACTCACTTTATGTCAATGTTAGTATAAGTGGAACTCTCACTTTATGTCAATGTTAGTATAAGTGGAACTCTCACTTTATGTCAATGTTAGTATAAGTGGAACTCTGCACTTTATGTCAATGTTAGTATAAGTGGAACTCTCACTTTATGTCAATGTTAGTATAAGTGGAACTTGGCACTTTATGTCAATATTAGTATCAGTTAAACTCTCACTTTATGTCAATGTTAGTATAAGTGGAACTCTCACTTTATGTCAATGTTAGTATAAGTGGAACTCTGCACTTTATGTCAATGTTAGTATAAGTGGAACTCTCACTTTATGTCAATATTAGTATAAGTGGAACTTGGCACTTTATGTCAATATTAGTATCAGTTAAACTCTCACTTTATGTCAATGTTAGTATAAGTGGAACTTGGCACTTTATGTCAATGTTAGTATAAGTGGAACTCTCACTTTATGTCAATGTTAGTATAAGTGGAACTCTGCACTTTATGTCAATGTTAGTATAAGTGGAACTCTCACTTTATGTCAATGTTAGTATAAGTGGAACTTGGCACTTTATGTCAATATTAGTATCAGTTAAACTCTCACTTTATGTCAATGTTAGTATAAGTGGAACTTGGCACTTTATGTCAATGTTAGTATAAGTGGAACTTGGCACTTTATGTCAATATTAGTATCAGTTAAACACTCACTTTATGTCAATGTTAGTATAAGTGGAACTCTCACTTTATGTCAATGTTAGTATAAGTGGAACTCTCACTTTATGTCAATGTTAGTATAAGTGGAACTCTCACTTTATGTCAATGTTAGTATAAGTGGAACTCTGCACTTTATGTCAATGTTAGTATAAGTGGAACACTCACTTTATGTCAATGTTAGTATAAGTGGAACACTCACTTTATGTCAATGTTAGTATAAGTGGAACTCTCACTTTATGTCAATGTTAGTATAAGTGGAACTCTGCACTTTATGTCAATGTTAGTATAAGTGGAACTCTCACTTTATGTCAATGTTAGTATAAGTGGAACTTGGCACTTTATGTCAATATTAGTATCAGTTAAACTCTCACTTTATGTCAATGTTAGTATAAGTGGAACTAGACACTTTATGTCAATGTTAGTATAAGTGGAACTCTCACTTTATGTCAATGTTAGTATAAGTGGAACTCTCACTTTATGTCAATGTTAGTATAAGTGGAACTCTCACTTTATGTCAATGCTAGTATAAGTGGAACTCTGCACTTTATGTCAATGTTAGTATAAGTGGAACACTCACTTTATGTCAATGTTAGTATAAGTGGAACTCTCACTTTATGTCAATGTTAGTATAAGTGGAACTCTCACTTTATGTAAATGTTAGTATAAGTGGAACTCTGCACTTTATGTCAATGTTAGTATAAGTGGAACTCTCACTTTATGTCAATGTTAGTATAAGTGGAACTTGGCACTTTATGTCAATATTAGTATCAGTTAAACTCTCACTTTATGTCAATGTTAGTATAAGTGGAACTCTCACTTTATGTCAATGTTAGTATAAGTGGAACTCTCACTTTATGTCAATGTTAGTATAAGCGGAACTCTCCCTTTATGTCAATGTTAGTATAAGTGGCACTCTCACTTTATGTCAATGTTAGTATAAGTGGAACTCTCACTTTATGTCAATGTTAGTATAAGTGGAACTCTCACTTTATGTCAATGTTAGTATAAGTGGAACTCTGCACTTTATGTCAATGTTAGTATAAGTGGAACACTCACTTTATGTCAATGTTAGTATAAGTGGAACTCTCACTTTATGTCAATGTTAGTATAAGTGGAACTCTCACTTTATGTCAATGTTAGTATAAGTGGAACTCTGCACTTTATGTCAATGTTAGTATAAGTGGAACTCTCACTTTATGTCAATGTTAGTATAAGTGGAACTTGGCACTTTATGTCAATATTAGTATCAGTTAAACTCTCACTTTATGTCAATGTTAGTATAAGTGGAACTCTGCACTTTATGTCAATGTTAGTATAAGTGGAACTCTCACTTTATGTCAATGTTAGTATAAGTGGAACTTGGCACTTTATGTCAATATTAGTATCAGTTAAACTCTCACTTTATGTCAATGTTAGTATAAGTGGAACTTGGCACTTTATGTCAATATTAGTATCAGTTAAACTCTCACTTTATGTCAATGTTAGTATAAGTGGAACTCTCACTTTATGTCAATGTTAGTATAAGTGGAACTCTCACTTTATGTCAATGTTAGTATAAGCGGAACTCTCCCTTTATGTCAATGTTAGTATAAGTGGCACTCTCACTTTATGTCAATTCTAGTATCAGTTAAACTCTCCCTTTATGTCAATGTTAGTATAAGTGGAACTCTCACTTTATGTCAATGTTAGTATCAGTGGAACTCTCACTTTATGTCAATGTTAGTATCAGTGGAACTCTCACTTTATGTCAATGTTAGTATCAGTGGAACTAGACACTTTATGTCAATGTTAGTATCAGTGGAACTAGACACTTTATGTCAATGTTAGTATAAGTGGAACTAGACACTTTATGTCAATGTTAGTATCAGTGGAACTAGACACTTTATGTCAATGTTAGTATAAGTGGAACTCTTACTTTATGTCAATGTTAGTATAAGTGCAGCACAAGTAGACTCCATACATTATGTAAATACTAAGTAAAAAAACAAGCACACTATTCTTCACCATGCACACCACATCAGCTACCCACCTGAGAGAAAAACTGAGGAACTGCCAACACCAGACATTGGACAGTGTGCGCCAACAACTCTGGAGGGGCTGGATTTAACACAGCAAACCTGCAATATACGCACAACAAAACCATTATTGTGTATAAGCACCACTGCTGTTTCTAAGAACCATTACTGTTTTTAATAAGCATTATGTTTTTAATAACAATTATATTTTTAAATTATTCTTTGTAGGACCACAACTGTTTTTCTCGGCACCTGTGGCTTAAGCGTTGTGAACACGCTTCATAATTCTGGGGTGTCAGGTTCGATCCCAGCTGTTGGTGATTTGGAAGCAGACTCCCTTGCATTAGTTCAAACAGTGGTATTGAGAGCTGAATGCTCAGAAAGCAAGGGCGAACTACTAAATGTGAAACTGCCTAGTGAAATCATAGTCAAAATATTCTAAGGTTTGGTTCTGCAACATCCTGTAAAGGGCAATCAACTCCTAGTTGTTTATTGTTATTGTTTTTAAGAACCATTATTTTTAGCCGATAGGTGAAGTTGGGAGATGTGAACCAGTGTCAGTCATTTCACACGGTTAATAACCAAAAGTGTTCTGCCACAGCTGATAAGAAACTGTCTGCCTGTGTCGCCCTCCATTCGCAACTCTGTAGCTACAGTGACGTTCCTCCATTTACCCTAGAGTGTTAACTCTGGTACCCATTCCCTAGAGGCTGGATGAACACCGGGAACCGCCCGGTTTCTAACACCAGCCTTGGACTGCAGCGAGTCACAGCTGTATTTGAAATTAAGTCTCCTATTGACTGCGCTAATGCAGCACTTAAATAATTTAGCTTTGCAGTGCGAGACACGATGAAGAACAGAAAGGATAATAATATCTAAGTTAAGTTGAGTTGAACTGAGTCAAGAATTGACATCACAGCACTCTGGGCATTCCCATGCATGCTCCATTCTCATTTTCAGCAGCCAGCGCAGAGTTCCAATGCTGATGGCACCGGTCACAGTCTGGTTATATGTCCGTCTTTCCTTTCCTCTGATGGATATAATCTAACAGATATGCAAATGAAGACTATATGGAGATGATGAGACACTCACCTCAAGATCAGCTGGTAGCCAAAATTGAGTAATTCCAGGAATTCTGCTACAGAAGCAGGATCTGACTTTAGGACCTCCTTGACCAACTCCATAATCATTGTCACCCTGATGAGCCGCTCAGTCTGTACCATTCCTTGAATCACAGACATTTCATACATTATACCACATCATTCATTCCTTGTACTGACAAACTGTTCTCTGAATTTAAATTGACATAACGGCACACAGGCTTAAAGCTGTCCAGCAAAATTTCAAAAATCTTATAATCTCATCAAAAGCAGATTTCATTGACTGCGGATAGCTCAATCATTTATCGGCTATCCTCCGAATAACGGGCACAAAAGATGGCTGCCAAAAACAGGGTCTCAGTCACGTGTCAATTGCGCACTTCTGACGACCTAATTAGCGGTTTTCCGGCGACTACCGCCACCGCCGAGAGTAACCCCCACGCCGCTCATGCGGCGTGGATTGGGGCTAAACTAGATGGCTAGGACTCACGAGCAAAGCTGCAGGAGATGCGGAAGCTGCTGCTAGTGATTCCCAGCCATCTAGTTTAGCCCCAATCCACCCCGCATGAGCGGCATGGTGGATGCTCTCGGCGGTGGCGGTAGTCGCCGGAAAACCGCATAGTGAGTCGCCGGAAGTGCGCAATTGACACATGACTGAGGCTCTGTTAGGGTGTTTTTGTGGCTGCCATCTTATGTGCTCGTTATTTGGAGGATAGCCCAATTATCTTTTGTAAACAATTCAGGTCGTACAAATTCCAGCCTCCATTTTGGTTTGTCCAGAGAGTGGCACTTATCAGGCAACTAGCAGGCAAGGACAGCAGAACAAGCAACCACACAAGCAGTTATCACATCAGCCTTTATAAATACGCTTCAGAAAATCGCAACAGGTAATACATATATGTAGAATGGGTAGAAAACATATGGGAGTCGCACATAACCTCCCTCACCTGGATCTACACACTTGGGGATGCTGGCGTGAAAAGTAATGAACTAGCAGACCAACTGGCAAGCAATGCACTAATGTGTGCGGGAAGAAGGATGGACACAGCAGATATCATCAATGATGTATAGACCAGGCTGGTGGATAATGATGAATATTTGACACTAACATGACTGCATGCCCTGGTAGTAAAGTATGGCGAAGCACATCTATGTCACCTTTAAGGCCATGATAGGAGATGTTATAACAAACTCTTCAAGAGAACAATCAGAAGAAGTACCTTTAAGTGACTGCTGCATCCGGGGACTGAGCACCTGGGAATATCCAATGTGCAGTGACATCTGAGATCATCATCATCAGCAGGTGCCTTGCCGACTGGTTTGGGCAATCATGCCTCTCTACAATCCGCGATCTCTCACAGCATGTATTTGTTCGTGTGCTGACATACCTCCATGCCATGCAACAAGACTGTCGAGAATCTTCTCTCGTTGTCTTTCTCTATCACTTCTTCCACAGATCTTTCCAGCAGTCACAACATGTTCCATTTTCCCTCTTCTCATAACAAGGCCGAAAAATGATGACTGTCTCCTTCTGATGTCTGCGATAAGTGGTCATCGGGCTCCTGCCTTTTTCAAAACCTCTTGGTTGCTCTTTTTTGGCTGTCCAAGGTATTTTAAGCATTCTTCTACAAAACTACATCTCTGAGGCCTCAATGAATTGTTTGGCCTGCCTACCGATTGTCCAGGACTCACAGCCATATGTTAAAACTGGATGTATGTAGCAAACAAGAATTATTCTTCTTCTTCTTCGTGTTCACCAGCTGTAAACTCCGGTGGAAAGTTCTGGTTGTTCGTCCACTTCTGGACTGCAGTCCTGTTCCAGAACCTGAGTGTTGCGTGTGCATCCGTTTTACTGATCTGGCTCATTTGTATGCAGACTGCTGGTTACTTGCCTCTCAGGCAGATGCACTCTGACTTCGAAGAAAGCTCCCAATTAGTTGACTGTTACGACATGCTTTAGGGGAGGCTGTGGATCTGTTCTTGTATTTCCCCACAATGTGGCCCCAGAACCAACACAGGGATAAAAAGTTCTTTTCAAGCAAGAATTCTTTTTCTAACCTTCAATGACAGAGATATATTGCATAAGATGTTCTTCATTTTATAAAATGCAGTTTTTGCCTGTCCTATTCTGTTTCTTATCTCAGTAATGCATCATCAATCTGATGTTATCCAGATACTTAATTTCTGTTCTTTTCCTAAAATAACAGCGGTGACTTTTAATACACATTTAGGAATAATTATTTTCTTGGGTACCATTATTCATTATTATTCCATTTTTCAAACTGAGGCCCATTCTTCCACTTTCTACCACCACAATGTCTATCATTTCCTGTAGTTCTTTCTGACTTGTTGCTATCAAGACTGTCTCATCAGCATAACGTAAATTACATCTGACATAAAATAATTAATTTAGAGCTTTTATTTCTTTGAAAAGTTGCTTAAAGCGCAAAGACATTTTTAGTTTTACTGTTTATTATCCAGTTATTTTTGTCCAATGTGTGTTTAATCCGATGCCAGCGTATTTTCCTCACCTCCTGATTCAGCAGGATTTGTTGAGTTCTCTTACAAACCTCCATATTACTGATTCTATCATACCACTGAATTGCTGCTATCCTGCAGAGGCACAGCTAATGAATGACAAGCATATGATAGTAACTGTTTTAGTTGTTGTCCATGTATCAGCTCCATACAATATCACACTTGCAAGATAAAATGGCCACATACCAGCTCCCTGGCACACTTGGAACAACAGTTCCTGGATCTCAGCCATCAAGTACTGCCAGCCGTTGAACGACGTCTGCCATCTCATGACTTCACCGACACCAGTAAAGCTGCAATGGCCAGCTGGAAATATATTTATAAATATATTTACATGATAACAAATGGAACAAAAGTTTAAAACAAAGACAAGCAACAACAACAACAACAACAACAACTGTAAGCCAACGGTAAATGTCATATGGTGCAAGGCACTTGATGGGTTATGTGGTCAACATCATGCTGCACATACAGTGCTAGACCCGTATAACATATCATAACCTTTGACATTTAGGGTCATGAAGGTGTATTGTTGGAATCACTAGCACATAAAACTTGCCATTTTTCTGTCTTCTGCTTGTTCAAGAAATGTATGATAACTCAGTCCTGTCCATTTCTTGATGTTTCATTCCAGGCTTTTCTTTGCCCCTCTCTTCTTCGACAACTCACCCCTCCCCCTTTTGGAAATCAAATCATGTCTCACCAAGTGCCCTAACCAAGCTAACTTGCAACATTTCACCACTGCCACAAGAGGCCCCATAAACCTGATGTCTTGCAATTTTTTTTATTTTTTTTTTTATTTCGTCTTGTTCATATTTGTTAATTTTATGTCATAAATAGCCAATTCACAGAATTTGTATATAGCATTTATGTTCAAATACTTGAATCCCCCTTTTCATTTCCGTTCAACTCTCACATCCGTATAAGATGATAAACAATACCAGTAAAAGGCAGTTGGCATGTTGTGTTGCGGTTTACATGTCTGAGACTTTCAGCTCAATACATCCGATTTGAACAAATCCATTATCAGTCGCCTTTTTTCAACATATTTTTTCCGAAGCAGTAAGGTCACATTTTTTTTTTCAAAACAAAATGTGACCCCGGAAAACACATGGACAACTTTCATTTAAAAATTAAAAAATGACTAAAGACACAAAATTCAGACACTAAAGCCTACAGCTGCCACTTACCTGATGGAGTCACTAGAGATCCCTTGCAGTTCTGTTCTATTACAAAATCACCTAAAATAAAGGAAGACAACAGCAACACTTTAAGTCAGAACAGAATTACTGAGAAACTATTCGAAAAAACTGCATTATATAATATACTATTATTTGAAATATTCGTTCATATTCGTCCACGTCTGGACTTTTTTCTTGCTCCAGACATTGCGTTTTGCATGTACATCTGTTTGACAGAGCTAGTTAATCTGTAAGCGGACTTTTTGTTCCTTACCTCCATGGCAGATGCAATCTAACTTTGAAAGAAACACCCATAACTAGTCACGGAGTGGGGGAGGGGCACTTTCTCTTTATCAACAAAATGGAGCTCCAAAAGCCAAAAGGAAACATGGAGATCTGAGTTCCCATTTCTTCTCATGCAACTGTCACACCAAAATTATTCTTATTCGTCATAAGTCCATGCCATGGAGAACTGGCAGTCATGTCTGTCCACAGCCTTCTGTCATGAGCAAGGCTATTCTTATCTAGCGGTGTGCAACGGTACAAACACTGACACCACACTTTTCTTTTCTAGCGGTGTGCAACGGTACAATCACTGACACCACACTTTTCTTTTCTAGCAATGCGCAACAGTACAGACACCGACACATGTTAATTTTCGTTTGGTTTTTTTCTACAGAGCTACTGAAATTGGCACTTTTGGGTGAGTACCATTATCTGATACCGTTATCGTCTGATACTTTACGGTGAGTATCCTCATGTTTGTTAGATATTTATGGTGAGTGCTGGCAACTGTATTTATAGAAAAACAGCCCTAGTCATAAGTATTATCAAATTTTAGACACACCATGATGCAAAATCTCTTCTCACATTTTCCCATTTAGTCTCCTATATTTGCTGTTTTCCCTTTAAACTTAACCCACTGTAACATACTTGACTTTTCCCACTTCTCATAGTGTGCATAAAGAATGTGGACTGCCTTTGATGTGAATAATAATCATCATCAATTTCCACTTCTGTTGTTGAGTGTTGTGGGCCTTGACTTGAAAATGGAAAAATTAAAAAAAAAAAAACTGGGACGGCTTCAACCTGCCTCTGGGGCGTGGTTTTAATTGCGTCCGTTGTTTGTGAGCGGTTTTCAGCTGGATTTCTTGTTGAGGCGTGTTGGTACGCCTGACCATACCTTGTTGGGAGATTTCTGCTGCACTGGTTGTTTGGGAGGGGGATTCTTAAAGTCCTGAGAAGGACAGTTAGGTGGTGCCTGGGACGGGCTGGCTCGGGTGGGTGGGAGTAGATTTGGCGGTCGACACTATGCCTGGCTGGTCGCGAGCTGTGGGTTCTTCGCGCCGGTGAGCTGGAGTGGTCGGCTGTCATGGCGGCTTGGCTGGTTCTGATTGGCTGCTGGGTTTGTTTGCTTGGGTCGAATCTGGATTGCTAACGTTTCTTGTTTGCGGGGGCGTAGCTAGGGTTGTGACGGTTGCTCTGTTTGTTGTTGGGATTGGCTCAATCTCTGTTTGGGTGCGATTCTCGTACTGATGATGCAGTGGGCTCTTGACATTTCTTTAAGTAAACTTCTCTTGTACTCCCTGTGTCTCTCGCTGAGGTGCAGGTATAACAGTTTTGGGTTGTTGACGTCAGTTGTCGGGTCGTAGTGATTGAGTTTCCACCCGTCGGATCCGGCCCACTCCACTCTACTTGGTTTAATAAGATCGTTCATGCATTTCACTAATTCGTCCATGTATTTTTGTGTCATTTCGTCGTCGGGTACAACGGCTGGCATTTCAAGGTCTATGTTTATAAACTCTTCTTGGGTTAACGGCTCCTCTTCAGTGTCCTCGTGTTTTGATTCAGTTACTTGTTCTTCTAGTTCTGTCGAATTTTGCTAGGTTTCAATAAGATTTTTAATTTCGCTTACTGCTTCTTTCAGGATTTCTTGTATATTTGTCTCTTGTTCGGACTTTTTCTTTCTGCCAGGTTCTCTCCAAGTTGACTGTTAGTAATGCTGCGTCTGCTTTTGATACTGCCTCTACTTGCCGAGCGATTTCTTTGTAGGTACTTTCGCAGGTTTCTTTGAGAGCGGCCATCTCTCTCTGGTGTTCCTCTCTTTCTGCTTGACAACGAGCTACATCCTGGTCTTGTGCTGTTTTAAGCTGCGATAGTAGGTCTTGCATTTTTTCTGTTGCCTTAGTTATTTCAGCTAGCTGCTTGGTTTGTTGCGCAGCTTTTGCTATCCTGTCTCCTTTCTGGGCTTTGATTTCGTCGAGTGTTCGGGAGATTAGCATCTCGAGTCTTTCAGTGGTGGCCTTCTCTTTGTCTGCTGTCAGCTTCTGGATTGCGATTTTGAGTTCTGCAAATTCCTGGGTTATTGCGGTGTCGTTTGTGACTGGGATCATCTTCTCTGTTCTTCTCTCTCGTCTCAGTAGTGCAGCTTGCAGTTTGCACTTTTTAAGGTAAGTGCAACCCATGTACCTCGCGCTGTCGGCTCCTCCACAGTTTGAGCATCTTCTGCTGTTGTTTCGCTTTTTAAAATCTGGGTCCATCTTGGCCAGGGGGCACTCCTTGAATTCGTGCGGCTTAGAACAATAGAGGCACGCTGGGCTGCTGCGGCAGGTTGCGGCTGTGTATCACCCCTTGTTACAGCGAGAGCACTGTAAAACATCTGCAGTATGGGCTCCCGGTCGCTGCTGCCTGCGTGGGCGTGTGTAGGTGGGTTCCTGCGCCACGACTGGGGCGACTTCTAGGTGTACTGGTGCCTTGATAGAGGCCACATCCAAGGCTGGCGGGTCGGGGTGGGCGAGGCTGGTGACTCGACCAGGGCGTCAATCATTTCTGGCATCGTCTGCAGCGTAGGGGCTGGTGCGATGACATGTGCTACCTCGTTGGCTGACGTTGGTCTGGAATCACGGTCCCGGCTCAGCTTCTTCTGGCTGGTTTTGCCACAGGCCAAAGTTGATGTGGCTGTGGCTGGCAAAAGCTGTACTGGTCGGGCTGCTGTTGAAAGCTAGATCCCTGCAGGGTCAACAAGACTTGTTAAGTATCCTGAAAAGAACACCAAGTGTGTCTTCCCCACAGTTCACTAGACAATCGTTTGCTACTAATGCGTACAACGTAAAAACGGGCTGCTAAAACTCCACCCGCAACGCTGAATGTACAATAACCAGTCAAGACTGACTCAGCCGAATGTCAAGCGAATCGGTGTCAAGTATCTGGTTATCGAGTATCGGGCTACGAATGGAGAGTCAGCGATCGAGCGGAAGACGAGAGGTGCTTGCGACTGGGCTGTCTGCGCTGCGAGTGGTCTTCCGTCCAGTCTTCGAGTGTTGTGGGAAGGAACAGTTTGTCATTCGTTGCTTGTAGAGCAGTATTGGCTATTGTCATTCTGTATCCATGTAGAAGCTCTTTAATGTCATCAATCCATGTTTTCCTAGGGCAGCCTCTTGCTTTAACTTCTGATCTTTTCATGTGTAGCGCCTGCGTTGGTAGTTGTTCTGGCTGTACTCTTATTAGATGACCAAACCATTTGATCTTCTGTTTCTCAATGAATCTGCTGCAAGGTGTTATTCCTACAGTCTGAAAATATCATTTCTAACTTTGTCTAGGATGGTTAAGTTGGCGGCTTTCTCATGCATCTTCTTCTTCTTCTTCTTCTTCTTCTTCTTCTTCTTCTTCTTCTTCTTCTTCTTCTTCTTCTTCTGTGTTCATTCACTAGAAGATGTAACTGTGTTGTGTCCATTTACTGTGTGGCTGCGATATTTGTGCCTTTCAGAAGCAATAGTCAGGCTGTAGGTCTATGCTGTATGCCTGGATCATTTCCTCACGGTAAAGGATCTTTAGAAAGGATGCCAATGTTTTTTTGTGTAGTACAGTTTTGGTAGATTGTGAAAGCTTTGTCTTTTCAGTCATTTTTTAGTTAGGTTATTTGCTATTCTGTGCATGGGTTGTTATTCATGCGTTTAAATTTCTTTGTTAGGATAAGCACCTTGTCTTCCTTGCAAAGGCTCAAGCTCTGGAGGCCAGAAGTTGCCTCCAGGTCATGGATTGGTGTGCTTCTCATACCTCCAGTGATGATTGTGAGACCAGTGTTCTGTATTTTGTCCAGCTTATGTAGGTTTCATTTGGCTGCAGTGGAGTTTGCTCCCATGCCATACTCCAGTTTTGGTCGTACGTATCCTGTGCATACTTGTCATACTGTGTTGGCATCTGCGCCCTAGCTTGTTCCAGTAAGTTTCTTCATAATTCTGAGCCTCAGGGTAGCTTTTCTTTGGGTGTCTTCAATGTGGAGGGTCCAGGTTAGTCTTTTGTCAAATGTTACTGCCAAATATGTGGGATTATCCTCTTTTGGAAGGATGTTGCCTTCTAGGTACAGATCAACTTGTTCTGGCTTTGTGAAAAGAGAGAAGAGAGTTGAGACGATTTTGGTCTGGCTTATTGTGACTCCCCAAGCGTACGTCAATTTCTTAACTGTATTTATTGCTTCCTGCATTCTTATTTTAGTTGTTCCTATCTGTTCAGCTTGGGTCCATATTGCCAGGTGATCTGCATGTAGGGCCTTGTGAATGTGAATCGTGAACTGTTTTGGGAGGTCATTGATGAAAAGGATAAACACGGTAGGAGATAGAACACCTCCCTGGGTGACACCTTCTTGTAACCTGACTAGCTTGCTCTTGTGGTTTTCTAGTCTGACTCTAGCACAGCATCTGTAAAGAAAGTCTCTAATCCAGGCAAACATATGCCCTTTTATCCCACTGTGTGCTAGTTTTAGCAAGAGTCCTTTCTTTCAGACTTTATCAAAGGCTTTGGTCAGGTCAAAGAAAGTAGCAGCTTGTATTTTTTCTGGAAAGCATCTTCAATTTCCTGTGGGAGATAAGAGGTTTGGTCATCAGTGCTTCTATATCTCCTGGAGCCTGATTGGCTGTGATGTTTTCTTCCAGGAAATTAAGTAACCTGTTGTTCACTAATCTTTGGATGGTCTTTCCAAGGCAGCTTAGGAGGCTTATGGGGCGGTAACTAAATTTGTTTTCCTTGGGTTTTTCTTTCTTGGCTACGGGGACTATTTCTGGCTTTTTTCATTCCTTAGGAAGTAGACCCTGGGTCCAGGATTGATTGATAAGGTTTAGGAGTCGTTGCCTACCAGCTGGTCCCAAGTGTACTATCATTTCATTTGTTATTTGATCAGGTCCAGCTACCTTCCTTTTCTTAAGGTCTCTTAATGTGCATTCAAGTTCTTGGGGAATGAAGAGTTTATTCATTATTGATTTTTATATATATAGATATCTTAGTTATTTTCTTGCATTTTGTTGATTTTCATCAGTTCTCTCGTCACTTCTCCTCTCGCTCTAGACATAAATATTTTGCTTTCCTCTGCAAAACTATCAGTCAGCAGGTTTGCTCCTTGTTTACCAATAAAAGTTTTCCCACCTTCTTCAATGACATAGCTGGCATTATTCTCCCCATTGAGACTCTTTACTAGATGCCATAGCTTTTTCCCATCTTTCTCCATGTTAAGAGCTGCAGTCTTTTCCTGCCATCTTGTCCGGATAAATATGTTGATGCTTATTGTGTTCTGTTACGTTAAGGTCGGATCTTTTTTCCATTTTTACTCTTGCTTCAGTGCTTCTTTGGTGCATTAGTTGCAGCTCTAGGGTCCAGAAGGGTTCATAGTTTTGCATTGGACCTCAGGGGACTGATTTTTGTGTTGCTTCGAATATGATACTGGTAAGGAGTTGTAGTATTTTTTCTAACCTCATTAGTGGGAAAGGGCTCCGATAGCTTCTCCTCACTTAAGTTTTTGTAGAGGTCCCAGTCTGCTTTCTTGTAGTTCCAGCTGGCTATCTTCTTCCTGTTTTCTGGTGGCCTGACCTCTCCTATCATAAGGGCTGGTTTATGATCACTTCCTCCTAGCTGTTTCATCACTTCTCTGTCTGCCCTTCGTTGGATGTTTTCTGTAGCTATAGATAGGTCTGATGTACTCTGTGTTCGCCATTGTCTAGAGTAGAAGGTTGGTTCAGAGTCATGTTCATTGATTAGTATCAGCAGGTTTTCTACCATCCATTCCTCTACCTCTTCTTCTCTAGTGTCCATAAAAGCAAAGCCCCAACTAGGGAAGTGACTGTTAAAACCACCGAGAATTAGGTGGCTCTTATCAGCTACTGGGATGCCCTCTAGTTCCAATTTCTTGTTGTTGGGACAGTACAAGTTAGTAACGTACAGAGGCTCTGAAAGGATATGTAGTTTTACAGCCAGATTTTCAGACTCACTGAGGCTTCTGAAAGTTTCTGTGCCTGCAATATGTTTTACTAATGTAATGAAAATTACAAGACATATAAACAGATGCAACATTCTACAGGGAATAATGTGGATATACTGTGTGGGACATGAAGAAGTGTGAGTTAATGAAACAGCGGATTTTCTGGCTACAAAATCCATAGCTAAGGGAACACTCATGCTAGAGACAAGGGAGACACTCTGAAGACCATCTATGAATGAACGCAGATAGAACAAACTAGGTTAGAGGAAATTTTATGTGTAAGAAAGTGTGAACGAGGAATAAGAGTGGATTCGGAAAGGACGGACATATAAGAGGAGGAGAACGACATGTGTACAATCAGTGTGCAACAGGAGCAGTTAGCACCTTAAGATATTTCATGAAGCAGTGGGTCTGCCTGTCAAATCTTAAATCAATAATCAGAAATCAAACAATATTCTCCATACCGCTGTGAAATGGGTGTTTGTTCCTCAACAAGACAAACACCCCCTGCTCCCCAGTGTGCTGCAAGTCCTGCGGTCGGATGCTGTCGATGGCTTCAGTGTAAGATTTGATTTTATGCAGACCTGCCTTGACCTGTATGTGTGGACATAAACATGGGTCTCAGGAAACTGATGTAAACAAACTAAAGTCAAGGACCCTTTTACACTGGTAGCACATTAGGCATTTGAAGCTAGATTCATAATTGAGATCCCCCCGTGTGGGTTTCGGGGCCCCTTTGTGGGGAAAACAAGAATAGACCCAATGCCTCCCCAAAAGCATGTCGTAAGAGTCGACTAATTGGGGAGCTTCCTTTGAAGTCGGAGTGCATCTGCCGGAGAGGCAAGGAACCAACAGTGTGTATTCAAGAGAATGAGATCTGTAAAACTGATGCACACGCAACACTCAGCTTCTGGAGCAGGACTGCAGTTCAGTAGTGGATGAGCAACCAGAACCTTCCACCAGAGTTTACAGCTGGTGAACGCGAAAAAGAAGAAGAAGATAATTGAGATCAACATCATGCCGGACTCCTTTACTTCCCAGAATGTTACCTAGTACTCATTTTAAGCTGGGTCAATCTGGAAGCTAAGGTCATTTTTTTTTTTTTATTAATTTCAATCCGACTCGATGTGGATTAGAATCCAAGACTTTTGAGTTGGAAGCAAGCATCTAGTCACCACACCACTACAGTTCAGAACTAATCCCAAAGTAATATTAGTCTTAAAAGATGGTGCATCTACTCTACTGCCAACCTACTTTTTCTTCTTCTTCGCGTTCACCAGCTGTAAACTCTAGCGGAAAGTTCTGGTTGTTCGTCCACTTCTGGACTGCAGTCCTGTTCCAGGACTTGAGTGCTGCATGAGCATCCATTGACAGATCTGACTAATTTGTATGCAGACAGTTAGTTCCTTGCCTGGCAGGCAGATGCACTCAGACTTTGAAGCAAGCTCCTAATTAGTTGACTCTTGCGACATGCTTTTTGGGTAGGCAGTGGGTTTATTCTTGTTTTCCCTATAACAGGGCCCTGAAACCCACAAGGGAAGGCCAACGTACTGTCAGTAATTGTAATTACCCATGTGTCTTGGTGTTAAGTTGCTGCGAGATAATGATAAACCCAGGTAAGAGAATGAGGTGAAAACAATGCACAAACTTTCCTTATTTAAACCCCTACCATACCTTACCTCACCCTTATTTCAAGTGAGAATGCTCAGTGCAACCAACCATTTCTCAGTGTATGGCTGCTGCTTCTTCTTCTGTATTTACAATAAAATGGCAACTGGCATGTTGCATTGTGGTGTTGCAGAGCCGCCACCTCCTAGTTCCTGGCGTGATGGTATCTTTTATCGGGTACTAGTCTTCACTAAATCTGGCAATGTGATGGCAACTTTTATCGGGTACTAGTCTTCACTAAATCTGGCAATGTGAGGGCATCTTTTATCGCGTACTAGTCTTCACTAAATCTGGCAATGTGATGGTATCTTTTATCGGGTACTAGTCTTCACTAAATCTGGCAATGTGATGGTATCTTTTATCGGGTACTAGTCTTCACTAAATCTGGCAATGTGATGGCAACTTTTATCGGGTACTAGTCTTCACTAAATCTGGCAATGTGAGGGCATCTTTTATGGGGTACTAGTCTTCACTAAATCTGGCAATGTGATGACATCTTTTATCGGGTACTGGTCTTCACTAAATCTGGCAATGTGATGGCAACTTTTATCGGGTACTAGTCTTCACTAAATCTGGCAATGTGAGGGCATCTTTTATCGCGTACTAGTCTTCACTAAATCTGGCAATGTGATGGTATCTTTTATCGGGTACTAGTCTTCACTAAATCTGGCAATGTGATGGTATCTTTTATGGGGTACTAGTCTTCACTAAATCTGGCAATGTGATGACATCTTTTATCGGGTACTGGTCTTCACTAAATCTGGCAATGTGATGGCATCTTTTATCGGGTACTGGTCTTCACTAAATCTGGCAATGAGAGGGCATCTTTTATCGGGTACTGGTCTTCACTAAATCTGGCAATGTGATGGTATCTTTTATCGGGTACTAGTCTTCACTAAATCTGGCAATGTGATGGTATTTTTTAATCGGGTACTAGTCTTCACTAAATCTGGCAATGTGATGGTATCTTTTATCGGGTACTAGTCTTCACTAAATCTGGCAATGTGATGGTATCTTTTATCGGGTACTAGTCTTCACTAAATCTGGCAATGTGATGGTATCTTTTATCGGGTACTAGTCTTCACTAAATCGGCAATGTGATGGTATCTTTTATCGGGTACTAGTCTTCACTAAATCTGGCAATGTGATGGTATTTTTTATCGGGGACTAGTCTTCACTAAATCTGGCAATGTGATGGTATCTTTTATCGGGTACTAGTCTTCACTAAATATGGCAATGTGATGGTATCTTTTATCGGGTACTAGTCTTCACTAAATCTGGCAATGTGATGGTTTTTTATTGTAGGGTTATAGTATCCACTATATCTGGCAATGTGATTATATCTATTGTAGGGTTACAGTCTCCAATATATTTGGCAATGTGATGGTATCTATTGTAGGGTTACAGTCTCCAATATATTTGGCAATGTGATGGTATCTATTGTAGGGTTACAGTCTCCAATATATTTGGCAATGTGATGGTATCTATTGTAGGGTTACAGTCTCCAATATATTTGGCAATGTGATGGTATCTATTGTAGGGTTACAGTCTCCAATATTTTTGGCAATGTGATGGTATCTATTGTAGGGTTACAGTCTCCAATATTTTTGGCAATGTGATGGTATCTCTTGTAGGGTTAGTCTCCAATATATTTGGCAATGTGATGGTATCTCTTGTAGGGTTAGTCTCCAATATATTTGGCAATGTGATGGTATCTAATGTGGGGTTACAGTCTCCAATATATTTGGCAATGTGATGGTATCTATTGTAGGGTTACAGTCGCCACTATATTTGGCAATGTGATGGTATCTCTTGTAGGGTTAGTCTCCAATATATTTGGCAATGTGATGGTATCTCTTGTAGGGTTAGTCTCCAATATATTTGGCAATGTGATGGTATCTAATGTGGGGTTACAGTCTCCAATATATTTGGCAATGTGATGGTATCTATTGTAGGGTTACAGTCGCCACTATATTTGGCAATGTGATGGTATCTTTTGTAGGGTTACAATGTCCACTATATGTGGCAACGTGATAGTTTATAATGTAAGGTTACAGTCTCCACTATATTTGCTATGTGATGGTATCTATCGTAAGGTTACAGTCTCCACTATATTTGGCAATGTGATTATATCTGTTGAATGGTTAAGGTCTCCACATAAAATGTGAGCATAGATTTTATAACAAAATGTACCTTCTGGGCACTGTAGTGACTGGCACTGGCCAGGGAGATATTCTGCTGGATGAAACATTCAAAGTCCAAGGGAAACCACTTTTTGGCAGAGTTGTACAAGATTGATAACCCTTCGGGTTCGCCCTGCAGATGAAAACAACAGCACAAACTGAAATCTTCAAGTTTATATATCAAAGATCAGTACAAACATATAGGCACACAATCTTCACATTTAAAGCGTCAAATATATCCGGGGGGAAAGGGACATTCCCTGGGAAGTAAAGGCAGCTACCAATTATCCTATACAAGTCTAGTCCTCAGGCTTCACATTCCTCTCCTCTTTTAGTATATACCTTACATGGTAGGGCATCAGAAAGTTTTTTTTTTTTTTTTAAGTGGGCAAACATTTTATTTATTGTCTTTGTGTGTAATTAACTTTTAGGTGCTGACTTTCTATTATGACTCATTACATATCTGCTGGACATTCTGGCAGCCTCTTACACACCTCTACTTTCCTTGGTTACTAGTTGTGTGGCACTGGTAGCATCATTACATCTCTTCTGACACTCTCACACACCTCCCATTTCCTTGGTTACTAGTTGTGTGGCACTGGTAGCGTCACTACACTCTCCTTGACACTCTGGCTGCCTCTCACAAACCTCTCACTTTCTTGGTTACTAGTTGTGTGGCACTGGTAGCATCATTACATCTCTTCTGGACACTCTGGCAGCCTCACACACCTCTCACTTTCTTGGTTACTAGTTGTGTGGCACTTGTAGCATCATTACATCTCTTCTGGACACTCTGGCAGCCTCACACACCTCCCATTTTCCTTGGTTACTAGTTGTTTGGCACTGGTAGCATCACTACACTCTCCTTGACACTCTGGCTGCCTCACAAACCTCTCACTTTCTTGTTTACTAGTTGTGTGGCACTTGTAGCATCATTACATCTCTTCTGGACACTCTGGCAGCCTCACACACCTCTCACTTTCTTGGTTACTAGTTGTGTGGCACTGGTAGCATCATTACATCTCTTCTGGACATCCTGGCAGCCTCACACACCTCTCCTTTCCTTAAATCACTAGTTGTTTTTTCTGAACTGTTTGTGTGACCATATGTGGCACTGATAGCATCATTACATCTCTTCTGGACCCTCTGGCAGCCTCACACACCTCTCACTTTCTTGGTTACTAGTTGTGTGGCACTGGTAGCATCCTTACATCTCTTCTGGACACTCTGGCTGCCTCTCACAAACCTCTCACTTTCTTGGTTACTAGTTGTGTGGCACCGGTAGCGTCATTACATCTCTTCTGGACACTCTGGCAGCCTCTCACAAACCTCTCACTTTCCTGATTAATAGTTGTGTGGTACTGGTAGCATCAATTTATCTCTTCTGGACATTCTGGCAGCCTCTCACAAACCTCTTCTTTCCGTGATTACTAGTTGTTTTTTCTGAACTGTTTGTGTGACCATATGTGGCACTGATAGCCTCAGGTAGCGATGAGTATGCCTTGGATTAGATGTTTTATTGTGTTGGTTGTAACTGACCTATACTGGAGGGCAGAACACAATAATAAAAACCCAAAAAGATACAGAGCTAGATAAAGTATTCAGAGAGCTGAGGTATATCCTGAGAATGACTCATATGCAGCAGAAGCTCATTAGGTAAACAAATGTTGTGAAAACCAGCTTGGTTAGTTATTGTTGTTGTTGTTTTTTTAACGATTTTCTCAGGATCTTTTTTTTTTTAACTGTTAAACTGTGTTACGCACAATATCTCCAAAAGTTTTTAACATACTGTCTCCAGACTAGAAATACACATACAGGAAAATATCAATGAAACAGACTCAACTATGTATATAATGAGTATAGCAGCTTAGATACTGTATGATTTCTTTTTTGTCACGTGTGTTAATCCTTACCCCTAATTTTATGGGGGGAGGGGGGGTTGTTTCACAGAAATGAGCATACTTTTAACAACAATTTGCAACATCGTATTTACAAATAAGCAAAATCTGTAAAACGCAAATGCACACAAAATTCAAGTTTGCCAACAAGTCTAAAATTTCCAGAGTGGACGAACAACTAGAACTTTCTACCGAGTTTAGAGCTGATAAATTTAAAAAAAACAAAAAGAAGAAAATGCTTATAAATACCTTTTCCCAAACTGTGTCGGCAATAAAGTCCCATTTCAGTAACCTGCCAGCAATCTTGTAGACAACCTGTAAGTAGTTTACAAAACATTTATATGTTGCTTTACAGCACATTACAACTAAGATATCACACATTCAAGCATGTGCAGTCACACATTCATACATGTACATTTACATGGGAGTGTAGTTTATATGATAATACCTGAGGCAAATGTTAAATATAGAATGGGATGGATTCAAGAGGAGAGAAGTCATAAGAGATTTACCTGGGCAGCCACTGGTAACAACAGTTAGAAGACAAAGAAGACAGTCCTATACTGGACAAATCCTGTGACGGAACAAGCAGAAATCACAAGGAAGGCACTGAAATGCGAAATAAAGACACCAAAAAAAAAAGCAAGGAAGTCTAAAAGAAACCCTAAAATGAACACTGATGAGAGAGGCCAAAGGTACTGCACTGGATTGCATTCATGTTGTCAAAGGGATTGCACAGGACAGAAAGTAATGGAAAAACATACCGTGAGCTCTATGTGACACATATAAAGGCACAACAGGACAATGATGCTGATGATGATATTATATGAGGCATTTTAGATAGTAATCTTGTTCTTCACTTTCTCCTTTACCACTTCAGTTGTCGGGGATATAAAGGTTCTGGTTCTCGCTCCTTTGGTCACCTGAACCATATTACACTGTACTCTGATAAAATAAGAAACTATTAGACAAAGAAATTGGTGCTTTACTGGGCATATCCTGAGAAAAAAAGAGAGCAGAGAATCACCAGACAGGCATAGAAATGGGAAACAAATATGCTACAGAAATAAGAACGTTCAAGGGAAACCCTAAAATTTAATGAAAGAAGTGTAAAGTACCAGATTAGATTCCATGCATGATTGAAATTATTAACTCTTATCATGCATCTCCCCAATGCAGAATGCAATTTAAAAAAGAGAGCAGAGAATCACCAGACAGGCATAGAAATGGGAAACAAATATGCTACAGAAATAAGAACGTTCAAGGGAAACCCTAAAATTTAATGAAAGAAGTGTAAAGTACCAGATTAGATTCCATGCATGATTGAAATTATTAACTCTTATCATGCATCTCCCCAATGCAGAATGCAATTTTTTTTTTTAGTCAGTTTTAGTCAGTAAGATAAGACTTCCCCTTACGTCTATATTTCCCAGTGATTCCTCCTGGAACAAAGTCAGCAGTGCTGAGATAACTGTGTAGACAATATAGTGCGCACAGAAGGCCTCTTCCTGTATAGTGAAAACAGATTGCACCTTATGGTTGAACAGGGTTTCTGGGACATGCAGCCGGATGATTCTCATCTGAATGGTGGCACTTTGTGTCACCGGGTGTTTATTGCTTATTGTGCGGTCCTGGTGGGGTCGAATCTCACTCACTCGCACATGATAGTGAAACAACTGCACAGGATAGAATAGAATGCAGCACTATGTGACATATAATGTCACAAAAGGATGTTTATGATGATGTTGATGATGATGATAAGCCATAAACCCTAACTCATGAATGAAAATGACAAACTTGGAGGCTTTTGTGCTTAGTACCAACAATGAAAATTTGAAGGCCGAACACTTCACACCCAAATGGCAGATATGCTATGTGTGATGAGGTGCTTTGTATGGTCTCCACGATTACATGGTGGCAAGCAGAAAGTCCGTGCAACAAGTGACAGCACGAGATACTTGTGCCTAGTCGAGTAAGCGAGGGGAAGCCCGAGCTAGACTCGTGGTCAGTTGATCAACAGAAGTCAGAGAAGACGGTTGTAGTATTTGAAGATGTCGTCTTTATGTTGCGTGAATGGTTAGTGTTCGAATATGTCGCGAGTGATAGAATTGAGAATAATTGTTGAAACATGTGGATAAATGGAACTGAATAAACTGACAGCATGATTGAGAAAGCCGAGTGGCGTTTGTGTTTTCAACCCTAGACGTTAAAGCAGTGCAAGTTTTGTAGCAGTAAACATCCAGAGAGTGAGCCGTGGCGAAAGCCAATATGTAGTGAGCCAAGGTACATTTCAAGGTGCAAACCACGCTTCATTCCAAGTGAAGCATCGAGTTATTACACTATGGGACTACCTTCACATAAATCTACACTCAGTAACTCCCAGCAGTCGTAAAAGCTTTATACTTAATGATCCCCGTGTGGGTTCCTGGACCCCATTGTGGGGAAAACAAGAACAGACCCACTGCCTGTCCAAAAGCATGTCGTAGGAGTCGACTAATTGGGAGCTTCCTTCGAAGTCAGAGTACATCTGCCTTAGAGGCAAGGAACCAACAGTCTGCATGCAATTAACTCAGACCTGTGCAACGGATGTTCACGCAACACTCAGTTTTCTGGAACAGGACTAGAATCCAGAAGTGGAAGGACAACCAGAACTTTTCCATTGGAGTTCACAGCCGGACAACGCGAAGAAGAAGATTATCAATGACACTATCAATTAGGGGGAGACTATTTCACAAAAGGGTAGATAATTAATAAAACCATCAACATAACTAACAGTAGCAAGATAATAATGACTTCAACTTACGTCTATATTTCCCAGTGATTCCTCCTGAAACAAAGTCAGCAGTGCTGAGATAACTGTGTAGACAATGTAGTGAGCACACGAGGCCTCTTCCTGTATAGTGGAAACAAGATTGCATCATCAGTTAGATCATGTAGTGAGCACAGCAGGTGACATTTTCAGTGTTTCATACAATTAGATCACGTAGTGAGCACAGCATGTGACACTTTCAGTGTTTAATACAATTAGATCATGTAATGAGCACAGCATGTGACATTTTCAGTGTTTAATACAATTAGATCATGTAATGAGCACAGCATGTGACACTTTCAGTGTTTAATACAATTAGATCATGTAATGAGCACAGCATGTGACACTTTCAGTGTTTAATACAATTAGATCACGTAGTGAGCACAGCATGTGATATTTTCAGTGTTTAATACAATAAGATCAGGTAATGAGCACAGCATGTGACATTTTCAGTGTTTAATACAATTAGATCAGGTAATGAGCACATCATGTGACATTTTCAGTGTTTAATAAAATCAGACAATGTGATGAGCACTGGGGGCCAGTGAAACAGATGACATCTTCAGTGTTCACTAAGTAACAGCATCACAAATACTTTTGGTGGCAGCAGCAGAAGCAGCTGTAATAGTCGTAGTGGTGATAGTAGTAGTAGCCGTAGTAGTACAGTAGAACATCTATACAACCAACTTACTTTAATCCTGCAACTTCTTCTTCTTCTTCTGCATTTCTAACCCCCAATAGAGCAAAGGCCCTCAACAAATTCATGGTAAGTAGATCTATCCTTAGCTATTATATGCAGCTCTCTCCATATCCTCACCATGTTTTTAACTTTACTCAGTAGCTTCCTTCTCCGTGTGTCTGTTGGTCTTCATATAGTTTCACATAACTCTAAAATACTAATCCTATAATGTTTCATTTAACTTAATACTTTCACTGTTCTAACATTCCATGTGCCAATTCTGGAGGTTTCCCTTGGTGAAAGAAGGTCTATTGATGATCCTGGCTCCTTTCGGCTTTCTCCACACTGTGTCATACTTCTTCTGCTAGAAGAGCCACTCCTCATCTTGTTTGGTTGGGTTTCTCTTGTTTCTCTTTTTTTGACTTATCCATGGTTGGTTGGGTTTCTCTTGTTTCTCTTTTTGACTTATCCATGGTTGGTTGGGTTTCTCTTGTTTCTCTTTTTTACTTATCCATAGTTGGGTTTTTGGTCGATTGTTTTTACAGGATAAGGTAGACAACCTGATGCCCAACCATACCCTTAGTCACCTCTTAGGCCATGCCTGGGAGGGTGCCGTGTTACTATTCTTTGCAACAACATAAAGGAAAAGAGTTTATTGTTGTTTTTCCCTTCCATAAAGAGTGATGGGATATAAAACATTCAGCATATATTTATTTTACTAAATTTACATAATTATTGCATCAAATTCTAAGTGTTTCTAAGCTGCAAATTACAGAGTAATAAGGCTGATCAACAAACTTTTTAATGATGCTATCTTCCTACAATCATTGCCTGGAAATGGCTAATGAAAGTAGAACATTATATACAACAAAGTTCTTTGGTCATGTGATGAGAAAAGGAGCAGTGGAAAATATTGTGATGACTGGAAAGATCACTGGCAAAAAGAGGAAGAGGTAGACCAAGAGACATGATGGTGGATGGTTTAAGACAGTGGCATGGAGGAATATCATCACTGGAATTGATCGAGAACACCAAAGACCATGATCTGTAGAGATACGTGAATGCCTATGCCAACTGGCAAGGCACATGATGATGATGATTTTCCTGCAGGTATTGCTTTGATCATACCTTTAACTAATTTGGTTTACATGTAAGGCTACTGTGAAAAGCAGATGAGCAATGGGCCATGCTAATTTACTGAATGCTCTACGTGAAAGTAAGACATTTGTTATGACTGTGATTATTATCAACCTACAAACATGACCAGACTGCAAGAACAGTAAGTTAAGAGGAGTGAGGCTAGACAAAAAACAATGTGAAGGAAGCCAGAGAAGAGTAAAAAACCAACACTGAACACTGTCATCACCCACTACTAGCTGTAAGAGGGGACCAAAGAGGGGGCCTGAGCACTTATGAACTTAATGGCTGTATGTGCAATGAAAATGATCTGTCGATTAACTAACTTCACCTAATACTAGGCAGCATCGACTGGCTGAGCGGTTACAATGCCAGGCTTTCATGCGGGAGACCCAGGTTGGACCTCCAGTAGGGTGAAAGAGTTTTTCTGTCGAGGGCAAAATTAAACATCCTAACCTGTGCAGTCCATAGCAACAACACTAGCCAGGCGGCCCTAAATCCTCAGGCTCAAGGACCCCCCCCCCCCATCAACAACACCCTAAAAAGTGGTAAAACGGACAGCAGTGACAGTCTGACCTAATGCTACAACTGATCATATACTCACAGACTTCCCAGAGAAATGCTCATACAACTGATCATATACTCACAGACTTCCCAGAGAAATGCTCAGAGTCCACCAAGTCTAAGAGATACTCGAAGACTCCCAGCTGCAAGGCAACATTCCCCAGACGGTGGGCTTGGTTCAGTGTTTTAGACATCTCAGCATCACTTTCGTCTCCCTGAGCCTTCTGCACTTCGGCATGAATGTACAACAACAGGGACCAGCCCAGCAGCAGAGGCCCTTGTGCTGGCTCCGATCTCTGCTGGGAGAACACCTTGTCTGTTTTCTTTTGACAAATAATACATATTTTAGCAAACAAAAACATTTAGTCTATCAAAAATGTGTCTACACCTATCTTCTTCTTCTTTCTTTTGTCAAAATCTGCTTGTGCCGCTAGGCGTCGCAGTCTATCAGATGATCGGCAACCGAGCCAGGGTGCTCTCAGTCGCTTCATGTGCCGTGATGTTATGAAGTCTCAAGTTGTCCGTGACTCCTTCAATCCATCTTCTTCTTGGTCTTCCCCTGCCTCTTGTTGTTTCGATTTTCATGTTGTATGCTCTTGATGCTGGCATCGTTGGTTCCATTCTCATTAGGTGACCAAACCATTTCATTCTTTGCTTCTCAATAAATTTAACGATGGGTATGGTCTACACCTATCAGCAAAACAAAAACCTGCATAAAATTGCACAAAATAAATCTGGCATCTGTGGCTTAGGCATTACGAATGTGCTTTGTATTGCTGGAGTGCCAGTATTCAATTCCAGCAGCAGGTGATTTGGAAGCACACCACCTTGCATTGGTATTGACAGCCGACTATTCAGAGGCAATGGCAAACTACTGAAGGTAAATTTGTCTAGAAAAACTATAACAGCTCCAGAAAATGCTGGGGTTGTTTCTGCAACATCCTGTAAAGGATATGAAACTAACTATAATAAATGTATACAGACATCAAGGGGTAAATATAAGAAGTTACCTACTTCTTTTGTCAATATGTGCTTTATGTGGCTAGACAGTGCAGTTTAGCTCAGGTCAGAAAGCCAAACTAGTGCAACAATTTTTTCAATTCCTCTTATGCTTCTCGGACTTTCCTTTGCTGTGTTCTCTCGCTAGCAGCATCACTGAAATCATTCTGATTAGGTGGCCAAAACATTTCAGTCTTCGTTTCTTAATTTTACTTTTGACTTCAACAATTACTTAAGATGCTCAAAGTGGCTAACATCAAAGTCAAGATAATTATTATTAAGGACAACTACTACTTGGACAACAATCGCCATGGTGGTCAGTGGGATTCAAGTGACCTGTTTAAGTGTACTGAAGATCATGTGTCAGCAGCTTGTATGTAATGACACCTTCTGAGAGAACATCATACTACACAGTGTTTCTATAATTCAACTCAGAAATCCATATATGACTTCAAAATATTGGCCGATACAATACAGTGAACAGAAAAAGCAGAAGTATAATGCATACAATGACACTAAGACTGGAGAGCACTGCTGAGAATAGTGGACAGAATTTCAACATTTTCAACACATGGTAAAAGCAAGAGAAAAGAAAAAACACCTGCTACAGACAGATACTATGACAAGTTAAGAGTTTCCCTTTCAACTGTCATTTCTGTCCCATTACTAAGTCTCCTCTTCTTCTTCGCTTTCACCGGCTGTCAACTCTGGCAGAAAGTTCTGATCGTTCATCCACTTCTGGATTGTAGTCTTGTCACAAAACCTGAGTTTTCCATGCCTTTCCATTTTACAGGTCTAGCTCATTTGTATGCAGACTGTTGGTTCCTAGCCTCCCAGGGAGATGAACTCTGACTTCAAAGGAAACTTTCCTAATTAGTCAAATCTTACAACATGCTGTTTAGGAGACAGTGGGTCTATTCTTTTTCCCCACCATAGTGAACCCACAGAACCCACACGGACATAACTAACAAGTAACACAACAGTATTTGTTTCATGGCTAACATAAAAGTTAGTGCTTTGCGCATGGCAGGCAACTGTCTGTCTGCAGAAAGAGACCGAGACAAATGGGATAAAACCTGATGCCGTGTAGATCATCTTCTCAAATCTGAACCCTTAGGATAATATCAAACTTACTTCAACATTCTCCTTGCTGCACAGGATCACATGTTCGGTCAGGCTGCAACAATTGATCAAGCTTCATTATAGTCATGAACATACATACAAAAAATACTTTTAAGAGCAAACACGGTGCAGACCGCTTAAAGCAGGGTCTCCAACATATTTTGTGCCATGCTGCATTTAAGCCTTTCTATAATTATTATTTTATTCCTAGAAAATCTCCTGGTTTCATAATCATGATGGGTCAACCTGGAAGACCAGGTTGGCAGGGGATAAAAATACCTGCGTCACTAAGGACTCAAAACACATAAGTACTCAGCTGGCAAGCTAAAGATCAAAAACATAACCACTCAGCTGGCAAGCTAAAGATCAAAAACATAACCACTCAGCTGGCAAGCTAAAGATCAAACACATAACCACTCAGCTGGCAAGCTAAAGATCAAAGACATAACCACTCAGCTGGCAAGCTAAAGATCAAAGACATAACCACTTAGCTGGCAAGCTAAAGATCAAAGACATAACCACTCAGCTGGCAAGCTAAAGATCAAAGACATAACCACTCAGCTGGCAAGCTAAAGATCAAAGACATAACCACTCAGCTGGCAAGCTAAAGATCAAACACATAACCACTCAGCTGGCAAGCTAAAGATCAAACACATAACCACTCAGCTGGCAAGCTAAAGATCAAACACACAACCACTTAGCTGGCAAGCTAAAGATCAAAAACATAACCACTCAGCTGGCAAGCTAAAGATCAAACACATAACCACTTAGCTGGCAAGCTAAAGATCAAAGACATAACCACTCAGCTGGCAAGCTAAAGATCAAAAACATAACCACTCAGCTGGCAAGCTAAAGATCAAAGACATAATCAATTAGCTGGCAAGCTAAAGATCAAAGACATAACCACTCAGCTGGCAAGCTAAAGATCAAAGACATAACCACTCAGCTGGCAAGCTAAAGATCAAAGACATAACCACTTAGCTGGCAAGCTAAAGATCAAAGACATAACCACTCAGCTGGCAAGCTAAAGATCAAAGACATAACCACTTAGCTGGCAAGCTAAAGATCAAAGACATAACCACTCAGTTGGCAAGCTAAAGATCAAAGACATAACCACTTCAGCTGGCAAGCTAAAGATCAAAGACATAACCACTCAGTTGGCAAGCTAAAGATCAAAGACATAACCACTCAGCTGGCAAGCTAAAGATCAAAGACATAACCACTCAGCTGGCAAGCTAAAGATCAAAGACATAACCACTTAGCTGGCAAGCTAAAGATCAAAGACATAACCACTTAGCTGGCAAGCTAAAGATCAAAGACATAACCACTTAGCTGGCAAGCTAAAGATCAAAGACATAACCACTTAGCTGGGCTAAAGATCAAAGACATAACCAAGCAAGCAAAGACAAAGACATAACCACTTAGCTGGCAAGCTAAAGATCAAAGACATAACCACTTAGCTGGCAAGCTAAAGATCAAAGACATAACCACTTAGCTGGCAAGCTAAAGATCAAAGACATAACCACTTAGCTGGCAAGCTAAAGATCAAAGACATAACCACTTAGCTGGCAAGCTAAAGATCAAAGACATAACCACTCAGCTGGCAAGCTAAAGATCAAAGACATAACCACTTAGCTGGCAAGCTAAAGATCAAAAACATAACCACTTAGCTGGCAAGCTAAAGATCAAAGACATAACCACTCAGCTGGCAAGCTAAAGATCAAAGACATAACCACTTAGCTGGCAAGCTAAAGATCAAAGACATAACCACTCAGCTGGCAAGCTAAAGATCAAAGACATAACCACTCAGCTGGCAAGCTAAAGATCAAAGACATAACCACTCAGCTGGCAAGCTAAAGATCAAAGACAACCACTTAACTGGCAAGCTAAAGATCAAAGACATAACCACTTAGCTGGCAAGCTAATGACAGAAATAAGTAGGCTTCTTCACCTCTTCTTCTTGAACCGCTTTAGATGTCCAGAGAGATATACAGTTCTGGTTCTTGTCACCTAGACTACTGACACTGCACATGTTGTAGAGTCAGAGATGGGTCATAATTTTTTATACTAATTGTGAGAACAGGAAGAAAAGATAACAGGACCTAGCTCAAGATGGTGACTGCGTGTATATGTGTGTGTAAAAACAAAAGGGTGGGGTGGAAAGGTGGCACAACACAGCAGAGAACAAAATACATAAACAACCGAGAATGGGAAGGAAAGGGGGTGGAAATAAAGGAGGAGAAAGAAGGAAAAAGGAAACAGAGATTGAGAAAGAGGGAAAGAGAGAGTGCATGATAGGCTATTATTTACAATGAACAAGCATTCTTTCAGGGAAATAAAATAGCACACACTGAAAGAAATACACAAGAACCTAACAGTTATTTAACCCTACTGCAGATAAAACATAATAAATGGCAGTTTCTTACTTGTTAATTTTTTTAGATATCACTGCATTCATGATGTCCATACCTTCCAAGAGAATAAGAACCTCAAGGTACCTGAAACACAAATGTAACTGTGATCATGTTTACTGCTAGGTTAAACAGCTGGGAAAACCTGGAGGCCATAGAAACAGTTGGTTAGATGCCTATCCTTTACAGGACGTTGCAGAACCAACCCTAACAGCTCCTGGCTGTTGTGTGGTTTTTCTAGGCAAATTTACGTCCAGTAGTTTGCCACTGCTTTCTGGACGGTCGGCCTTTTTGATACCACTGTCAAAACCAATGCAGGGCACATGGCTCGCAGCTGGGATCGAACCCGGCATCCCAGCATTACAAAGCGTTCGCAACGACTTAGCCACAGAGCCGACATAGAAACAGTAGGATAAACAACAAGTATCTCAACCTATTTCTATGAGTATCAGTCATCAGTCGAAGCATCAACATCACTGCCCATAACTGCTCCGTTTCTGTACCTGTGGAAGTTGCACTCAATGTCCTTAACTATTCCATTTGAAAACTAGTGAAAAACTTGTCAGTAAAATCTTGAGCACAATCAAAGTAGAAATGCATAAGGCAGATTTCAGATGGGCCAACACTAAAAGTCCCACTCCAGAACTGAAGCACAAAGTTGAGTTGAGTCAAGAATTGACATCACTGCACTCGGGGCATTCCCATACATGCTCCATACCCATCCTCAGCAGCCAGAGCAGAATTCCAATACTAACGGTGCCAGTCATTACTGTGCATACCATTCTGAATAT